CCTCGAGGACAATAAATTCGTGTGCAGTGTCGGTTATTCCAATTCGTCGGAGTACTGGATAATATATTTGGTGAATTAGAAATTTTCTCTTGGCGCAACTCATACGCTATTGTGCTTTTTGCTGCGACGGGAGACCGACGTGACTCGACCTACGCAAACACGTAAGTGATGTGTGCTTGTCGATTAAACGTTTTTCATCGTGTCCGGTTGTTTTATGAGAAACCATTAGTGCCATCGATTACAAAAAAAATCAATAAAGGCATTTTTATTTGTAGAGCGTTTGCGTATATGGAGAAATGTAGCTTTAAACTAATAACGTAACGGCAACATTTCTTTTCTGTAATGTAATTGATTGAAAGTATACTTCAGCGTTTTTCGTGATGCAGAAAACGGTATCGACGTAATGCTAATAATAACGTATAATAATTTTAATCTCCGTATCGTTGGAGAAATTCAAATCATTTTTATTCGCCCGAGGAGAATTTCTACGAGGGATCAATGAATATATCGTCGTTCTTAATCATTTAATCTGTTTTCGCTTTCTGACTTATGGACCATCGACTTTTCATTGGCGCTTTTCCGTTAGTCTCTTTGCGTATTAAGTTAACGACAACCATTTGTTTCAAAAAGCGCAAGAGGCACAGCAGGGGTATCAGCGCGATGGAGCATCACATTCGTACTGATAAGGTTTACCCTGTCGCAACTTGTCTATGGGGCTGTCATAAACTTGTTCTAAACTTTTAACAAACGATAACTTTATAAATTTAATTTTTTCTGGAGTAAAAAGAGTAAAGAACTCTAAGTGCTTTCCTAACAGCTTCATGAATAATCGCTCAAATGTGATACCAGAATACCACTGTAGTACCATTTTGGAATTTCTAATTTGGATTATAACATATTTAATATCGCATATCATTTGTGATCAAATAAAAACATCTCCAAGTAGAACATTTTGTCGAGTAGCGTCGATTTCCAAATAATGTATTAATTTTGAAATTGTATCTGATCCACTATCATATTATACATATATAAACTTCAAAAAGTTGCTACAAACGTGTTCGAGTACAAAAATCATAGCGTATACTTTAGGATGAACAATTAATTAATTGCATAGAAACATTGTATATCAAATCTGTAAAAGTGACAGAAACTATCGTTTCTGTTTAACACGCACTATGGATACACTTGTACCCATCCTAAAAATTAAATTCAGAATTCTGCTGCTTTATGGTGCAGGTAATTTCATATTGTAATTGTAATAACACTACGTTTAACGAACTATAGCATATAAATGCGCATCGCTGCGTCAAGAACAGAAATATTAGCATCAACAGTTACAGCGTCATAACGTAGCACCATAAATTAGATCTTGCTACGCGATATGAAGCCTACTATATTGATCGAGTTGCTTGTCCTTATCGATCGAAATAGTTGAAATCGATCGTGAGGTCAGGGGTGTGACCAGTAATTTTATCAGCTCTTTTAACCGATAAAGTATCTACGTGTATCGCTCATGAAACAGGAAATGATGCTACACGAAGAAAGAGGGGAGATGACGTAAAAATGGCGACTTGTGAGGGTTTGAGGAAGTGATGGGTGGCGGAATGAAAAAGGACAAAGAGCGAGGGAGACAGGAAATTCAGTGTAAAAAATATATGACCAAGGGCCAAAAAACGTACGAGAAAAAGAACTCTGATTGTCTTTTGTCTGTGTCCGGTAACACCCTACGGCACGAGGGGTGCCAACCTGGCACTCAATTATTTTTCGCACGAAGCAACATCATCTCATTACATTTTGCTTTGTTTCATTCCACCTGTTATATGTTCTGCAGTCTGTCAGTTTTCCTCTGATAATTCCCAATAAATCGCAGTGTGACAGTACCTACGTATGCTAGTTGACAAGACCACGTCCTCGTTATAAGGACGCGTCGGTGTGTGTATAAAACTCCAAAGTAGGTCAGGAAGCATTATTATTATAGCATGGAAAAAATCAGTTTTGTACCACGGCGCTAATATTCCTCACTTTAAGGAACACTTCTATATCTCACCAACAGTCTCACGGACCACTACTCTAATCGTGAATAACAAATACTTCGCAGAGCATGCAAATAATTGTTTAGCACTTATAAATTAGCAAGGCCTTTCCGTGCGTTTAATTATCAGTCGCCCCTTTGGAGTCCGTTCGTCTACTCCGCAGTTGCCCCTCCGCGATCTATACCGTCGTATCCCTCATCTCCGGCCGAGTCTACCGCCCACATCGCTCCAAAATCAACATTCCGACTCTAGAGGGAAAAACAAAGTGAGGCGTGGGTTTGAAAATGAAGACAGACCGTTCACACGAAATAAATAATGAATTGCATTACATTCAGAGTGGAAGGGTACGGGGATGAACTAAGGACGAGTTTAATCAAGGTAATTGTCCCAGTATGTTTCCCGGCTAATTCATATTAAAAACGCATTACTCTAATAGCAAAGCATTGAGGGAACACACACATACACTCGTGCGCGTGCGCGCGCGGATCGCATTTAAGACAATTTCTAGATTGTTGACGTTTTCGATGTGGCACTGCTGAGCATAACATTGGTGGACAAGTCTCTTTCTTTTATTGACGACGGCAAACACACCTCCCACTGTTAGATTGTAGAGAAGTAACTTGGAAATTGATGCTGTATTATATGTGCATACATTTCTCTTTATACCGAACGATAATTAACTGTGACTGCGCTAGTCAAACGTGTTTTTGTATTTGAGTTTAGTAATAACAGATCTTTAAAGTCTACGTCCCGTAATTTTAGGTTCTAGTATCAATATGATTGCATCTCTTTCAGGGTACATTCCGAAATTCACTGCTAGTACTGCGAGCATGGTTACGTCTCACTTAATTGTACGCAGGTAAATAGAAACACGACGATACTCGTAGTACTAGCAGTGAATTTCGGAACGTAGCCTTAGATGTGTGCGAATATAAATAAGGACACGAAACACTGAAAGTACCTACTACTAATGAATTTCGAAACGGATCTAAAGCTGTCTTATTTTCATATTGTGAAAACCACGGGCTTTTTTCAATTTTGCTGCAGTATTATCTCGTTTTTTTCTAAATTATCATGTTCAAATTGAGGTTTGCATAAGTGATTTCTTTCACATAGGACCGTCGTTTAATTTATTTCGAATTGTTCGACATATTATAGATTTTTAATCATTTTTCATATCAACTGCATTGTTTCTCTCGTAAATGGTCGAGTCAAAGGGTTCAGCTTCGTGACAACTGAATATAATATATTATAACCGATCAATAACATGCTCGGAACTCCCCTGCAATGAAGTAGAAAAGACGATCAAATATGCATCAACCTCGAAAACGGGGATTCAAACATGGCGCCAAGTACGATGTTGCCACGTCTGTCATTCGAGTGTTCCACAAGCTGCGCTATGTTCCTACTGTAGGTAACCTAACCTCGGAATTTCGTTGTCACGTACTTGTTTACGACACTCATTTCATATACTCCGCGACAGTGTGTTTTGATATTACTATTTTATTGATCGTATCCACGAAGTATGACTAGAGTCGGCCTTCAAAATGTGGGAAAAAAAGAGGAACAATTGCGGGTAAGTGTAGTTTATCTGGCTGGCCGATATTAAAACTACCAAGGTCAGAGTTGTGTGAACTATAGGTTATAATGCAGTGACATTAGGGAATTCATCGACCGCACTTTTTCGCAGATTAATTTGTACATCAAGAAAATATTGGGGGACGGGGGAATATCGCGAGTACAACTAGCACTTTAATTAAAGTAGAAGTCTATTCTATATGTTGTAATAAGAAAATACGATTAGAATATACTATCGAGATAAGATTGCGTATATAGTTTTCATTATGCTTAAACACATTTATGATTCTTGTAGTATTTTCGTTGAAAGGTTGTTCTACGTTATTAATTTACGGCTACATTAAGTTTGCAGTGAGAATAACGTCTTAAGGAAGATTGTATAGTAATGAATTTCAGTGGATTAAATTACTCTTTCAATTAATTTTATATGATATTCGTATGTGTGATAAAATTTAATTGTACTTCGTGAAAAGTGACGAAAGTGGTAAAAGTGATGAAAGCTTGCAAAAAAAAACTACCTATGAAGTTTTATTGAGTTTTTTTTTCGTGCTTGTGGTCACTTTCTATATCTCTTTAGAACGTTTTAAATAAAAAGGTCTTGTGGACTTGACAAAATGCAAATTCAGATTATTATCGAATCTGATTGAAATTTATATGAACGGAAGGGGTTGTGCAATGTAGTACTCGGGCGATAAGACAAATGCAAATTACAAGTTTGCATTATCAAGTAGAGGGATGAAATTACTTACAAAGAAAACTTCGGCACGGACTGCTTTTGCATGTTTCACGTTTAATACTTTTCAAGTTTCTTTATCATTTAAAAATTATCTACTTTTTATTTGTCTTAACCGTTTTTCACACATGTCTATGTTTCGTCGCAGTGATTCGTCCACGAGATAAAGTAACTTCACGAAACGACAATGGGAAGTTACGGTAGCCCCAAAATGTTACGTAACTTTTATGATATCAGGGGATAGGGTCAGTAAAGAACCAAAATGATAAATAAATTTTATATTGGATTCACCCCTGCAATAATCGAACTAAAGTACTGAAACCGCTCTTTCGTTGGTTGAGGTTATACCAATGGTGGCCATTATCCCAAAGAAACGGATCAGAAAAACAGCATCGAAGATCCCTATAACTGCCGACCCTTGATTAAGGAACTTTATGGAGTGGTTCATTGCCAATAAACCTGAGGGTTCACGCTATATTTGTGAATGTGCAAATTAAATCGTGTCCTATTTTGTCAATTTTACATGTATATTTTTCTAACGAACATATATTCTCAATAATAATTACAGCTGTGTAAGTTCGACAACGAAAACCATTTGGAATTTCTTATCGCTCACTCTATTCATGTAATAATACTCAAATAATACAATTTTCCAGACTGTTTCCGAGAATGCAAGGTTGGATGTAAATTCGCCGTCCGGTGATGATGATCTCGAATTGTGGGATCAATCTGGGTTCATGCTGAGGGGCGATGTAGATGACCCCCTTACGAATTCGAAGTAAGTACAACTGATTTTGATCTAACGTACTGCTAAATATTTATTTCGAACGATTGATACATTCGATACCTGTAATATATTGATGTTTTCTTACTTAACAAGATCTCCATTTGTTGACATTATCATGGCAGACATATATTCTTCACTTTGCTTTATCTTTGCGTATCGAGTGAGAAAAGCTCTTATAAGTTGAATTAACAGCACTGTCTGTCGTCCTGGGATGATTTGCTTCAGCAGCCTTGGAACAGGCGAGGTCCCTCGCTGGACGATTTTTAAGTTTATTTTCAAGTACTGGCGTGTCTTGAATATGTATACTTGCTGGATAAACAGTGATCGATAGACTTCGCGGAACGAAACATTATTCCAGAGAAATGAGCATCGTATGTGCAGGGCAATTCGAAGCGCCCCGTTTAATAAAGAGAGCAACGAAAGAAAGAAGAAAAGAGGAAATATCAAGGATCCTTTCCATTTGCGATCACTGGCCTATTATAATAGAGTTATCGAATGTATACGTGACATAGTATATGAATTATTAATGAGTACCCTAATAAAATTAGCTCATGTAACAAAACTCGCAGGGAAGTGCATTGTCGCTGTTCAAACAAGTGAAATTCTAAAAGTCAGTGAATGCCCTTATGACTTTGTGAACCGTAAAATACACGCTGCAACGGCATTGGAATATAGAATTGTAGGATTTCAGTGGGAACGTCATGATTAATAATTTTGAAAAATGTTGAAATGTTTATTTATAGCTCGATACATTAAATTTACTCATATTTATGGTGGAATAATCGAAATATTTATGTACACAATTTATTGCCCATTTCTGTATTTGTCGTAATCACGAGTTTAAATTATATAAAAGCACTCGTAAATCATAACCATTAGCAGAAGCCTTTTACTTCGAATGCCACTTGATGCACTTAACGCATATTATATTGAATTGTGTTAATGAATTTCTTAATTTATTAACAATTGCAGGTGGGGTGCGCAAGGATGGTGCAGACCCAGTTGCATTCCAATCACAGTAATCTTAATCCTGATCGTGCTGGTGGTTCTACTGCCTCTACTAGATCATGCAGCAGACAAGCATTTATTGAATTCAACGAATTCAAACAATGACTCTTCGCTGACCTGCATGGATAGCTGTAGAGTATCACTCGTAGAGTCGATACCCATCGGTTTGAATTACAGCAATGGATCGGTAATGCACGACAGCACATATTATTCTTGGATGGAACTGATTGGATCTGCACAAGAAACTATAGAAATCGCGTCCTTGTATTGGACAATGAGTAGGGAGGATGTCTATCCGGACGACAGTGCTAAAGAAGTGAGTAACAATGCCAGGGATAATAATTTATCCCCTCTTAATTTCCGTGAATCGCGCCGAATATCGACAATTTTGCATTTGCAGGGTGAGGACGTTTTCCAAGCGCTTCTCGAAGCAGGAAGAAACAGGGGTGTACGATTAAAAATTGCACAAAATGCCCCGTCCCAACTTAGTCCCAATGTGGACACGGAATATTTGGCCAAAAAAGCAAATGCACAGGTAATAATATTAAAATATTTTATGTATATTTATTCAAGGGATGAAATGTGAATTTCATGTAATAAATTGAAAATCTACGTAGAATAATTACATTACATGTATGCAAACATGGAGGAAACGGTAAAAGAACCATGTACTCATTGTAATTAAGCCTTGTACAATGCATTTCGATTCAAATGCTTTTAACTGTGATGTAAAATCTGGTTGTCATTAATCTTGTGGTTCAATAAGCCTGTATTGATTTCCCTTCTTCTGGACAGCTTGGTCTCGGGTTTAAGTTGTGAAGACAATTAATCGTTTGTAAATTTGAAAACAGTTGGCTCTCAAAGACTTACAAAGCGTCAAGTAAAATTTTGACGCACCTGCGCTTCGTTATATCATAATTAATGTCTTAGGGATTTCGCAAATTTAAATTGGCCATGATTTATTACATAACTTTATTATGAGACCGCTAAAATGTTGATCAATTATTGCGAAGATATTTTATAATTATATTAAGCTTTTATTGGAGCGGTCACTGTTCGAGAATGGACCATGAAAATTTGATGTGAAATGAAAAATGTCGTTTTTTATTACACAAGGTGCGAAGCTTAAATTTTGCTGGATTACTGGGGGGCGGTGTATTGCACACGAAGTTATGGCTCATAGATAGAACGCATGCTTACGTTGGTTCAGCAAATATGGATTGGAGATCCTTGACACAAGTGAAAGAGCTCGGTGTGTTCGTCTTAAATTGTTCCTGTCTGGCAGAGGATTTGGGAAAAATATTTGACGTGAGTATAACATAGAATCAAATTTACAATCCTTCGATTTTTTCAGGATCGTTTTCATCCATGAGAAAACTATCTCTTGGAAAAATTATATTTTATACGTCTTTTAATGTAGATCGTTTTTTGAGAAGTCGTTCAATGACTACATGATTTTAAAAAGTTCCTACGTTTCCACAGGTTTATTGGATGCTTGGTAAAGATGGCAAAGTGCCATCTTCATGGCCCGAATCTCTCAGAACGAAAATAAATATGGATAATCCTATGAACTTTACTCTGAATGGCAATAAATACAGGAGCTTTATTGCGGTATGTATAGTTTTCGTTTCTCTTGGTATTAAGGACATGTTTGTCGTAATGATGCTGCCTGGAGTGCGTAAGATAGTAGAATGTCTATCAACCTGCCATTCCGAATGGGTTTTAGAGTTCGCCGCCTCCCTTTTCTCCAATTGGCAGAACCAACGATCTTGATGCAATATTGCATTGCGTCGAGAAAGCAGAAAAGTTTATTTACATTTCCGTCATGGACTACTTCCCATTAACCATCTACACGCCTAAAGTAAAGTATGTACTTCGTTTTTAGATAATTTCTATGTTAAATAATTTATTAATATTTATACACATTATGTAATTCTTTATTAATAAATCAATTACATGTCTAACAAAATATTAAATATGTTTTGTTGCACATTACAGATATTGGCCCATCATCGATAATGCTTTAAGGTCAGCTGCCATCGAGCATAAAATAAATGTCAGGCTATTAATATCATGGTGGAAACATTCACGAACATCTGAAGACTTTTTCCTTAAATCCTTACAGGATCTAACACATAGCTACAAAGGTGTCCAGATTGAAGTTGTTAGTAACCTAAAAGTCTATTATTTAAAATATTCTTATTAGTTTCTATGTTCTATTTTTGTTTTTTTTTTGTTTTTTCAGAAGAGATTTATTGTTCCAACAACTTCGGATTTTGATAAGATACCATTTACTAGAGTTAATCATAATAAATATATGGTTACTGACATTGCTGCATATATTGGTACGAGCAATTGGTCTGGTGATTACTTCATTGATACAGCTGGTGCGTATGTAACGTGGTTTTTATTGATAGTTTCTAATTAGTAGAATAGCGGCATCATCTACATATCATTTAGTGCATCAAATAAAAAATTAGTAGCTGATAATACTGTATTCAAAGTAATATGGAATGTATTATTTTGATTTTACAGGTATCGGTATGTTATTCGAAGATAATAGTCAGAAAAATCAAAACAGCATTAGACAACAGCTAGAAGATATTTTTCATCGCGACTGGAATTCACCATACGCTCATTCTTTAAATAAAACATATTGAAATATGGACATGATAAAAACTATGACAGGCAATGCTAGGCATAATTGATGTTACCACGTACATCATGTATGTGTAAGAAATTTCATGCACTTAGTACTTCCAAAGTTTCTTTAATGATTTACATGTATTAATATGTAAACATGAATCGCTCCAATATAGTTGGAAACAAGCTCCAAACAAAAATTGCTTAGGATATATATTTTTGTGCAAACAATTGTTACAGGTAGAAAATTCATTTACGAAGAGACTAGAATTTTATGTGGAATTTTATGTTACCTTACGAACACATGAATTATCTTCCTTTTTTTTTCTAAGTTGTTAATTAGGATAAGGTAGCATATTTTATAATTACACCTTGTCTAGATGTAATACATTTATATTCTTGAGATATGTCTCCTTATGGAAAGATCGTCGAATATATGAAGTCGATGATTATACCATAATTGTACTAATACCGTTTTTACTGATCATCGATCGTGTGATTCAGATCAAAAGAAGCAATTAGTTGTGTAAGATAATTACAATTAATGTAATGAGCGAAATGCTGGACTAAAAATCATTTTTCAGTCGAGTTGTGCCTTGCTTTAAGTGTCCTTCGGTCATTTTGATTAGATGATTTTAAGAATAATATCTTATGCCATAGTACGATATTTATTAGGTTTTCTATACATATTCAAATATTTATTGTTTACAAAATTAAATAAAGCAGGAAACATGGAGCTGTTTCCTGGTTAATCAGTTACGACAATCGCCTGAATTTAGAAAGATTCAAAAGTCACTCCGTACTGAAATACTAAATGTGAATTTAATATAAACATAAACCTGAACTGGTATTCATTAGTTGCAAAAATATTAAGCGCAAGAATATGTATATGCATTCATCATCATACATACTTATGCTTATACTTCGATAACAATTAATTATTTTTTTATTTATCTCCAAAAATGATTGACGATTGATAAAAATCTCGAATGTACTTAATGATAATGACATTCCAAATGTTAAATTGTAGACAAAGAAATTGCGCATGTGCGTTTTCGAAAGAAATAATTACAGACGCACAGTACAGTCCTAAAATGTGGACGACAAAATATTTTACGTAATGATATCTTTAATATTCGTGAGAGTTTGAACATTTTGTGAAAACAGTTTAACCAGTTTCAGTTCCGTTTTGTTGTACTCTTTATTCAAGTTATGCATTTTTTTATGTGATGCACACTATAATACTGAAATCTATCAAATCCATAACGTGTTAGTGACGTGCCACATGCATCATACAAATATGGTTAATATTCCTGAAAGTAGAAATTTCTTTTTTTTAAAACTTGTTATATGAATTTAGCTAATTTAATCAGGTATGCGTATCAGATTTAAACTTCGTCTCTGTAGCAAAAGTACTGCTTTTTGAATGCATTGCAACTTCTTTATATCTCTAAAACTCTCTGTACTTCCTTTTAGTCTTCTTCGTCAGAGCATAATAGAATAACATCTTGAATTATTTTTAAAAAATCGATATTAAACAGGCATAATACGTATATCCTCATAAGGATAACCGAAAACTAAATTTGTTATAGTCAGTTCTTATTTAGTATTAAATGTAATAAAATCTGCATAATATAAAAGAATCCCATAGATATATACACGTGGAGATCACCATATTTGCAATTTATTTTATTTTATATAGATAAGTGTGTCTAAGTGGTGGTGCCTACATATCACCTGTTCCTCTATTGGGATTTGCGGCTGTGTATTTCTCGCGACTATGGAAATTAAATAAATTTTGACATAGATCATAATGAATTTCCTAATACGATTATTTTTCTATACGAACATTTGATGCCTATGAGGAAAGTCAACTATAGGTCACAGTCTTTAGCTGCCTTTTACAAAAAACATCATGTGATTCTCCTTTTTTATATCATCCAGCGCTTTAACCTTTATATATTTCATAATTGTATTGCGATGTCATTTTCGCAATGATAGATCATTGCGTTGAAGATCATCAATCTGCACAAATCTGTTAATATAAAGTCTACCGACTCGGATCCTCGTCTCTTTTATGCATTTAAGATATACTGCATGAAATAAAAGTATAAGCGAAATAATATCTTATATGTAGTTACATAACTAAAAGGCATAAATGTAATAAAGTCAAAATGACAAAAGTGCTTTTCGAATCTTGTTTCAGTTTCTACAAGCCAATGAGACCCTTTTTCAAAAGCTGACCATCCTCATTGCTATGCAGCACTCGCAAACGTCATTGTACCTTCATGCCTGACTCTGACAAACTGTAATTGTAAATAATTCAAAGGACGTCCTTGGCAATATCACTAAAGGTGATTAACTGTGCTAATTAGTCCTTTTACTCATCAATGGGTGATTGGTGTGCTCTCCGCTTTTGTTAAATACTAATACCATTCAACTGTAGTATACTAAGGTTTATACGATTACAGACAAAAAATGAATTTGAAATATACTTTCGCACATTTCATACGCTCAATAATAAATACGATAGCTTTTCGTCACATACCCTATTAAACTGGAACGAGAAATTATTTTTTGGACAAATGAATTTTAACATAACGTAACTTCATCGCACAGAAAGTCCTTGAGGAAAACGTTGAACATCTTGTCGCCAAAACCTTTCGGTCCGGTCGGCGACTCTGAGTCGTTTGGCCACAGCACCATGAATATAACTGTGACCGACCAGCAGGATGTTATAATTATCAGATAACGGTTATTGATCCTGAAGATTATTTTAGAATCTTCAAGGTATATAAGTTTAATTTACAACAAGATATGGAAACGCAAGTCAATATTGTTTATGTAGATATAATTATTATAAAACTTGCTCTATTGACATTAACGAGCCAGGTTAAAAAAATCCAGAAATTACAGAAAAATCTGATAAGTCAATGCCAACGCATACTTATGCATAGGCATAGACGTAGATGTATATAGGTCTCTTAAGTAATTCGTGGAACTCGAATGCCATTGGTTACCCGCCCACCTTCCAAGGTCATTGCAGTTTCACGTTGAACTGGAATTGTTTGTTATTTAAAGCGGTCTGTTACGTTTAAAAATGTCAAAAAAGATTATGATTACAACTGTGAATACTGAAATCGTAATTCCTGTCTCGAGCAGCCTAGAACTTCGGCACATAAAATGTATACATGAAGTATATTAAAGAAATATGCTGATGAAAATATAAGAAATGAATATGAACCTATGAAATATATGACTATACAATATGTAAATATGCTCGATGAAGAAAATTCAGAGATGCAAAATCCACTTAAAGTTCATAACATCCAGTATGCGTCATTGGATTTACTCTTACTAGGTAATGAATGACCGCATATTTTATTGTAAGTAATGAAAGACGTTTAAAACATATGGCCGACGATTTGCGGATAGTTTATCAAAAATAGTTTGTCGAAAAGATAATTAATCGAAAGTTCGTTTATCCAATGGACATTTAGTCAAAATAGACATTTAATTAACCCTTCGAGGCATACATTTTTCTGCTGGCTGATTTCTCTCGAAAATTCGTACTCTGGGGTTTTTGGGTCCCTGATTACGAATCCGAGGCCAGATTTACAAAATTCCTAGATGTCGTCCCGATACGGCGCACGCGCACATGGAAGATTATTGAAAAATCGACGGATTATCATGATACTTGTCACTCGGGGGTTTTTGGGGTTGCTGATTACAGATTCATCATCAGAGTTTGAGGATTTCATAATTGGGCACAGGATCATGCAATCCATCGCATGGGCTGAATAAAAACTTTTGTGAATTTCATCGGTCAATCAGAAATATATTGTTCAAGGTTCGTAATATATTTGCATGCGCCGTACGGGGGCGCCATCTAGGAATTTTGCATATCTGGTCTCGAACTCGTAATTAGCGACGGCAAGAATCCCCGAGTGACAAGTTTCATACTAATCCGACAGTAATCAGCAATGCCAGAGCCGTGGAATACAGGTGGTACATACGTATGTACCACTGTGTCACAAAGGGTTAGAAGACTTGAGTGCGGTCGGACTGGCGTGATGCGCTGGCTCGCCCACTTCATAGTGCACCTTTGAATTTCGCCCTATCCTATCCTATCCTAACCTAACTAAACCATTTCTTCTAAGCTCATCTCACAGCAGCATTATGGGTGCGTTAGGACTCGCTCACCGACGATATTTTTTTAACTAAAACCAATACCATTAGGATTAGTAACAATATGGAATTCCACCACACAAATGTGTGGCTCATCGCGCAATGGAGGTAAAAAATATATGTATATTTAAGTACAATTCAGACGACAAATGCAGACAGCTAAAAATGTACCCGTTCAGATAAACAAAAGTCTATTTGAGGAATGTGGATTCGTCGAATACACCGAATATTTACATTTGCAATGATACGTTCCTTTCGATCGAATGTTATTCGATAAAATGTTTTGTCGATCAAAGGTCCTCGATGAAAATTTTGTCGATGAAATGTCTGGACACGATGACCGGCAAATAATAAATACTCTGTACAAGACATTCAAAAATACATAGTGACGACAAAAACTTTTATTTTTCCGTAGGTCGGGATCACCCCATGTCACGCTGATGATGACGTGGATATCATTAAGGTATCGTACGATAGATATGTGGTACTTATACGAAGATTATTTTCGATTCATAGAGATATAACACGATCTTGATAGCAAATGGAAAAGTAGCTGCTCAGTCGTTAAAATAGTTCAAGGTATCGGAAAATTCCGTGGTAATTGTGTCGAATGCGTTGCGAACGAAAACTTTTTTATATCAATTCTAAAAACCAAATGCTACGTAAAAGCGTCCCATTTGAACTTCGATACGAGTCTTCAGAAAGAATAGCAAGTTGTTTCAGGGGAGTAATACGTTTTCAATAATCTACAATCATTTTCGTTTCAATAAACGATAAACGAAATTAATATACCTATACCATAATTTTAAATAATCATTATTTTCCCTTGTTTTCAACAAAAACTTAACATTTTTTGTTTAATCGTTTTCTTGTGCGTGATAAGAATTCTGACTTAGCTCCGATTAAATTGATTATGTGATGTAACTTGACGAGGAATGTATAAAAATTGAATCAGGCGCAATGGCGGCTACCCATTGGATACATTAAAAAACTGTTAAAGGATTCTGATTATTGTTCTACCTTCCTCGTGTCAGAATTACTTGTAGTTAGGTTTCAGTATGCAGAGATGGCAGTTCGACAGGTGAGATTTATTGAGGAAAAAACTTATTTGAAACTGACATTGAGCGAAACAGCTTTGTTGTCGTATAAAGATGGTTTAGCCCTTATTTAAGTGCTCTAGTTAAAAATAAGGTAGAATAACATTAATTGGAATTTCCTCCTTGTGACGTCATCTGTCCGTGTATCCGAGCACAGAGATTAGGCGAATAGCAGGTTTAATTAGAGGATACTGTCGTATAAGATATACATCTAATTTTCTTGGGAATGACTCGTTTTTTTCCAATCGTCGTCATCCACGACGTCATATATATTTCAAATTATTGTATTCGGAGAAAAATCCCAAATATTAATTACTAGACGAACACGAAAATGTAGTTTTCAAATTTATAATTGAAAATCAAAAGATAGTTGATTCAAAAAATGTAGACACAGGTTCCTCGTTAGTGCCGGATCGTATTCTAACGTTTGTCTAAATACGAAAGCTATGATTATAAAGTTCCTGTTAAATTCTTCAAAGTATCTTTCCGGATAGTAAATATCGGGGCAAACAGGTTTGCCTTGGTTGGTTGGATCATGCGGTCACATTTTAGGCACTCGCTGTTGCCAAAAAAAATTAATTTCGTAGTAGCGAACTTACAAACTGGAAGTGTTTGACAGCTGCAAATGGTACTCCTCAATTTAAATTCATTCTTTTTGTAAATTTTTGTCCCGATTGGTTAAGCTGTTGGTGCAGGCAGTTTTGTTGAACCATGACGTCAGTTCCACTTCAAGGGGCCACCTCTTTACGAACCGAAACGTACAGGCAGGTGCCTCTTCACGTGAGAGTAAAGCTCTCGAGAGCAGTACTCGCCAATGGACACGCTCCTGAGAGTAACCTGGCAGGCAGTAACGTCAGACTCGCCCATAGTAGACACGAGAGAGAGAGAGAGAGAGAGAGAGAGAGAGAGAGAGAGAGAGAGATAAATTTAAACATGCTAACTGATAGATACTCGCAAAGATTCGAACCCAGATCGACTTCCGACAGTATTCTTAGAAGTATGACCATGGCAAAACGCACTTGGACCAAGGAGACAAGTGTGCATTACTCGAAGAATATGAAAAAAATGCAATGCTTTGTAATATAAAATTTCAAGAATACCGCAACAGAGAATTGAAAAATGGAGTGCGGTTTCCTTACTGGAATAGATTGTATGATTGGTCCATCTTTTTTTTGTAATAGTCGGATCAACCAGTTCTATTAATTCATGGAATCGAACCGCGGTCATTTTATTTCCCCTATTTCGATTTCAGGTAAAAGATCATTAGTAACGCCGAGTGGCAGTCTCCGTGATATCCAGGGTTTAACCTAGCAGCACCTTTTATCTTTTTTTAGAAATTCCAATGCGACCATCATCGCTGAGGCGACTTGTTGTTTATGAGAAGCCATCTCCGACGCTATTGATGCGTTGCGATGCTCACGAGCTACAGACGCTCTCCGGTGGACATGGTCCAGACTGTAATTTGCTACAGTAACTCTCCGGCTATTGTCGGAACCGCTCGGGACAGTGAAACTCAGGTAAAAATACTCTCACGTGGATTGGCACTTTGAGTCCCTCAAAGTGGAACGGATGGTTGGATTCAGTTATTGATAGACAAAAGATACCCAGGTTTTGGATCTTTTCATATGTATATGCCATTTCGAAACCGCCAATGATAGGCGTATGCAAATATTCCAATATCGTATTTATGCGATATTGATTTTTTCATTTAAATTTCAAGTCCGTAGGTTCAGTGATTATCCGCAAATAGTCGTTCAATGGAAATGTTGCTGTTTCATCTACGCCCGAACTTTGATATCCAGTATAAATTTACGTCTGAGCTGGTTAACTGTTAGTTTGAAATTTTTTTGACCAAATTTTTCGTGTATCCCATTTTTCAATGGCGAATGCGTAAGACACTACGCCTGAAATGGAATGTCATTTGCTACTGTAATTTTTTAAGCTGTCATTTACTGGTTCAGTTATCCAAGTGAAAATCGTTTAGTAATATGATTTTTTATACTTCTTTACCTTGAGGCTCTGTGAGCACTTTTATCAACAGTGTTATATGATATTGAACAATAACTGACTCCCAGTTATCGTTAGCCTTTTTAAAAAAAGCCACTCACACTTTTTTGCCCAGTAACGAATATGTTGCTGAAAATAATAAGTCGTTTCTATCATTTCAATGACCTGATGTGAGCATCATGACGCGTTTTTATCGCAAGTGAATTTTCTTTGCAAATGCTTGGTATCGATTCGCACTAGGTAATTATGCACTGTAATACAAATAAGAATGTTCTGTATAAGTGTACTTGTATAACTTGCTTTTAAAATTTGCAGAAGCTGTTCTAGTTTTTTTTGCGGTTATCTATGATAACTTATATTATTATATAACTAGACTGAACTATACTATCTATTCATTGTATCGCAAATTTCAGGATTAGTTTTCAATTCTTTGTAACCGAAAAAAAAACACTGTAAAACATCTATGAGTAAAATATGGATGGGCCATCTCTTTATGAGATTGAATACAGAGGAGTCCCCTAGATCTTATATATTATGTCACACGTAGATCGATCGTACATCATTATACACAACATGTATCAATTGACGTCATAATGCCGAGTGAACGTATTTGAATGATAATTTGATAATGATGTACAGTGAACTCCTGTACAGCGCGGGAGGAAATTGTGCCGAAAGGATTTAATTCTTAAATAAGGTAATTTCTGTGTGTTTATTATTCGGCGCGTTGTGGGAAGAATCGAAATATATGAAAATAGTAGTCGAAATATATTTATCACGTTATAGGGATTCGCGTCTTAAGAACTCGCGTTACACGGGAGCTTATTGTATGTACTTTTTATCACCTTATGAACCGCATGACACTCATCTATTTTAATTTTGATGGCCACCGGTCTTTTTTCAGGTAACAATAAATAATGGCAAATGTTTATTAACGGTGGTATAATAAACATAAGACCATAAAGAGAATTTACGGTTCATATATACCTTTATCCCAGATATCTCAACATATTTCAATCCAAATATCAGACATTTCTTAATATCAAAATATTGGTCTATATGGATAAATTTTCTTTTTTATTCAAAGATAAATAATTTCACTTTACGAAAAATTTTATTTTAAAGAAAATTATTAATAATATGCTTAACTATAATATATGCGCTGTATCGCTTCTTTTAGCGAAGTGAATACGGTGGGCATGATTCAGCTGGTCCAATCCGTTCAAGGTAAAATGTATTAACTCTTTTGTGTTATTAATAGCTATAGTCCTCAGGTCACGAGCGCGAATTAAAAAATTCAAAGAATTTGGAAAATGCGACGAATTAGAAAGGAAAAAACAATTTTTCAGATCAAGTAAACGTTACATTTTTTGTTGTTATTAAAAAAAAAGTTAACCTTATCGGAGAAAGTTTGCCTGTTCCAAACGGACAAAACGTTAACGAGTTACAATGCACTTCGATTCGAAAAATGCTGTTTTAAGATAAACGTGTTGAAAGTTTTATTACACCTACACGAGCACGCTATATCGCAGTTACCTGCGGAGTAGCGCGACATATTTTGTACAAACGATTGTAACTTTGGCAGTAATTTTCATTTGGACATGTAACCTGCCATCAAATATAAAATGAAACATTAAAAAAAAATGTATCTTTAAAAATACGTAAAAAAATAATTTTTTGAAAATAAAACCATATAACCCCTTATGCCAAGGATATGGCCAATTTTCCTGTATAAAAATAAAGATTGTACCTTTCCTGCGGGAAATACCAATAATTATAGTGTAAATGTCAGGCTTTCATCCAACTTATACTTTCAGATTTCGAGATTTCTGCAAACAATCATAATTTTTTTGCTGTAACGAGATGCGTACCATTAAATGAAAATAAACGGTCTTACATGAAAAAAAAAAAAAACGGAACGCATGTATAATGGAAAAATACTACAAATAACGAAACGATTCACCAATAATACATAAGTTCGTAACTTAAATAATTATCTGCATCTTAATTGGCTATGAGATTATACAGCGCAGTGACGTAGTCAAAGCGTCCACGCGTGATCAGATGACCCGCTAGAACCAAAGACTGTAAGTACATGGTCAAATAGTAATTAAAAACCCGTCAAATGCGTGGAGTGGCAATAATCGGTGAAGTGTAGTGACGTAGCACCCCCTCCAGAATGAAGCCTCCTTTCGCGGGCCCATTTCAGTACAAGTCCCCCATCGGATTCGAACACACTGTGACCGTCCTCTTCTTCGCGAGGTTCCCCCATTAGGTCCCACGTATCGTAAGGTCGTCGTCAATTGGCGCGAGTATAAAAATTCAAAACAATAAGAAAACCGAGCCAGGGTTACACGAACAGCAGTATTATTTTATATCAAAGTGAAGCAAGTGTGCCGATTTTGTTGAAAATTGCCTTCCGGGCCACCTTAAAGGTCTACGAAAATACTCGGTACAACATCGGAGAAAGTATCATCTTGTGCGTTGGCTTTGCAACGCTTCGAATAAGGTTGGTGAAACTAAAGTAACCTGAACGACGATCCAGCAGTGTAGTCGACACGGCATACGATTACTTGCGTATTAATTGTTGTGATTTTGCATTCTTATAGTGTACTTCACGTTTTATATATTTAACGACATACGTCGGTATTAATATGGTGAATTCTTCGCTCTGTTTAAAGGATCGTTTGAATTTTCGCGCGTTGTAAAATCAAGAAGGGCGCGGGAGAGATTGTGATTTTACAATAGCTGTTACGTACCGATGATATTGATTTTAGGAAACTTATTTATTTGCGATTTATATATAATTGATGTTTAATGGAAATCAATCATCGATTTTTTTTTTGTTACTATGTCTTTGCGATGTTTTTAAGTGTTTCGAATGGGTCAGTAACCAATGTGAATCACTTGGCTAATCTTGGTTAAAAATCAATTCGATACCTGGATCGTTCGTGTATCTGTTTCAAACGTTGAAGTTTGTACGCTATAGAACGGTACCTTCAATTGTACTCTTATTGCACAATACTTTCGTACGATTCGAATACTCGCGCTGCATTCCCAATTACTCGATGGACATTTTTTAATTCATTTATGGGATATTAACCCGATCGAATTATCGAATCGTTGCTATTATTTCTATACTGTACCAATTAGTGTCGAATGAAATAATTGGTGTGATCATTCTATAGTCGTAGTTTCACTTCAGCGCATAGTTGAACCTTAGTAAGTCTGTCTGACTGCGTACCGTTATCATTGCCGTGGAATTTACACATTTCCAATGCACATTCTTAAGCGCTCATCGTGCTTTTACTTTACGGCTATTAAATTCAGAGAGTAAATTTTGCTTGGAGCGTATTTTGAATCGTAAAGGTTTCGAATAATTTCAGCCTCTCGTTCTACTTGTCGAGTTAGGTACTTTGAGAATTTTGTTTTTCACGTAAAAATGATCAGATACGAAAAATGTTATAAAGTTATTGATAACTATCATGACGTCTGCTTGTTGCGTGTAAATGTGTCACATTGAAATTTGAAGAAATTTAACTCTATCAGACATATTTGATTTTTATCATATTATTTTCATCATTCTTGACAAATTGTGCAATAACATTCAAAATCGTGTTTGCTCAGTAGTCAATATGTCATAAATAAAGTAACGTCACTATTGATTTAATAATGTTACAAGAAAAAAATAATAATCGACAACTAATAGACAAATAATAGCCCTTTGAAACTTTCATTTTTTTGTTCGTTTGATTTTCATGAAAATTAGTGTCCAAACATTTCTGTCAATCACTGATTTCAAATTTCAAATAAAAATGCGAAAACTCAAATTTTTTAATTTAAGATTTCGTCATTAAACTTTCCTATGATTTATGTTATGTATTAGAGTTTTAATACGATTAAAAGTGGAGCTGATAAAATCATAAATATCATATATAACAATAACTAAGGATACATTGCGCAATGATTTCTTCTACCAATATCTCATGAAGTACGTGACTTTGTTTACATTGAATTGCCTCTATTTATCAAACATTGCCGAAATGCTTCAATATTATAATCCCTTATAAAAAAATTTTTTTTTTTTTTTTTTCATAAAAATAAAAGGAACAATTCTTTTTCATGTTCTGCCCTAATTCCTTCTGTTGGCGATTTACTTACTGTTAAATGGTGTTTTGTCCATATACAAATGGTTCACACTCGTTTGCAGTATTAGATTGCTTAATCAGCGATAAAAAACCTAATATTTATGCGAATCGCATATCAGCCGTCTAGAGTCACAAACGAATGTCACCCTAAGATAAATCGTTAATGATTTTTAAATGATTCTAGTATATTCCATGACTAAAAAAGATGTGTAGTTTGCATCTAGTTGTAGTTTTCAATAGAAAGTATATATATATATGCATGAGGTCATAAAGTACACTTTACATAAAATTTTTTGGAAAATATACACATGGAACTATGTACACAAATTATTTGACAGATTTTTAAGCAAATTCAAATTTGCAGCGTCTCAATATTTATTTCGAAATAAGAGTTTGAATACGTAATATACTGACACACAATATGATATATAAGTCACAATAGCAATATAAAGAATAATGATTTAATGACTAATAGTTAAACAGATATAATAGGCCTCCCAAATAGGCAAGTTGGGAAAGTATTTCAAGCTTTTCATTTAAAATCACTTTGACCTATTCATGAAGCATACTGGTTTTGTTACCATGGATAAATATACCTTTTAATGTGTTTTAATAATTACTATAGTTCATCAGTAACATCTTATCAAATTTGGCTAGTTTTTACCTTCTGCACGTTATACTTATAGTCTTAATAATTATAGTCTTGAATAATTACGCCAACAGATTGATTATTGACCACTACAACTCGTTCGTGGTAAATAAGATTAGCATCTGCGAAATTCTCGTAATTGCTTCAATATTGTTATATCCATAAAAAAATGTCAGTCAATACACACCTGTCATTTCTAAAAGTCATGGTCATCGATCAACTAGAAGTTATGATCTAAGCATGAATCTTTCCTTAAAACGCTGTATAGATATATGCTTCTTTCTCGTTCCGTCTGGCTTAACTAATCGTCACAATAATCGCGTAATGTTAAAAGCCAAATTAATAAAGCAGAAATTCAAAAATGGCTAAAAATGTAGATGCATCTCTAATAAACTTTACCATAAACATATCGTCATGCTGTTAAGCAGAAAAGGAAAAGAAGCACGGTATTCGGTAAAATTTGCAAATTATTATTTATTGGTGTTAACAACATATACATTTTTGACGATTTATCTAGGATATATGTTGTTACAATTCATATCGATTTATTGATGTTGCGTATTAATGGCACTTTGAACATCCCAATGGTCTAGACACACTCAAGGGCAGATATTTTTTGCACATTCTTCGAGTATGACGTATTGGGTGTCTGTATCAGGACGCGGTTCCCATGAGTGATGAATGTACGTGCCCGTAATGTTTTCCTGATATTCAACAAGACAAGACGGCACCGAAGATCGTTTTGGATATACTTGCGCATATAATGGCTATTGGCTTCCCTATGAAAAGGAGGAAAACATAGAAGTTGGTGCTATAAAAGCTGTACGCTATAGTCAAAACCACGAATAAATTAATGACGAATTAAAATTGTTTAATTTAATAATTTATGGTTCTCGTGGATCCGATAAATTTATTTGATATTATATTCTATTTATTAATAGGTTTCGTATTGAATATATATATGATAGGTATGTGCAGTATGTATACATATGCACTTATTATGCATATATATGCACTTTTCTATGTCTTTCGTCAAGTACTGTTTGATATTTCGTATAAATTATCGCCTTGGGGCGCAATAAGTACAGAAAAAACGGAACGTGCCATAGGAAGAAGAACGGTGCGTGTTTTTACAGCATCACGTACCGTTACATTGTGGACCAAAGCCAGAGACGTGAACGTCCAAAGAGAAAGGCTAGTGTTATACGACCCACTGAAATCGAGGTATATCTGTGATCATCATGAATAGTATTTAGCAGGTACCGTTTTCACTCACGGATTTGGACATAATATTTTTCGTCTTATTTACCGTTAATAAAATTTTAGCACGTCCCACTTTGCATTTTACTTCACCAGAGTTAAATAAAACGATTATTGATAATCTATGACGAATCTGGTACGCAAACTGTTTAAGTCTTTGAGACATAGTTAATTTTGAAATGTTTAATCAAATTTAGAAAAAAATGTTAAGGATATAAATAAGTCGTTGGTTTCTCAGCTATTCAAATTTAAATATTCAAATTTATAGTTTTTCGCACTAAATTTTTAATAAAAAAAATAATTTTACGTTAGTTAGCTTTCGTATGCCTGCCTATACGTAAATTCCTATTGAAGTTACCGTTTCCCAATGATGTGTAACGTCGTTGATTATTTTCCCTATCGCGCAGCAGTCGTAATTGAAACCGATCAGTCGAGTAAACTCGTATTAATCAATGAATTTAGCGTGTTACCTTCGAGATGCGCTTGCAACACGGAATTCCCCTGAGTGTCAATAAAGGTGGAAACGATTTATGGAAATACGTGGAGGAAGTCCATCGTTTGTCAAAGAAATACTTCGGGTTCAAGGTGTTCAGGTCCAAATACAGGTTTAAAGTATTATTATTATCATTATAGTATATTCGGTCGGTAAAAAAGTGCAACGAGTAACATATCGATGAATTTTGCTTAGTCGATAATTTAGATTTTGCAAAATAATACGTTTGAGTGATATTTACGATTTTCACATAATATAAAGTTAACCATAAACGCGTAAAACAGACTTCACTGTCATAACTGTATATAATTATAATTCGAGTGCAGAAACAATAATGGCGAAGAATTTAATATTTTGAATTTTTTGAATTACGCGCCACCCAAAACATAAGTATCATTATGTTTGCCATTCAACATGATTTAAGTTTCCATTCTCTAGTGCTTATTCCTGTCTTACACGCAAGTATTAATTTTCTTTGAAAATGTTTATTGTGAGAGAACTGTTTAACTATCCAGGAGGAATACTTTTATGAAAGATTTTTCGTGTAACCTCCATGCATGCTCTACCGCATAACTCACTTACTTCCTTATCATATGTTGTTATAATATATCGATCGAAGATATCTTACACGCATTTGTGCTTACTTATTATAAAACATGAGTAAATGTCATGTTATCATGTAATTGCGCAAGTGGGACTTTTCTTACACAGAGTTTGCGTAACGATCTAATCAGCCTTCCGTGTTGGATTGTAATGAGCTGCCTACAACTTTTACTCCAATTGGAGAAGATGGCATATAAACCATAAGAAAATGAGAATAAGGAAATGCATTACGAGTCCTATGAGCAATCATTTTAGAAATTATGTGAACCGGAATATATTTAGTACTACAATAAAGAATAGACACTCTATCAGAACGTGCAAGAAGTATAAGAATTCTTGGTTGTGTGGAAAAATAAAATATTTTTTTATATACAATTTAAAATATGAGATTTCGTACAAGCTTAAATTTTACCATTTTTCATGTCATACTTTTCAATATAAATGTTTATCGTATTAAAGATCGTTATTTGTATGTAAATATTATATTTGTCAAAATTATTCTTAGATCATTAAGATTTATATTCAATGATTGATGTCAATTTGACTTGTAATACATGAAAGATGGTCAAAGGGAAATGCTATCCGCTATCTGATATTGCTAAATATTTTCTGCATACAAGCTTTGTGCTCAACCGGTGAAAGTAAAAAGAATTAATTCTGAAAGTTTACGCTTATGCTGCGCTTGTACGGAACTGCGAACCTTACTTTCTGACAATATTGTCATATCACAATCTTGACCTTCTTTGATATCCGGTTTTCATACTAGTTCCCATGAATCACGATTGCCATGTTAAAAATTGCATTATATGGGTCGTTTTATGCTAGTTATCAGTTTTATATTTCGAAGCCGCATAAACCGTTGAAGTTCACGATCAACTTTCACATCGCGACGTCTCATGTCTGGTATGTGTGACGCTCTTCATCGCAATAGTCAATATCTATTGTACATAGTATAGTCATGACGAATTAGTTGTTCGACTGAATAGTTGAATTGAAAATTATACTAATTATTAGATTGCTAGTTGAAAAAAGAAATCTGTAAAAAAGAGTTGAATATTTTTATGGTATATTTCAAAGTCAAATTACTTTTTTTTGTTCATCGATGGTAATATTCAGCTTTCCCTGTAAATACGTTAGTCTTTTTCAATGCCATGTTTTACAATGATTAAGAATTCAGTGACGCATGTCAATGAATCAGGTTTTTTGTGTGACGTAGTGGAGTGACGGTTTCTATTTGGTTTCTTTGTAAAAGTCTCATTTCCATATTATACTTTTGAGTCGTTAAGTATTTTGAAAGAAATGTAGAAATATTCAATCACGTCTAAATAAGAACTGGCAAATTATAATTTAATGGCTGCTCTCTTGAGAAGTTGTACTTTGAAAACACCAATTTGGCACATGTTAATGCAAAAATTGTACACTATTGCGTAATCTCCTACCGATCTCAACGAGCCAGAGCTGATTCTGTTCTTGGTAAGTTGCTCTATAAATTTATCATGTAAAAGGTTTGTAGCATTGACCGTTTAAAAATTATAGCAGTTTGTTTATATAGAATTTTATTCGCTGGTTAAATAATAGATTGTAATTTTTAAATGGTCAACACTACAAAAAAATCCATTTGCTGAATTCGTAGAGCAACTTTCAAGAAACAGAATGACTTTTGCGCATTAAAATAGGTACGAAATGACGAGTTATTCTTTGAAAAAAACTCCACGTATCTCTATGGAAGTTACCATTGATCAATCAATACGTTTGACTTTGTAAAATTCATTATAAAAATTTAACACTCATTTGACGAGCGTGTAGCGCAGTATCTGCTTTAATGTTTGGCAGTACTATTTTTGACGATAATAACATGTAATTATTGTATAACGATTTGACGCTGCTCATTTTTTCTAAAAAATAATAATCATGACCATCACTAAATAAAATAACTGATTATGCACTCACATCTGGCTGTATTTTTAAATTGAGATGAAAACATACACTAAAGTAAACAAATATCAAAATTGACAGAAATAAATCATACAGGTAATCTCTTCGTATAATTTCCGCTGACCAGTTAGGATCTCACCATTGTTGAAGATTACTGGGGCTAAGTGCTAACACTTATAATCATAAAGTGTGTATAAGTTACTCGGAAAGATATTTATATCATTCAGCCATGGAATGCCGATATTTAGATATGTAATGATTCCACTGTTAAATATTACAATATTACTAGGAAGTAGGCGTGTGGGGTGTCTGAGATACGGTAAGTGAATTCTTTTGAAACGGAGAACAAAATCACATGATCATTCCTGGCTAAAAAGTGAGCTTATGAAAAACTTAGTTTCTCCTTATATATTTTCTAATATCAATCAATGCTATATTATTGACGTCGATTTACTCTTTAGCAGTTAATACAAATACGAATCGTATTCTATCGTGCCGGTTAACGTATTATGTTATATATACATTATTTTCCAAGCGTGCATAAATTAGAGTCCTACGCGGTGCTAACATAATATGGCGAAGAAGTCGTTTCAACATGTGATACGCGAATTGAATGAGCGATGACTCTTTAGTCAGATATAATGGGCCAAGAAGACTTACCTAATACACATACTTCCATATATCATACTCAACTTTACTTATAGGAACTTCAAAGCAACGTGTCAATTTCATGATATATTCACAATTTTCTCTGACCACGTTGACGTTAATTTTAAAAGGGTAGAAAAAATATCAACTGTGCGATTACTTAATTATTATAAGACGACGTTATATACGACGTACATTATATATGACGTATAAATGTATGTGTATGAATGTGTCAATGAAATATTTGTCACTGAAGTCACTATTGTCTGGCTCTGCTACCAATGTATCAAGTTAGCCAATGATTTGGTGACGTAGCAAATATAATTTTGGATCTATTATATTGGCACTATTTATACAATGCCACTTTTAGATATTACTTTGTGATTCTGCATATGATGGATAGAAAGTTGATGATAATACATTTGAAAAGTGGTTTTATCGTATTTACGACACGATCGTAATCTTTTATGGGACCATGTCAGGCTATACGAGATTCTCATGTATGCGATATATTTAGCATTCGGAATTATTTAGTACATTGAATATGTCAAAGCGTATGGAAATCATGGTTTGTACAATAGTATGTGTGAAGGATACTGTATCCATAACTACTTCACTCATTAAATTTTTTTTTCATGCAATGACCTTCTTATTGCATTATTTGCACTTAAAGAATTTCCAAGGACTCTGATTAAAATTGGTAACACAACCGTTTAATGCTATAAATATTACAGTATTGCGTATTGAAGTTTTTTGTGTAATAGTAATTATTTAATATCTAGTATGTAGATTTTGTGTGTATTTTACTTGTAGATAAGGACAATAATCATAATGTGAAGTATGCGCTCATTAAAAAAAAATTGATATTATTCTGTATGTCTTAGTGAAACAAAATGGTAGAAGTCCTTATGGAATCAGGTGGACAAGAAGTAGCCATAGCGGAAAGTGGCGGTTCAAGGGCGGAGACCCCAACTGAGTGCACTCCGAAAGTTACTCACATCTCGCCAACGACAATGAATTTTTCACCCCTTCAAGAATTCTATGCTGGACAAACTATCTTCATCACTGGCGGAACCGGATTCTTGGGAAAGCTTCTAATTGACAAACTCCTAAGATGCTGTCCAGGAATTAAATTCATTTACCTTCTGGTGCGTCCAAAGAAGGGCAAGGACGTTTATCAGCGCGTCGAAAATCTCATTGACGATCCGGTAAGTTGAAATTGTGGTAATTGATAAAATTAAAATTTGATCATCTCACGAGTTTCTAGAATGCACATGAAAGGTTACAAGTTATATGATGACAAGGTGTATGATGATATTCCCGGGCTCTAAAATTATGCCTAGATATTTCATTGATATTTTCATTGTCAATAAAATTTTAATAATTTACCTCAGACGCTTATTTTGAATAAAATATTTAGATCTCTTTGTTATCATCGTACTACTAATCGCTTTGGAAGCAACTAATTTACAAGTGCTCAGTAAGTTGCATTCGAAAATTCATAAAACTTCATATGGTTTCTGGTATAGAAACTTGATATATGTATAACTAATTCATGGGTAAACGACGAACGATGTTGTTTTTAAATATTTCAATTTTTAGCTTTTCGCAAGATTGAAAGAGGAAGTACCGAAATTCCGTCATCAGATTGGTGCAGTTGCGGGCGACTGCAGTACTCCAGGACTTGGTATTTCTGCGGCCGATAGAGCTACCTTGGCTCGAGAAGTATCCATTGTATTCCACGTTGCAGCCACAGTAAGATTCGATGAAAAATTGAAACTCGCAGTCTCCATCAATGTACAAAGTCTAAAAGATGTACTTACTCTATGTAAGGAAATGCCTAAGCTAAAGGTCAGTCATAATCATTAATCAAAGCATGTTGTAAACAATTATTTGTCAATCATGATGGCATTCTTTAGCATGAATTTTATGTATTTTTTCCAGTCTGTTATTCACGTTTCCACCGCTTATGCAAATTGTCCGCAAGACACCATTGATGAAAAATTTTACGAACCTCCTATCCAAGCCAATAAACTTATTGCTATGATGGATTGCTTGAACGAAAAACTTATTGACGATATTACGCCACAGTACGTATGAAATTGCGTATACATTCTAAAAAGTAAAAAAAACATTTTGTTTTACAATATTACGTAATTAGAAGTTTCTGGTTTACACGTCTGGCATGTGATTTTTTTAAATTGGAAAGTTTTTAATGTATACAAGATAAATTTCATTTAAATTTTCTGTCAAGAACCGAGTATAAAATTTACAATTTTTATTTCGTGAATTACATCACTTACATATGCCTACGTCTATCTTTATTTTAGTCTGAATAAATTTTGTTTATATTTTACATGCACTGACGGAAATTTAATTTTCAATACAAATCACACGGAGAAAAACGTGTAAGTGCAATTATTAGCACAATAGTTAGTATTTGAACAATAGCAAATTGCAGTAGCCGTCACAACAATTCTGATAAAATTTCCAAAGTAAATTAGTCGGATTTACAATTCCGGGTCAACAAATTTACATTACTATGTTTTTCCTATATCTTTGTTTTTATCCATAATTTCAACATAAAGTGGAAAAGTACACTTTTTTCCTCAGACTTCAATCAGACTTTTTCTTTTATTATAATGATGCTAATTATAAATAATAAATAGTAATAATTTAATATAACTAAATGAATTTAATTATTTTTGTAATGATCAAAGAAATTATACATATGTGTACATACACGTATATCTATATAAACTTGTCGATCGTATAGGTTGAGGACAGGAAAGATAAAGGGGAATTCACAATAGCCATCTGATGAACAAAAAAACTACTACCTTGGGACATCACAGCATTTGAATTCTACCCTATCTTAACCTAACGAAACATTTTCTAAGCCCATCACTATTCCGGGGGTCTAGCTCTAACTAAAAACTAATTTGATTGATTAAAAAATTAATTTTTAATTAAATTTGTTAGTATGTGGCGAAAGTATGCGACACGTTAATCTCCGATTTCTCTGTGTAAATAATCTCTGATTCAATTCTTAACATAACCACTATTCAGGAAAAAACAGTATAATCGTTAATCTGCCGGACAAAACCAATACACATTTTCAAAGAAGACGATAAAATCAACTAAAAATGAAATGGAATAGACTAAAACGTGACTTTTAGAACAAAAATCGTCTACATTTTTTGACCCGGCATCGCTGTCAGCCATTGAAATTTTTGGTCGAACTGTCGTAATTGTTTAAAGAAAATAGTAAAATAAGTTACGTTATGCTGCGAGTTGTTTGACAAGTGTAGTGCAGACCATTAGCAAACAAATTCAGTGACTCTGGCGCATAATACCCTCATATAAACTGTAAGGGTTGAGAAGCTGCAATTCTTGACTTTCTCTTCCATTATCCTAGCAACATTTATATTAGTTTGAAGTGTATGTCTACTTAGAATATCAGGCCCAGTTTGGACACATTTTGAAAACAATTCGTCATTTGACCACGGAAAGTCAAACAGATGAGACATACTCTTGGCAACACGTGAAACAAAGAAAATAATCTCAGTTAAGCAATCCTTTAGTGGTTAAAAAATGTATATATATATATATATATATATATATATATATATATATATTCACGGATTTATCTATGCCATGAAAGTATATGAAGATATAATTCAATATAATTCTTAAATTATACAGTTTTAATAATTTTCCTTGAACGTGTAGTCGTATAAGGACGTCAATTCAGAGAGCTCTTTACGGTCAAACCCATAAGGAAATGACTGCTGAAAATGACAACGATCTTGATATCCAACTATACATACAGAATTTTAAATATAAGCAATTACTAAATTTGAGTATATGATCTTACGAAATGAAAAATTTAAGTGTATAACTAGAATTATTCATAATAATCTTATGAACATTGTCATTTATTATCACTTTGTTCTTTGAACGTTAAAAGCATTCAGGAACTCATGATAGTACAAACTCGAAGTAGTAATCGAAGATCAATACAAAATGTCTCAGTGTAAATTAGCCGCTATACACCATACAAATATGAATAATCAATCTTCATATCGATTATTCATATTTATTTTTATATTGATTAATCATACACGTACAGCGTTTGCTAACTATGTGACAATAATTATATAATTGGTTTTAGATTGCTGGGAAAATGGCCGAACACATATGCATACACAAAAGCAGTAGCTGAAAATGTTGTCAAGGAAGAAGCTGAAGACTTACCCATTGGCATCTTTCGTCCAGCTATCGGTAAGTCGAATACTGTAAACTACTGAAAAAGTTTACACGTGTAGGTGAATATGTAAGTTAATGTAATCAAAATTCTCTCGTCTTAATAATTTATACGACTTATGTGCCGTAGTTACTATCAAGTATCAGCTGTTCATTTTGAATATCAGTAGTAAACCTCAAACCATAGGATCATAGGATCAACTGTGAATAACGTCGGATTTAAGTTCTTTAATACAAATTTGCATTCAGTTACTATTTTAAAAAAATTGTTATTGCCAAGACAATGAGCAAAATTCTATTTGCTAATGTAATTATTAATCGTTTATTGAATGACATCAATATACGTGCTCCTACTATTTTACATATTGCTCGACGTTTCCTCTGTTCAATGGAATCCTATTTGAACGTTCAACACTGTATGAATTTGTATATCATTGAGTTACAGAGTAAATGGTCAATCGAGAACATATTTATACTATGAATGCGTCTTGACGTGTGGAACTATGACAGTGATATAAACACTTCTTCGCACTAGAATTCTAGTAAAAACAATTTATTGTGGTATAATGGAGTAATAGCAGTGACGCACATTTCTTATAATAATTCCATTGATTTGCGTCAGTGGATATATGACAAAAAATAACATCATACATAAAAAGTATTTAAATTCAAGATCTTTTGTATTTACATATTGCTTTGTTAACCTTCATTACGAATAGATATATAAATACGATTTGAAGATCAATATCATTTGCTCTACACATATGTGTACACTTTTATGATAATGAAATTGCATAAAGTTCTTATTGCGAGAAGAACTATAGGTTTTCACGCTATCAAATTTCACTCTTTGAACATATCAAAAGACTCATTCGAAGTTGATGCGTAGAGACCATTACTCGGCATATCAGTAACATCTTCTTGTGATACGTGCTAAATGAACCGCAAATAAAAGTAAGAAGTTCTTAGTACTCTTCGAATGTCCTAGACTGGGATTTTCCAAATTAAAACGCTACAGGCAGTTTCCGATTTCAACTTCTTCTGCTAGCTTAGTTTGTTAAGAATGTTTTAATTTTAACGTTCGGCGAATTGCGTTACAGGTTGTAAGGTCATTTGAGCTAATTTAAATTAGTATTAATTATACTTTTATATAATATGAACCTTAAACGTTCTCCGATTTGTAAGAAATTTGAATTTATCACTCACGTTTTTTCCAGTTATTTCAACATATCAAGAACCAATAAGAGGATGGATCGATAATATGTATGGTCCAACTGGTGTAGCAGCTGGTGCTGGAACTGGATTACTCCGATCTATCCATTGTGATGGGTCGATTCACGCTAATGTGGTACCCGGTGACATGGCTGTGAATGCTTTAATTGCCAGCGCGTGGGACGTTGCCAGTACGCAAAGGTGATTGCATGTATTAAATCACGTTATAAATATAATATATTGTAATTAATGAAATTTAGTTGTTAAAAAATATTTGGTATTTGTCAAATGTATCCAAAGATTGAAACGGAGAAAGAGGTCGTAATTCGATAATATAATATTATAGGCAAGGCAAGGATGCAATTGATATCCCTATTTACAATTACGTATGTAACGAGAATCAAATCACATACAACCAGCTGAAAGAGATGTCTGCGAAACATGGAATCTCCATTCCCACGAACAAAGCCATCTGGTATTACAGTTTCCGGAATAACAAGTACAAAATCGTTCATCTCTTTTACGTATATTTTCTTCACCTATTGCCAGCACTTCTGATTGACACAGCAACACTTTGCGTTGGAAAGCAACCCAGGTAAATATATAGCGATTAGTAGTAGCATTGCTTTGTTGCATCCCCTAAGGGTTACACCGATCTCCGTCCCTCTTACAATTTCTCCTTTTCTTACGCTTCCTTTATTTCCTACTGCTCAAACCTATTTGTTCCTTAATATTAACCGCCGCCACCGCCCCGCGCTTCTCTCCCAATTTTCTCTATCTCCTCTTATCTCTACCTTTTATTCGTTTTCTTTCTACATTCTTATTTGAATCTACTTAACTCTCTTCCTCCTTCCTCATACTCCTGTATTCCTTATATATACTTGAACTTATCAGCCTCCTCAATTCTTTTTCCTTCCCACCTCGAATCCAACTTCTTAAACCTTCCTCCTCCTCTTCTGAACCTCATCATCTTTGTTTTCCCTAAGTTTACTTGCACCTTCTTGTTCCCAAAATACTTTTGCAACCTCCGTATTAGTATTTTCATTTCCTCTTCTCCCTCCGCTAACATCACCACCTCGTCGGCTTACACTCACGTGTACATATATTCTCCTGTATCCTAACCTGAATCTTTCTATATAGCGAGTATACGTTTAATAATTGCTTTGAAAATTTATCTATACGATATCAAGAGAAAATTGAATTTTGAAAAAGTAATCAAAAGTTATATTTTTTGTTGTACTAAATATTATTATGAACAACGCCATACTAATGTATAATTTATTATTTCATCAGCTTGCTTAAGATCTACAAGAAAATTCACAAATTCATGGCAGTGCTCAATTACTTTACGACCAAAGAATGGAAGTTCACGAACAACAGAGTGAAGGCTATGATAGAAAAACTCACGCCCGAAGATCAGAAAAACTTTTATTTCGATATTAAGAAGATCGTTTGGGATACGTATTTCCAAACCTACATGCAAGGAATTCGAGTGTATCTCATTAAGGATCCATTGGACACTCTTCCGCAGGCACGTGTAAAGTGGCAAAGGTATGCGTTACATTTGTTAAAACAAAATTGCTCTGAAGTTCATTAACAAGAAAAACATCCTTAATGTTCATTAATTATTTTTTAAGGATGTATTGGATTCATCAAGCGACCAAGTTTTTACTTCTCTATGTTTTCATTCGGATTTCATGGGCTGCGATATCCGCGATACTCTCGTATACTGTTTAGTGATCCCGGAATCGCATTACTGTTGTTTAACAGTGATTAACGATTTTACATCAATAGTGGATGTTTATATCCAACCAATCTAATGAAAAGGAGGAACCAACATTATATTTCCATGTCTTGAAAGGCGGACATAGTCGTTAGCCTCACGTTCCTTTAACGTGATGCAACAACTAACGTCTTATTAATTACATATGCAGGTGCATACAACACTAGCGCGTTGTGTATATGTTGTAAAATTTTGGTAGGAAAAATAATTGGTATTTCATAGCTACAATTAAGTATCATACGATTGTACGTATGCGTAGAACTGCTGGAGCATCGGTAGAGCATCTCTACGAAACGTTTGTTTACGTATTAACTACTGTAAACCGAGTATATTATTAATCTTGTAATAGAAACAGGTGAGATTGTAAAATGTGCTGTATCTGAATTATTTATATTAAAGTAAATTTTTGTAAAGTAATTTTCGTTCGTGTTCATTGTTTTGTAAGCTTTAATCTTATAAGGCTATGGTTGCCTATTGGTATTTTAGGAAGTGCGTGTTGGGATAATTATGTATTCTTCTGGGAAACATCGTAATATTTTTAAAAGGAATATAATTAAATTAGAGACTGTTAAGCATGATTTATTGCGACTAAATACTGAATTAATTTTTAGTACAATATAATATTCCGATGAAAGGAAATTTAGTACTTTGGAATTTTAAATGTTCGAACGTCACTGATCAATGAAACTTAATGATAGAATAATTAATGGTCGAAGATTATCAAGTGTTTTCAAGAAACTTCGCCGAGTCTCACGCCAAGTACGTGAATTAATTTTTGTAAATTGAATTTAAAATTCATAATGGTTTTTACAATTTGTAATATTACTGCTTGGTTTTTTTTTAATTCCCACGAATTGTGAAGTGAAAATATACCAGACAACGCAAAATAAGCAAAGGTCGTCTTTAAAGCGTTTATTGGGTCCAGAATTATGTTTTAGTCTAAACACGAAAGATGACTTTTGGATACATGGGCCCTTTATGTTATTTTCAAGTTTTTGTTACAATTTAGAAACTGAATAAAACATAAAATATTTATTGGTGGTATTCTTAGTTAAAATTATTTTTGTAAGATATTATATAGTATAAAGATTGTATTTTTTTTTATATAACAATGCTAAAACAATCTAGTCTAAGAAGTGGAACGTGGACTGAGAACAATAGAGGTTCAATGTATTTATACCATGTAATACTATAGAGTCTCTCATAACAACCCAGGAATATATTAAGAATGGTTTTACCTATATCGTCCTAGCAAAAAGACGCTTGAATTAAAAAATCTAGACTACATACAGTTTGCATGACTGAAGAGATTGTAAAAAAAATAATAAATAACATAAGTACATAATTATTGTAGTTACGTATGTTATTGAAGTATGATTATAGTGTTAATTGAACCATGAGAGATGAAAATTCATAAATATTATATTGACTCCAGATTACTCGAGGCACTCAAGAAATTAAGATATCACATGCGATAAAAATTAAATAAAAAGAAGCGAAATTTCTAATTATTTCGTATTTGCATTTTAATAATTTAGAAATAAAAAGAGAATGTTGATATGACTTTACAATAATATTGACTTATATTTTTAAAGACACTTAAAAAGTTTTAATGGTTTCTGATGATTGCTTCTTGCCCATTAGTGGATTTATAGATTACGAATCGGGGGATGAATCCTTAAAGAAAAATATGTTGAAAATTGAGAACAAACTTGTTGTTTTAGCTGTTAGTTTTTGAAAATAAAATAACTGAAAATGGTTATAGATTCTATATCCGAGATCAGTACACGAAGAAACTGTGGTTACAGTATCTTGCACAAAGAGCATAAAATCTGAGCATTTATTGAGATCATTTATCTCATTACATTGAGATCCCCGAATTTAGTATTGCAGTTGAAGATGCAAGAATATTATGGGAATAATTCACATACCGACGAATATTGATTGTTATACGTAATGCACAAATTAATATATTTCTACGTGGTTATGAAAGAGTGTGCTGTATTTCATCATACACAACAAAAATCAATTTTTCTCAGTGTAGTATACACGTAAGTTTTGTTCATCGCGTTGATATATTTGTCGACTTTATATTGTTGTATTATTAACATTTATTTAACAGCCTTAAGGGGGTCTTCCACGTTTGAGGTTTTGAAAAATCGATTTTTTTATTGCATATTTCGACTCTAGAAGTCATTAGAAATGTACCCTCTGAAGGAATTCAAGAAATAGACTTTCTTAACGAGTGGTTGGTCGCCCATCACGGCCGCTCGCGGTTTTTCGACGCGCCTTTGCAGTACATGTTTTATTCTGTCATTTATGTTTGAACGCGTTTTCCCAAAAGTCGTTTTTTTTTCAAATTTTTGATAAGACTTCGACAAGAAGTATTCGAGATATCTGTTCCATTTTTTTTTAAATTGTTCAGCAAACATGCCGCTAGGTCAGGACACAAGCTTCTTTGGAAATGTTTTTTTGTTAAATTTTTACAGATCTTAGCAGCTCAAAAAACACGGTCAAAAAATGTTTTCTCGTAAAAAAGCTTGCCATTTTGAAATTTGAAAAATTTTCAAAAAACTTGTGTCTAAACCTAGCCAACGTAATGACGATTAAAAACATATTTCACTATTTTTGTTACTTGTAACCTAAATTACCGAAGTCTTACCACAAACTTGATGATGACGTTATTACAGACGCGCCGTCGAAGACGCATCAAAGTCACGGGTGTGAAAATAATTTGTTATAATAATATAATTTCAAAAATCAGTGAATGTATCAATAAGATGCAAGAAACCATTTCTCATTATCGTGTGTAGTTCTTTTGCAAACCATCCGTAAAAAAGGGTTTGAAATTTATGCCCGAACGTGGAGGACACAACTTAATCCTTAATTCCAATTATAGACGTTAACTAATGCTTTAAAAAATAGAACTAAATTTTGTTGTGAATTCATAGCGAATGCTCAGGGCTTTTATAAATTATACGCAACGGTTGAATTCCCCCAGAATGAGTCAGCGAAGACATACGTAGGATGTTTAAGTTCCGTATGTTTAAAATATATTTGGCAAGGGCAAACTTCTTATGAGTCTCAAAGCAGAAAAGTCCTCTTCTACTGGCGAATTGGTTGATTATTGCAAGGAATAAAATGAATTCCAGGCATGCGATGTTTTCAAACTGAAATTTCCGAATATCTGATAATACTTTTATTCTTTATATTCCTCGCTTAATGTTCATTCCTTATTTCAAAGCAAACGGTTCAGTAGTTTTCTGGGGAAATTTTCCTACAAAACTTAGCGTGCATACGTACAGGGTAGAATCGTATGCGCATACAACAGTCGCGCATGGACTATTTGGTTATATGGAAAAAGTCACGGAGAATTTCATTCAGGTAGCACTGAGTAAATTATTCATAAGGAGTTAGTCTCGTACTGCATTTAAAATTCTTTGACGTCACGGTAAACAAAGCGTTTCCATGGTATTCATCCGTTAGTGTTTAAAGATTCTTTTGCGAAAATAAAAGATTAATGTTTTATATTCGCAGATAGGACACAATACTGACTATTGGTTTATTTAACTTTTTAAACTAATTCAACGTATCCTACAGCTCTTTGTCAAGTTAATCATTGACTTACGTACATTGCAATGAATCTAACGCAAAATGGAAATATTATTGTATTTAATTGTCGTGTTTAAAATTCTTATTAGATGTCATGTATTACATTACGTATGTAATACAAAAGTTGGTCAAGGATATAATTAATCTCTTAATGGAACATTGTTATCGTTCAGTTGACGACGTAATTTTTGAAAATGTAGAATATCTCAAAAACACATATTTTCGATGATTAATTATCTATGCTATTTCTGATGTAGATTAAGGCTGGCTTATCAGTGAACTGCATTCACTTCAGTGGTAGCTAATCCAGTATTTTCTTTAAAATTGAAGTCAAGATAAGTAAAGTAAGGAAGTAGGTAATAAAATGATGAAGGTAATAAGTTAAGTAAGTTATAAAATTCCTAATAAGTCATGATTTTTTTTTCAAAAAATCCATTCTATCAATTAAATAAACTAACAGATCATCAAATGAAAGTAATATACTGTCTTTAACATTTAATAAGAAAATAATTGAAATCCCCAATATTACAAATTGTTTGATATATCTCATATAATATAGTAATTTTCATATACATTACCTTATTTCACCATTCCTAACTTGTTTATACGTATGTATATTTTAAATATCAATATATGTAAAACAATTAAACGTAATAATTACAGTACAATTAAATTTCAAAAGATGTAAAAAATGAGACATTTGAATTATTTTTAGTTTCTCAACTCACTGATGAGAATCGGAAATGTAACCAATTTTGTATATTTTGTATTGAGAATTGAATATTTATTAATATACTTCTGAATAAACTATAATGGTCTGCTAACGTCCTTTTTCTTCAGGGTTGTTAAAGCGGAAACGGAGAATCTACACTTTCACATGACAGCACGTAAATTTGAAGTGTTTTTATAGTTTACGTGACAGAGATATCTGCAGTTCAGAGAATCGTGTTAGCGGGCTGAAAAATGTGAATTCAATTCAATTCCCGGAATTAACCATAGACCAGGCAGGTTGTCTCTGTGGTTTCGTTTCCGAGTAAATTAACGTTGAGTCCAGCTTTCAGATTTTCTATTAGCCTCCGGCTCCAGGAAAATTTTTGTCAATCTGTATTTTTAATGATTGTTTGAAAATGTTTAAGATACTGTTATCATTACATTTTATTTCCTGAAATTAAACACACCTAATATGACATGTCAGACAATCTTTGATATATTACTTACATAAATATTTGTGACTACCGATTATTATCAAGCTAAAAGAAAAATTACAAAAAACTGTTAACACGTCATTTTTATCAATAATTTTGAATGATAATGCAGATAAATAGATTGTCCGTTGGGATTCGCACAATTGAGCCCGCGGATTCAATAACGTCCTGAACGCTCGAGAGACGGTATCAGTACTGTCCAACCGGAAAAAAGCAGATCGAAAATTTTTTTTCCATGTCATTTTTTTTCAAAATGTCTTTTTTTCTCGAAAACCGTATGTCGTATAAAAAAACTTTTATCAACATAAAAGATGCGCCTGATCATTCACTAGAAAACATTATTTTTTATATCATGGTTTTTAGAAAAAAAAATTTCGATCTGCTTTTATCCGGTTGGACAATAATGATACCGTCTGTCGAGCGCTCAGGACGTTATTGAATCCGCGGGCTCAATTGTGTAGGGTCTCCTGAAATTTATGGTACAACTCACACATGGTAAAACTAAAAGTACTCTGAGTAAACATATTTTGTATGGCTCATATATGTATAGGCTGAATCTATAGTAGATAAAAATTCACATATTATGTATGAGGTAAGTATGTTATATGTCTTATAAATCTCTTATGCATCGACTGGTTGATTTATCCATATTTTTAGATATGGTGAATGTATAGCTCAAATCTTAACATTAGAAATTATTTGCACTTACTATTCCCAAAGTATGAATTATATATACATATAATAAACATACAACAGGTTTATTATAATAAAATGCTAAAATTCAATCAATGCTTATTTATACTCTATGTTTAGTGATAATATGTAGTATGAGCATAGTCCTGCTGACAGGTCAGTCTGGCAAGAGTTTCAGAATTGGTCTGGGTAGATTGGACAAATGAATTAAGAAATATCAAGTGGTATCGCCGGGACATGAACAAAGTCTCTTTCAGCCTGTTCATGATTATACATAATAAAATAATAAAATAAATGCTGAAATCAAAATAAGAATGTATATGTATAATTTTTATATTTGAATGTAATATATGAATATAATCTGTCTGTCATGGCATCCCATGTATGGAACCATCATAGTGCTTATACTTTAATCATACTTAACAGATATATCTATTATATCCCATACTTCTATATTTCCATTCGGGATTATACGTTGTGACGTCATTCTTCGACTCAGAGTCACAAGACGACTCCAGCTACCGATTCAGATAATGTTCTCGTTTTCTGGTTCCCTTCGAGTTGCCACCCTGCTCAGAAGCTGCGCTCTCGGTTTGATTCGTACAGTTACGCCAATGCTCTTGAAAGATTTGTTATTGTTAAGTTGAGGTCGAGAGTACCCGACGGAGACTTCTCCACGAGCCGGCAGAGGTCCGCGTGGGATACCGGCGCCCCGCTCGAGAGAGATAAAGGGCCGTACAGCGGGCGAAAGATAGTTTTGTTAGAGTTAAGGGCAGGGGAGGAACCTTCTGATCCAAGTTAAGGACGTCGGAGCCAGATGTCGCCCGATGCCCTGGGGAAGCGGCCGTGGAGACCGATTCGCTAAGAAATGCTCTCAATCTAGTTTAAAGGGACGACTCGAGAGAAAGGATAATAGTTATCGGCTGTAAGCATCTCGACCAATCAAAGTTATTAGTTCCCGAATTTAGCTGTTGTCAAAGCAGTCTGTCTTGCAACACAGATCGAGGTACGTCGAGCTGCATCGCGCTCCCGGGCTGCTTGTTGATAGTTTCTTTTCTGCGTTTCCCATGCGGTATAGAAAGTTCTCGCTCGGGTAGTTCTCGTGTTGCTCTTCCTATATCCAGAAATTCTTACCGATCTTCTGCCTGTGTTTCAAAGGTGAAAAAAGAATTGGATAGCGCCCGCTTGGCAAGCAGATGCATGGACGAAGGATGGACGGCAGAAGGTGATCTAGGTTAGTTCTCGGACTTTCGTTGTCGGTGTCGAATTCAGAAAATACATTACATCGTACACGTCCATTATTTAAAGTACAGTTAAACAAGTTATATCGAGTTTATATGAAGATAAAAATTGTATGATCTTGTAACTTCAGGAAACTGATCTGTCATCATTGAACCCTAATTTGATAACATAAATACTTAATATTAGATCATCATAGCTAATAAAGGACAATTACAGGCGTTATCATCCTTATTATAATGGAAGATCGAGTTTTACAGCAAAAAAAAGTTAAAAAATTTTAATTACAACAATTTTGCTTTAAACCAATTTTTCCTTATTAGATTAGGAGTTATGTAATCAAAACAATGACTCAAAATCAGGAATATTAACATTTTTGTCAAATATATATTTAATACATTGACCGCCACATATACTCACTCAGAAATATGTATATATAATTTACGTTAGGCAATCAGAATATTGAAAATCATCATTTTTGCTATGATATAAACAATTTTCAATGACACTGTTCATCCGTGTATATTATTAAAAAATAATTAACATGATAAAATTTATGTGTTTTCCATTCGGGACACTGATTTCATACAAAATCCTGTGTATAGTGAAAAAAGTATTACACACACTTACCATACATCTTGCAATATGATTCATTCACTAATCAGATATAATGAATAATTTTGCACTTATCAATTTATTAGTTCCTCAATATATATTATTGAGCGACTATATAATATTATAATATTAAAATAATATTATACCTTTATAATATTTTTGTCGGTTAAACACTCGCAAAAATATCGCCTCTGGTAGAATGTACGTTAACATTTCGATCGCATAATATCATTTTATTCTGCTAACTAGACATTAAAAATCAGACTGAGATAGAATAACAGGTAGCTTGAGACAGCACATATGGAGCTAATGTAGAATTGTCACGTGAAGTTCGTAATGTGGGACTATATAAGATCTACAAGTGTGTATTAGAATGAAAAAGTAAAGGAGAAGGTGGAAATAGTGGAGAAGGTGGAGGGATAACTTGATGCATGCCTATATAAGAGTCTCAGACGACAGCGTCAGCGTTGCACTCTGGAAGATTGTGGTATCACGTGAATGTACTTCCCAGCGAAGATCAAGTGACTATTGTGTATTGTTTTCTTTATCGTTCTAATTTTGTTCCGATTTTGTTCCTGAGTGATCACAAGTATTGCAGCTACGATAACGAAATTATATCAATTGGTAGCAGTGAGTATTGATTCTAGTTCTCGTGCAAAGTCGTGTCAGTTACGTATAACTGTTTTAGAGAAAGTTTAAAAGCATCCACGTGCACACGAAATGATTGTCATTCGTTTATTTGGAAATTTTATTTATTGTCAACTTTCCTATTATTTACGTTATACATTGTTTGTGCTGAAAAATTTGTTCGTCAGTATTTAGTTTGTCATTAAGTTTTCTATCAAATAGTTGTTTCAGGTTAAATATTTTAATCATATAACAAGACTAAATATATCTCATTAAAATGAAGTCATTAAAAACCTTGGATTTTATTGCCTTAGCTAACTGGTCGATTAGAAGACAATTACACGTAATCGAATGTCGATAATTTTATATCCTTAAATTGCAATTTATTTATGAGGTCAAGTGATCCAAGCAATTTCTTATGAATTTAAAGGTGCGTAAAATTTTGGAAAAATCTTATCCGTATTAGGAACTTAATTCTCTTTCTTGAAGTTTAACATAATCTTTACAGCACGGAATTTGAATCTTACCAACCACGGAAGAAATGAATATACAGGGTGTTTCTTTTATCTCTGCCACCCGAAATAACTCGGCAATTATCGATGTAACAACAAAATGTTTTAAGCAAAAGTTGTACGGTGTGGAGGGGGCCACCAAATGCGACCAGTTTTTTTTATTTTGGTGGTGGCGTTGACGCACAGTAAAGGTCACCTTCACTTTGTTAAATAGAATTGTACATTTTTTTTAACCATCTTGTGGAGCACCTCAAGCCGCATAAAAAAGATTAAGGGGTCAAAGTCATTCAAGGTCATTCAAGTTGACGCACAGTGAAGGTCACCTTCACTTTTTTAAATAGAATGGCACATTTTTTTTCAACCATCTTGTGGAGCACCTCAAGCCGCATAAAAAAGATTAAGGGGTCAGAGTCATTCAAGGTCATTCAAGGTCAGTATCGATGATACAAATCTAAATATCTCTGATCGGATTGGTAGTCTTAGACATTTGATATTTTCAAATTTATATTTTATTTCTGCTTTTCTGGAAGAAATATTAACTGTGCTGCTTGAAGATCTAACCTTGTGGGATCGGCAAAACCTCTGGTATCAGCATGATGGTTGTCCAGCTCATTTTGCACGGATAGCTCGCAATGCTGTCGACCGAAAATTTAGTAATAAGCAGATTAGCCAAGGATCACGAATAGGCTGGCCTGCTAGATCACCGGACTTAAATCCACTCGATTTTTCTTTATGGGGGACATTGAAGATGACTACCAAATATTTGGTAGTGATCCGAGATATTTAGATTTGTATCATCGATACTGACCTTGAATGACCTTGAACGACTCTGACCCCTTAATCTTTTTTATGCGGCTTGAGGTGCTCCACAAGATGGTTGAAAAAAAATGTGCCATTCTATTTAAAAAAGTGAAGGTGACCTTCACTGTGCGTCAACGCCTCCACCGAAATAAAAAAAAAATTGGTCGCATTTGGTGGCCCCCTCCACACCGTGCAACTTTTGTTTGAAACATTTTGTTGTTACATCGATAATTACCGAGTTATTTCGGGTGGCAGGGATAAAAGAAACACCCTGTATATAATCATAAAAATTTGCATAAAATTGTATATAATCACATTCAAAACTTGTCTAAAACTGATAAGATTTAAAGATTAAAAAAAATACACTATCAAAATATAAATTATATGCAAACGATATTCCCTAAAATAATTGTAAAGAACCCCCTTGTGTATAAAAGTACTTTATCGGAATATTATTTATATAGAATTTACATTCTCATAATCAATTCTTGTAAAGTTTTAGACATGATCGCTGATCGTCACGGTTTCACCCGGGTAAATGTTGGGATGGCTTTAAGTCTACAGGAAGTTCATTATCAAATGAGATGCAGTTAAGGTGGTTCGCCTAGCATCAGAATAATAGTATTCGATTTTCTGTGTTTGGAAATGCTCGAGTGATCGAACCACCTTTTGCCTTGGCTTAGATAATAACAAATATCATCAGCTTTTTTACATATATTTTGGTTTCTTACTCCGCTTATAAATGTCATAGCGAGATAAAATGTGGATAAAAACGAAACCGGAAAGTAGTTGAATCAAGTAACATTATAAAAATAGTAGAATAACTCGTTGAGTATTATCTGAGTCTATCACGAACAGGTGGACAGACAGCATAATATCGGTTATAACTTTTTTTGATATGATTATTTAAACATTTGCCTGTTACGACAGCGTGCCAGACTGTATTCCTCTAAATATAAAAAATTATGAAAATCGGTTCGTTCTTAAAGAAGTTAAAGGGGGAAATGTGATATATTCCATTTTCAGTTTTACATTTACAGATGAATAGATAGAAAATAAATCGCACATTTTTCACAATAACATTTTCCATTTTTTTTTAAAAATCTGTACTTGTTCTGAAACACCGGTCATTGACTTACCGATCACTGCATGTACATGTTATATACCACGCCTTGGTTTAAAGTTGTTCAGATTTTTGCTTTCTAAGTTTCACTTACAGCATACGTGTAATGTCCCGTCAGGTCAGATGAGCATAGTTTTACTGAAAGTCATACTTTTTTAAGTCAATCTGCCGCTCTTTACGCCTAGCTGTCTTTTGTTAACCGCTTTTACTGATTGCCACATAAATTGTTTTCAGTTAATAATCTTTCTAATAGTCGATAAAAAAAAGTAAGAATATGTAAACATTTGTCAATTAATATGTGCATACACACATACCTTAACGAACTTAAGGATTACATTTTTATTATTGCTGGCGAACATTTTGCGTCATTTGGCATTTATATGAATAGTCATATATTAATTGCATATGACAGTAAAACTGGACGCGCTATACAAAAAATTGCACAGATGCCCAAATGACCCGTGACGTGTATCGTCAACCGCGGAAATCGTGAACAAAATTTATAGATACGAAGAAATAATTAAATTGTCACAAATTGTTAACCCCAATTCTCTTAGAGAAAGCGATCTTGCAGGTTCCTGTATGCAATCCATAACTATAGTATGTGGATGCAGTGCATTGCGTGCATTGGATGATGTTTGACGGGTCAAGGAGGTTTACTTACATGAATCTCTGTGTTTATCATATATAGACGGGGTATTTTCCTACGAACTCTCGATGGAATTTTTGGAACTTAGTAATCCGTAAGCACATGGGAAAAAATGAAGAAAAAAATTTACGCAACGTAAAAATAGTATGCTGGACAATGGCAGTTTTTTTTAACTTTCCGTTTCATGCTCCGACTCAAGTTTATCGTATTTAAGGTAAAGCAAGAGTATAATACAAAAATTGTTTTCAATGAAAAATTTCAGTTTTTTGTAATTCAATAACAGGTACCTTGACCAAATCTGTATCGGTACATATCAAATGACGAATGTCAACTTACTATAGGAAAAAGCAAAAACAGATTAAGAAAACATATTGAATTTAAATAATTTGTTTTTCGTCTCCAATGTGATAAAAGTGATAATAAAATTGTGATTTATTATTCGTTTCAGGAATGACAGTAATTACGGATGAGAGCATGCTTGATTTGAGAACTCCCATTCAAAATTTTTATGCCGATCAAAACATATTTATCACAGGTACACGTTACTGTAGTCTTTTGTATTCATTTTCATTGAAACAATATTACACAATTAATCATTGTTCGTTTTTTTTTAACAGGAGGGACCGGTTTTTTGGGCAAAGTATTAATTGAAAAATTGTTAAGAAGCTGCCCGGATATCGTCGGTATATATGTTCTAATACGACCAAAGAAGGGCAAGGACATTCACAGTCGTTTAGAAGCTATTTTCGACGATCCCGTAAGTATTTAACACAACAAAAAGCTTGAAATCAAAAAACAGAAAATTGGAACAGATGAAGCTTATTTTTTGGCAACTTTGAATCTTTAGTCATTCGCATAAAATATTTATTAAACATGCGGTAGTCCTCGTAAAATTGCAGAGAATCTCTAATCCAATGTAAAATTCATGTTTTGCCGATATTGATAATGCATTTTCAAACCCACGTTGTTTTCCAAAGAAAATTCTTATTTATAACTGTGTCTTGTCTTAATCCGGCTATCGGCCAAAATAATATAAAACAAGCTGTATTATGTTTTCATGCAAAATTAATAACGAAAAGCGTTATTAACAATTCTTTCAATTCGTTCAATCACACGCAGTGTGAACGAAATAAACAGACCCAATGATAATTGCAAAAATCTTTTTAGTGTTTTCAATGTAGCAAAGAAGGTCAATATTTAAAATGAGTTTCTTTAGTATCATTAATGAATCTGGTACAGAATGTAAGTGTTACATAACTGCTTTTTTATAACCTGGGCCAACATGATCTGTCAAATTAAAAAGGATCATAGACGCTTCGAAATAACTCGTTTCTATACGCAATAGCACACCAGTGGTAAGTCGTTATGTATATTTTCATATGCGACTTCGAGATGTGTGAAATAAGGAAACGATCTGGTTGGAATAAATGTGCATACATATATGTATGAAATATCAAGTTTGGATGCACTTAACAGCGTAACGTTTATTAAAATATAAAACTTTCAGCCTTAAAATGACGAATTCACACAGGGTCATTCACCACAAACGTACCAATTGTACCAAACGTTTACGTTAATCAAGGACCTTCTTAAACAAATGAAACATTCTGTAGCACATGATGCTAATAATGTTATGACGTTAACTTTCATTTTGTTCTGATTAATGAAATCACCCATTTGCAACCAACTTCGGCTGATGCTTTTTCCGTGAATAACCCTGTATATGTTCCACCTCGCGAAAACCTTGTTCGCTGGAATAATTTAATTGTTCTTTTTTCATAAGATTTATAAGTTCATAGACCCAGTGATACATTAAAGATTATTTGCTCCTTCATGTATCATTATCGGTTCTTTCTACAAAATACCAAGTGACACACTGCAGAACTAGGAAGCAGATAAAACTTATTTTTCTTTTAATGCGAGAGCGACGGTAATAGCTTAACTAGAATCGACGAAAATGTGTGAAATTATTATACAACAATTATACGGTAAATTTTGAAGGTGTCCAGCACTTCCGGTTATGGTAGAGCGCACGGGAAAAGCTTAGTCTACTGTCCTCTATTTGCAAAACATTTACGTAACACTTTCAATTTTGATAAGACCATTTGAAGAAATAACAAAACCAAAGAAAAGGCTTTAGTTCGATACCTAGTTCCAAACATTTGTTAAGTAATGCATCGTATCCATATATTCTTTCTTACTAATGCGAATATATAAGAGAAGATCACATAGTGACTTAAATAAATCAGTTAATCAATGCTATTCTGGAATTAATGTAGTAATATAGAATGATGTGGTTAAGAAAAAAATATGTTTGGCCTCGATAAAAAAATAAGTTAGAGATATGAGGAATTATTAAATGTACAGCTTTTCGTACAATTTTAAACGTATAATACAGTTTTATGAAATATCGACAGTCAAAGAATTATAAGTATTTATTAACTTATTGATTGCATGCTAATAGCAATTTTTTCAATAATGCAACATCTATGTGATTATTGATTATTTAATTATTTCATAGATGTACTGTATAAAACCATTAGACCTTTTAATATCACTTCCTATTTGTCTTTCAAGCGGAATCTCTTTTTCAAATAATACAAACTAGTAATACCAGTGACACGTTATATTACGCAAATTTCCAGATGTTCGACCGTTTGAAAAAAGAAATCCCAAAATTTCGTCACAGAATCATAGCGGTGGAAGGTGATTGCACTTTGCCAGGACTAGGTTTGTCACCAGTGGACCGAGAACTATTATTACGAGAAATATCCATCATTTTTCACGTTGCCGCCACAGTCAGATTTGACGAGAAGTTGAAACAAGCGGTGGCCATAAACATTAGTGGAACTAAAGAAATTTTGGAATTATCCAGATGCATGCGTAGTCTGAAGGTAACTACAAGTTATATAGAAAAAATTAAAAAAGAAAAATAATTATCGCACTTACTTTTTCGAAAAATTATGAGAATATCTCATATCTCGGCAAGGCCATTGATATGACTAATTCTAAGTGGACGAGAGTGATGTAAATATAAAAGTCACGTATCCTTTGTGCATTTCAAATCATTACCATAGAGAATTTGTGTTCGTAGAAAATATGATTATAGTTAAGCATCATTCATTATTCCAGGCGGTCATCCATGTTTCAACGGCTTACAGCAATTGTAATCTAAGAGAGATTGATGAAAAATTCTACTCACCACCAATTACAGGTATTCAGTTCGATCAGCATCATATATCTGTGTACTTATTACATATCCGCGTTATAATTATCATTAAAACAAACAGAGGGTTATGAAAATTCCTTGCAGGAGATAATATCATTAGGCTAGTTCAAAGTCTAAACGAAGAGAAGCTGGATGCGATTACGCCAGCGTTGCTTGGCAACTTTCCAAACACGTACACTTACACTAAGTGCACTGCTGAGCAAGTTATTCAACAATATGGAAAAGATCTTCCTGTAGGAATATTTAGACCAGCAATAGGTGAGTTTTACAAAATTTTATAATTCTAGCGTAGGTAGCGCTATATTTTTAAAATCCACACAAGGAAATCTTGACCCTAGCAGGTCATTATTGAAACTGACGATTTTGTTAATTAGAATATTACTCAAGGGGCTGATCCCATATCTTTCTTGAAAAATATCCTTTTTTCATGGATTATAATGTATAAAAAATATGATATGTTCACTTACGAACGTAGACACTAATTTTTAAAAGAAAGAAACATTTTTTATGATGCATTAAAATGCATCCAAGGTAAAAGATGGACCTACAGCTTTCGATTGTGAAATAAGTAAAGCATGCCACAGCTTTTTATTCGTTATAATTATAATTTTCAAGTAATTATGGAATAAATATTTTCACAATGATTTTTAAGATTACTATTCATATTCATACTAAATAATCCTCCACAACGATTATAGAATATAATAGTAGTTGAGTAATGATAAATAATAAATAAGCGAAGAACGCTTGTGCATCTGATAGATATAACACGCCTGATGTCCAGCATGAAATACATATGGTCGGACCGTGAGATCAATGTGTTCTTTTGACAGTTCGCAGACAGTGCAATGCTTAGCTAATCATGTGTAGTTTCTCATAAAATTACGGATGTATATTTTAAAATTGAAAAATATAATATATCTCGGTGTATAATTACTCTGAAAAAAATTGTATCCAGTGTCACGTGTTACTTGCTAGAGACTTTATTGTTTTTCAATTGTCAAAAAAATATTAAACTCCTGGATCGACTATACAATTTCACATAGCAAAAGTTTTTCAAATAAATAAACAATTGTAGAACATCTTTGAATTAAATGTTTCATCGATCGTTCATCTTATTCAAACGTATTATTTTATTTAGTGATCTCGTCTTATGCTGAACCAATTGAGGGATGGGTCGATAATATCAGTGGAGCAACTGGTGCACTTGTTGGTGCTGGTGCTGGATTGATAAGGACACTCAATATCGATCCAGATTGTACGGCAGAACTAGTGCCAGTTGATTACTCTGTTAACGCGTTAATCGCAACTGCATGGGACGTCGCAAATAATAAGTAAGTTTTATTGCACTGAAAAATTATAGTTTGCACAAAGCTAGGAATACTGCAATAGAAATGTATTTTCGTCAAAATGTATATGGCATTCATTAAGCATTTTTATAAACGTCATACATTTTTTGTATTTTATTACATGATTATACTATATGAAATATATGAAAATGCCACTTAATTCAAGGTTCGATAATACTTTTTTGCATTTTGATTCATAATTAACCAGGCCATACACGATATGTATTGATATTTTGTCAAATGCAAATTGTTAACAGTAAATCAATGGAAAAATAATAATTCATTAGATAGTACAGCAATAGGATTATTAACTGAATTATTGATATGAATAGAATGTAATTTATGTTGTTATATAATCGCAGAATACGATAGCATTTACATATTGAATGAATCGTCCCATAAATTGGAATGTCTATACAACGTGCATTACATAAATGTATTTTTTATCTATATTCTTTCTAAACCATAGCATTACGAATTATGAAATTGCTTTATGTTTATTGTTTGGCTTACGTTCTTTATTTCTATTTATTAGATTTTTATGTTACATCCACCATGAGTTTAATATTTTTTTTTATTAATTACTTAGACACAATATGCACAATTTGTAATTAAACCGAAAATACTTTTATGTTTAGGAATAACGAAGCAAATCCACCCATCTACAATTATTATTCGTCGTCGAGCGAGAATGTGACTTGGGGACAGTATATCAATTTAGCAATGAAATATGGGAAAACAATGCCCAGTTTGAGGAGTATGTGGTGTTACAGTGTAACCGTTGCTAAAAATTATTACGTCTATTACATATTGAGTGTCTTACTTCACGTACTACCTGCACTTATTATTGACATAGGTCTTTTCCTTACGGGGCATAAAACCAGGTAAATTTGAAAACCTTTCGCCAGTCGTTTTAAATACAAAGTTTTGACTGCCACGTTATACGTTTAAATAGTTCTATCAGTCCAGTGATCTATGTGCACATGGTCACTGGTGAAATGGAGGTGTCATCCATACACGAGTGACGTGATAGTCAAAGTGTTAAAAAATGTTATTAGAAAATATTTCGAAGAATACGTGTACATTGAGAATGAAAAGAAAAAAAGAAAATTGTTTAGGCAATGTATAATATGGTATTGGTTTTTTTCGCAGAATGTTAAAGATTTACAAAAAAATTCACAAGTACTCCATGGTGACGACATATTTTAGTACGAATAAATGGATTTTCAAGAATAACAATACTAGAACATTGTGGGAGACGTTGAATGACGAAGACAGAAATATATTCTTCTTCTCTATGGATCATTTCGATTGGGAAGATTATATGAAAAAATGTGTCGCAGGACTTCGACAATATATTTTCAAAGATGACCTCAGTACTGTGCCTGCCGCTAAAAAACGCATGGCAAGGTAAAGCATTTCTTACATATGTTACACAATACACCGTAATGAATATTCTAACGGGAATATAAAAATACGATTGTAAACTCTTTGAGAACGTGGTCTATCCTATATACGCTTCCTAATAGTTGTTTTAGTAACTTTGAAAAATATCATTAATTGAAAACCATTGAAGATGATGTTTACATATTATAAAGTTATTGTGAGGGGACTCATACAATGAGGACATACAATTTTTTCAGATATATATCGGTATTATTCTCTGTGTCTTTTTTTTTTTTGCAGGTTGCTCATCTATCATAGGATCATTAAATACACATCAATAGGGTTGTTCGTGTGGTTCATATACTCCGTGATTGCTTTGCTTCCATTGATTAATTCAATAAGCGTGTTTAGCATGTCGGTAAGTGAAAGTGTTACCGTACGATAAAATATATTTCAACGTGACTCGGATCGGTTATGTAGATATCTCATAGAAATATCGAGCGGTTGAAATGTCGGCTGCAAGAAACAATTTCCTTTTTTGTGCTGGATAGAAACTTCTATATACCAGAAATGATATGCTTAAATTCATTCCTTACCGACCGTCGGTATTATAACGTTAAATTTTAAAATGTACAGTATTTTCGATTCAGAGAATATGATTGCATCGATAACATGGTGTAACGTGGATACTTGACAATTTTGTAAAGACTAGAAAAAATACGTACACGGACACACCTTAAATTTGGAGCACTTAATTTCTGCGATTGAAAACGCCATTTAAAAACCTATACTTTATGTCGTAATAATGTTACCAAGAAATAGAATGGATAAAGGGTGTGTAATAGAATAAAGAACGACATAAGCATTATTGTTTGAATCAAGTGTTACAAATCAATTTTACAATAGTTAGTAGTTTACAAATGTTAGTAATATATGGAACAATTATTCGATTTTGCGATATGAATGCATAATTTATCTGAATGTGTATATAATTTATAAAAAGATGTAAGTACAGTATCAATTTGTCATATATTGTCAAAAGCGCAAAATTAGGACTCTTTTATTGACTGTTTACTCATAAACGTATAATTTTATTTGTTATATTGCTATTTCATAGATATTATTGAATACTCATATTATTTTAAGAACAGTGTATATTGTAAGATTTTCGTTGGAAGAAACGATATATTTAAATTTGAATAAAAAATTTTACAAATTTTCATGTGAACAATTAAAGATTAAAAATATTACACACAGATGATGATTTACATTAACATTTGTAATCACTATTATTATAATAATTAATAAAAATGAGTTAATTCCATGTAAACAAAAATTCTATTCCCGGACTCGCCGCTACGATTTAGCGCCATGATTTTGGTATCGCCTAAAACCGTAGCGCTGTGCATCTCCCTACTGATCTCTGCCGCGGACTATCTTCGAACTCTAAAGGCATGAATACTGCGAACTTGGTTTCCATGAACATATTCGACAGCTGTGTGACATGACCAACGCAGGACCTCAATCTTGCCGACGGTGGATATGTCCATGACCGGGTACTTCGGACCAGGTTTTCTAAGTTCCTTTACGGAGTCGCACAGAGCCACAGGATCACAATCGCGCTGAATTTGATATCCTCGTACCAGTTGACGTTCTGAGGGGCTGGGCATGTCCCCCATTGGAGATACAGCCAGAAAGGAAAGGAATGGGAAGGTTCTGAGCGGACATATTCAAGCCTTGACTAATGTAGTGTCCAAAAACCCTACGAGACAATTTTCGGGTTACCTAGTGGTTATCGGTCCGGTAAATAGCGGGTTATCTAGAGCTCCTGATGACAGCACAGCTCATCCCACATTTCCTGGTGCGTCAGAAAAAAGTGTTATTGACTAAAGTTGGTACAGCATAACCCAAATAGACAAGGAAAGAAACTAATTTATCACAACTATATGACAAACGGGAGACCTGCCACGAGGTCTCTCAGGATAACGCAGGTATTGTATAATACAACAGGTCGCGACATTATAAAACATGCTTCATAAAACAACTGACAATAGAATCAGATACAATAATCCATTGTATAAAGCTGATTGCAAGATAAATAAGAATGAATTAAAACTGAATTTAACGCAATGAAAAAATCCAAATTATGATAATGAAGCTTTTAAGAATTATAAAAATGATAAGCGTAGAACCACAAGGGTCTATAATTAAGCTTAAAAAAAGAAGAATATAAAGATTCTCTTGTAGTCACAATATCAAGGGCTAATGACTTGAATACTTATGGACCCATAATTCATAAATTTAAACCAAAGCTGGGGCACGTCTCTCAAATTGATACAAACTCGCGGTAGACATACGCATTTTTTAGCCAGAGAGTTCCAGTTTACCACTGAGAGTCCTCAAAATAAATATCATCTATAATTATCGATACTACTGACGAACAAATCAAAAACAGTCTTTATTTTCACACCACAACTTAAAGGAAGTAAATTGTTGATGAATTCCGACACTGCAATAACACGTATAATATTGAGTATTTTACTGCATTCTGCAAATTCAAGTGTTTAACGAAGTGTGTTCTGTTTTTTTTACGTTTTACTACGTGGAAATAACACACACCTGCATATAAATGTGTAAAAAGTGACTACGATGGAAACGATAAGAAATAACACACTTCGTTACATACTTGGATTTGCAATATAAAGCAAATCGACGGCATTCTACTATTTTAAGACTTACAAAGATCTTTACGTAAGCATTTTACCATGCCTTGAATATCTCTCATTTCTTTTTATCATGATTATATTGTAATTTACGACATATTTCTATCTTATTTAAAATATACGGAACTTCGTTGCGTGGACTCTTAAAGTCTTAAAACAAGTATTTAAATTTAAAAAATTCTCTTATATCGTGTTTCATTGGTAACTCAATAATTTGCGTGGATTTGAAATTTACGATCGTAATTGTAGCATTTTTTTTCATTTTTATTTAATATTAATATGAAAAATTCACATCTACTGGACCCACTAATTGCACGATGATATTATATTTATTATAAGTCATTTATTGACTCTTGATGGATATGAGATCAGGCGAAAATACGTAAGAACAAAGTCCTAAACACAACGAGCATCTTAAAATTTAAGATTCAATCACTACGTTTGTTTAATTTACATATGAAATAATGATTATCAGTATTTTATGTAACTTGCATGATGATTATGCATTTTTTTAAATTGTTCATCTTTTAGTTAAAAATACTTTTTATTTTTCAATTTTATATTTAATAAATATGAACTGTATCGATAAACACAACTTTGGCGATACATAGATTAAATATTACGTCGCGCATTACTCGCTACAAAATATTGTATTGATCATTTAATATTTGTACGAACAATTATTTTTAGCAGTTACTTACCTTAAATTATAACTTTGTATTCCTACAAATGATTATTGTCATGCATTACATTAAAATGTAGTGTTTCAAATGTAAGTTAAAATCTGAAATTTGAAGTGACATAGACAGTGTCCCTATGAGAATGTCCAATTTGTCATTAAACCAATTAGAGAATTGGTTAATAGTTGCGCGGTAATCATGAAGGCTTTCACCAGGAACTATGAAACAGTTGAGTGAAAACACGCTGAAGGCAATAAGATATTTCGTAATGGTCGTCAAGTAAGAATGCTAGACTTTTAAACAGACCTTTGAATTGACCTTACGACCTTGCCGGCAAACACATTTTTTAAAGATGATATATGAAAGTTCGATGACCAGTGTCCAAATATGATAAATTAGATGCATGGCGACAAGGATGCTTGACAGCCACATTCTGAGCTCTTTCATCGTAGCAGAAAGTACTCAATTTTTCTTTTAAAAAATATCAACGTTCATTTCCTGAAGTTCAGAGTACGAATTTCTTTTTTCTTTCTATTTTAGCGTATGATGATATAATACACCTTAAGATATTCAAATCTAAATTATACATTTATATGTATATGACCTCTTATCTTCCATTTTCGCATCGAATGAACATATTGTAGCAAGTTTTTTTGTTGGGAATTTCGAATTACGCATGATCGAGTCATTAGTCCTTATGCAGTCCTAGCCAAAACCAAAGCTGCACTTACAGAGTTATTCAGTAGAAACGCACCGCCTTGAACATGGTTCTGCCATAGAAATCAAATGGACGGGCTAACTTCAGGTGGTGTATTTCTACTGAATGACCCAGTATGTGGACGAGTCGTACGTTAACACATGTTTTGTTCCGCGTTCATAAATTTATTATGTATTATATATTCACACAAACCGATGTTTAATATTATATTGTAAGTTTTACGCTATACATGCATTTTAATGTGTAATTACGTTCAGAATATTTGGTGAATGGCTATTAACGAATATATGTATACATTATTTTGAAACACTACACATTTAATAATAGAAATTCATTAAGATAATACAACCTTACTAATGTATCGTATTATACATGAATCCTGCTTTTTTAGGTAAATTATCACATTACATAAATTAAGAGGAGGCATAAATTCTACACGTAAATATTTTACATCTGCATGTTCCACACGTGTTAAATGCTACTTGTAGGACTTTTAAGGTCTAGGTTATTGAAATGCAGGATATATGTTTTCCCTAATTTAATAAGCAAAAAAATTAATTGAATAAGCCTACGATCTTCGAGTAAACGTAAAAGTATACGTCAGTAGAATACATGTACGTCAGACCACAAATTAGTGACACTCACAAAAAATAAGCATTGACGCAAAAACTATATGAATTTTTATTGTTATTCGCTCTGTCTTACGAAATTTTGTCATTGGTTGTGTATAAGCATAGTTATTTAGCGATATATTACCATTGTTCTTTCAGTTTCAATAAACTCATCTGAACATACAGATTATTTGATTTTTATAAATATGTAAAATTCCTTCCACATCAATTTACGTCATAAGGTCGACAATTACACCTCAGTCAATAGCAAAAATGTTAATACCACAAAATAAATATTTTCATCTAACATGTAGCACGTTAAATCATACTCGTTTCTCGAAAGACAAAGAGTAAAAATTTTTATTCGAATGAATATCTTTACCACGGTAATAAGTACTAATATCATCTAATCCAATGTGTCAAAAAGTCTCATTTGTCACTCACGTAAGAAGAATGATTGAGATATTTTTCAAAACCGAAATATTTTATTTACTCAAAGCATTATATTTATTTAATTTAAATATGCTAAACATACATTGATCATTTTTTTTACCGTCTGATAAATAACAGTGGACCCAACTTATTTCTATTAAGTATTTTGCAGAATCCTGTAACTATGCTGTTACTGAGAACGTGGTCCCATCTTTATTTAACAATTGCGAAACAAAACCCCAAACAATTTCAAGGCGTTCGTAAAATACACAAGTTAAAGGAAATACGAATTGTGAGCGCGCAGTAAATATGAGACACTATGTGTGTTAAATTTATCGTATAAAACGGTATAATATTCACAGCATCAGAAATGATGGAAACATACCGTTAGGTGTCCTCGAATCTGGTGATAATGAAATGGATGTCGAACATGACTACTAATTTATTTAACGGTTCGAATGAAAGTGGTATATGTATAAAAGAAAAATTTAAAATTTAAAGAAGTATATCCGATAGAAGTACATCTAAAATATACACGAAATGTGAAAATTGATTTTGACTCCCTCGAGCGTTACTCACTTACTAGTACACTCAGGGTAAATCTTATTGAAGTCCTATACTATAATATAATCGCATGCAGATTAAATTTTGTATTAATTCGTATAGCTGCATACAGATCATTCTTTCTTTTCATATCGCCATCTTTTTTCAATAGTATTGATCGATAAATGCCCAACAAATATACATTAGTAATTCCTTATACATAAAATTGCTTAGAACAGGTAATTGAACACGGTAAGTACATACACGTTAATTGTAACTAGTAATTTTCTACAGAATAAATATTACCATAAAGTTTTACTGATGTAACTTGCTACAAAAACAGTTTCTTTAGCATAGCAATATAGTAATATTACAATATAACAATCATAACATGAGTATTATCATAATATAGTATAACCATTTCGATTATCCAATTTAATAAAATAAAACGACAATAGTATATTACATTGATAATATTATAATATAAGATTACGATTGTTACCTTACCACATTACACACGTGTAATGTAATAGTAACATGTCGTGTTTTGATGGATGAGACTATGAAAATCTTCAATGGGATCGTAAATTATAAAAATTGTTTATATTTAAAATTACATGTTATTACATCTTATCTAATTAGGAAGTTGTAATTTGTACAATATATAATTAAAGCATGACTGGTCAAGGCTTTACACACGAGATGCAAGTGTATCGACCTACTTAACAAAGTATCGAAAAAACAGGATTCGATAAAAAATTAAAATCCTAATTTACATTGCTTACAAAATTTATATAAGTTTCCTTAAAGCAGATAAAAATAGCTTTTGTTTCTTAAATTTCCTTTGAAATTATAGATGTGACTTGTCAATTTTTATGAGTAGGTTTACTTAACAAAAACGATGATCCTCCAGGGACATATCCAAAGGAAGGTTTCCTCAAGACCGTCATCATCGCAAATATGAGATAATGGTGCTGATACTTCTTCAACGATCACTTCAATATGCAGAGTTGTCAATTTTAAAAAAGAACATGAAGCCTAATGAACTTCTTCGCGTAGCTGATCAGGTAATTGCATAGACCTTGTACCGCACTGTAAGATCAGCAAAAGCAAAATTTTTTTCAGAACACCTGCGATCTTGAGTAATTAAAAAACATTACTAACCTATTTGTGCTCCGATTTTTCTGCACGACAAGGATAAAACTTGGAGTGCCAAGGATTTAAAATACTGGAACTTATGACTTATGAAATGAGGAGGGTAATAATAGTTAAAATTAATTTTCAAAAGAAAAGCATTGAACGAACAAGCGTTCGGTGTACATAAAGTAGTCAGTCAAGTTTTCGAAATATGCGTGTTAGACCATACAGCAATATCTTTGTGCACAAATCCGGGGTAAGACGGAGTGACCTCACCGCATATTTAAAGGCAGTACTTCTATGAAGACGTTTAGTTCTATTTAGACAGTCTGCCTATTTGAATCACTAAGTTCGCTATAAATGAGGTAAACGTGGTTCTTTAAATTTTCTCAAAGTAAAATAATCTTTCCGTGATCGATCGGTCGCATGTCTTTGGAGTAAGTGAACTCTTGTCTTAAATAATATTTGATTGATAATTAGCGCGTGTACGTAAAAACATGTTTGTTGCACGTCAAAGTTTTACAGTGTAAAGTTGGACAGGGGAAACTCATTGATTACAGTTGCAATTAAAATTATCTGTAAGTAGTTCAGACCAAGCGTTCTTTTCGGAAAACGCTCCTAGGTGAAAGTCAAACTTGATTATATTAATCGATATCATTAATTTACTAATCATTAATTGTCTATAATTTTATATCTGTGAAAGCCTTGACAATTTTTGTAAATATGAAAGTATCAGAAATTGAATCTTCAACTGACTCTTAAAATATTGAGGTAATAAAGTATTTGATATTTCTATAACGATGGCTTATACGAAAATATAGAAAATATAGCTTTTGTAGAAAGCTTTAAGTATATTTTTAATCTCTATATCACCGGATATTCAAAAAAATTTTAGATTACTTACAGCGAAATATGATACAAACTCTAAATCAAGTAATATCATATATTTGAGATGCATCTTAATCTCAATATGTCATTTGTAAATTCAGCAGCAAACTGAACTTGGTTGTAAACTAAACCCACGTTGCAATTGCGTGCGACTTCGCGTGTTCTGAACTTTTTTGCATTTGATCTTGTTTTAATTCCATCATCAATCATTGCAAATGTAAGGATCGCGTGTACACTTACAAACCATAACAAAGCTTCGCACCACGGGGTGAGCCAGCTTGATCTAAATATGATGGAAATCATCTCAACATGTGTATCCCAGTTCTTAGACAACAGGTGAAACAAATTTTTGTGAAATCCAAATTTCTCAAAGTTCAAATTTAAGTGTGAATAAAGACGTAAAAATATATAATATATAATATCGCTATCGAAAACCTCGTAATTATCTCATATAGACATTATAGCTTAACAGTTGTATTTGTTAAATTAAACGTTGAAATGAAGCTGTAAAAGAATCGGTAATCTTGGTTACATATGTTGCTTCGTTTATCGTGCTAAATAAGGGAAATAATTTTATCTCATTTATACCATGCCAAAGTTAATGATAAATATGGTTTAAGTTTACCTTCATAGGATGACGAAAAAGAATTTTTACTTAACTTTCACATTCTCCATACATTTGCAACATGCTGTTTAGTTTGTCAGACTTTTATTTCGATGCTAGCATTGAAATATAGTCGGGGCCGGATTGTGCATATAGCCGTTGCGTTATGGTAACATATTTTTACTCAAGTTTCCTACCTAAACGTATTATCTTGCTTTTTTATATTTGAGAGATATACTGTAGTTGAGAGTTAATGTTTCACGTCCTGCCCTCTAGTGAACATGCATATACCAAATCGTATCGAAGAAGGACGAATTCAGCGTCATCTGTCTATTTCAAATTTACATTAGGTTTCCTCTAATTTGTGTAGCAGCATGCAATGATTTTGCATTCTATCACATATACTGCAACTAATAAGATAATAGAATGGCAACAAACTGACATCATGGAATTATATTATTTATTTAATCACATGTTATTTTCATTTTTATTATCTGACCTATATTAAAGCGAATAATGGCAACCTGAACAGAATTTTTGATTAATAGGTTGCTATTCATGCAACAATGAATTTGAATCAAGGTCTAGTGCAAATTTAATTATTCATTTGCAATACTTATTTGACTTCAGCGATAAGGTAAAAATTTCTTAAACTTTGAAGCAATCCATTACTTCAGTGATGAAGTCAGTGTATCTGGGATGTTACTCCATTGAATATTAGCATTAAGTAAATAAACAAAATAATACTTCACGCATCATCGACAAAAAATTTTTAGCATTTCGAGATTGAGCCGTCATAAATTCCTATGATGGCCAACGACGCTTTTGTCCAGCGTAAGATCTCTTCAAACTTTCACGTTGTGAAATAATAGCTAAACATCTATGTCAGCCTTTAGGCTATTATCCGTCTTTCGCCGTGAAATGCGTGTAGCGCGCAATCTGTCCTTTTCCCGGCAATTGTATAACCTATGCCAAGCGATTATATAAGTGTCCAGTTTTGAAAACTTAGGCTCAACCGAGCGGCAGACAACTCGTAAACTATATCAAGTTAGTATTTTAATAATTTTGTCGATATAAAAGCGACACGATGCCGTGTGAACGTGACAAAGACCGAAATACTTTCATCCATGACGCAACATTTTGTTTGAGTATGAAATATGCACACGCACCGTCGATAAGACACGATGCATGAAGTTTCTACAAATTTATCCTTTTAAATTTACGAATGTCTTTGCACTTACGTAAAACTCCTTCCGCGACATAACTGATTATTGGAACACTTCAAGTATATTTGAAACTTTTTTAAGTGTGCATACTTAATATCTATGCATGCGAACTAATTTATAAATACCTATTCGACAATTTATTGAATTTATCGATAAACCATTAAATAAAATAAAAAAGGAATTTTTCTTCAAAATGTCAATCTAATGCTTTGGACGTTCGATCAAAGAAATTCATTCAAAATTAAGGATTCTTTTCTGGTTAAAATCTGTCCGGAATAATTTTGGCGCATTTCAAGCTTCATACTTACACATAAACCTGCATTATAATACGACACGCGATACTGCTTATTAAATTATCTCTTTTCCTTATTGAAGTTAAATTTTTGAATTGTCTTCAACTCGTACATCACCCGCAGACGTCCAATTACCTTAGTACTTCCTGTTCCGCTTAGTTTAATACAGTGTGTCTGGTACGCTTGCAATCCACTAATTGTCCACTTTAGTTTCGATTATACTTGCTTTTATGCATATTACATATATTAAAAATTCACGTGGCGTTTCTGATGACGATATCTCTATGATACGTGAACAGCATGAGAGTAAAGAAAGCAGTGCCCCTTACGAAGTACAAAGATTTAGCAATGAGTTTCTAGAGTATGTCATAATTATTTTTTGAACCTTGAAGAATAAAAAATGAAATGACGAGGAACAGAGCATGAGTAAAATTCAAATATGGGATTATTAATCATTTGGTTGAGCGAAACTCTAATTATTAACGTTATACAATACTCATTACTTAACGTACACAAGCTTAACGTCAGATAGAACGTCTGGAAATCTTTTATTTGTTCGTAACGATCTTTGCCCAATCAATATTCCCGTTGGAAACTTTAATGCGCGAAATGGCTCGTATTTCTTATTTCTTTCGAGGTTTAAAGTTGACACTCTCACAAGTCCCCATATGGTTGAAAGCTTAGCAGTAAATCTATTCCTAATGACTTCTATTGCATAATCCTTGTTTGTGTAAATATTTCATGTACATCGTCGAAATTTTTGTATTATCGGAGAACATATATTTACATTTTTACCGAATACTATTTACCGGATATATTAAAATAATACAACCCAATTGTATTTTATATAATAGAGACTTTCAAGATGTATCGTAAAGTATAACTCATACTCGGACCGCTTAGTTTAAAAATAAATTAAAAAAAAAACTAATAAATCATAATCAGCGTTAAACCGACTGACTTGACTCTTTTTAAAACTACTGGAGTCTCATTCCTTCCTCGCGTAATTTATTACGTCATAATTTATTAAACATTTTTTTTTAATTCAGACGTCAATCAGATTTAAATAAATCTCATCTGTCCGTTAAGCATAAAAAAGTCTGCTGACATAGAATTAATTAAATCAAGCATTCAGACACCTACACGGACATAGTTTTTGTAAAATTTATTACATCATTATCGTAACTGAAGATCAGACTGACATACTGATTTAAATTTTCAAGTTTTCGTTTTATTAATACTATGCAAATCGTTACTTTTAGTGTTACACACGTGGTAACTTTTTAAATACAGAAACATGCGAAATATCAAGTTAAGTTTAATTCTGAAATAATAATTTTACATTTTCGCAATCAATATGGTTACAACCTTACGGGCTATAAATGCCTTCCCCTCCGTTCTTTACCAACGAGCGAGGAGGTTCTGAGTTTCGTAACGCATATCTCGTTAGAAACGTCGATTGATATTTTAGTTAAAAGTTAATAGATAAGCTCCAACACGCGTACTCTTGGGGTCCACATAATAGAGTTCGCTTGAGACTTGTGACAAGTAGTCTGACACAATAGAACTACACTGGCAGTGGTAGCGAGGCCGTAATTGTAAGAAAACTTCCCTTGCAGCCCCAACACGAGGCTTATAACCAGGTGCACTGTGCGACGTTAACGTTCAATGAAAAGATGTATCGCTAACACTGCTTCTGACCTCAATCTCTGTCAGTCCCTGCGAACCGAAGAAACTTCGAAAAACATAACGGAACCGATTATGAGAATTTCTATGGAGATTCACAGGACTTCGGAATACGGAAATGGTGTAATGAGATCATAATAATACGTTAGCCTAATTGCTTTCAGAGAGGACCAAAGACCTAACTAGTGAGGCGTACAGTGGGCCGTATAACGGCACTATAGCACACCACCTTACATAGCTACGTTCGAAACGTCATATAACGTAACTAAGCGAGCTGATGTTACTTCCATCGGAAGGTGGCTAAACTGCTGACGACTTGAAATTATTGGTTGATCAACATTTAACAAAGTCGTTGCCAACTGCGTCCTGCAATCTGATAATGATGAATAATCTGCCAGCTCATCGAACCAAGGTCAGTGATCATCCTATAGGTTATCGAGTAACCATCCGCGTTAAAATAACGTGAACGACAGACGCTTTTGGTTGACTTTCACAGTTTCAAAAGAGATTCTGTTGCAACCGCATGATCCGAGGAAAAAGAAGAATAGGACAGGTCGATTTGAGTAACATGAGTAAATTGAGAAATTACAATGACTTTCACAGTTTTCTACGAGCTTCCTTTATTGCTGTACGAAATGTCATGTGCAGGCGTGATATATTTCTTGCACTTGTAATTCAGTGTCTCGTCTACGTCATATATCCGAAAATAAATGCTCGTTGAATATAATATATTTTGTTAGACATAGATAAAAGAAATATTAGTGACTCTCATAATCTCAACTAACAATAATGTTCAGACAATATCGGCCAGCTTATTATACAACCGGTATAGGATTTATCACGAAGACACTGTTAATATCCAGTACCAAAATATATCTCTTGAAAATTTAGGCAGAAATGTAAAACACCGATTTCACAATAAATCAAGCGTAGTATAAAGGTTTACAAAGCGTTCACACAGTTATCACTTAATTCTAAAAATAAATATCACAGTACAGATACATCGTCAGGATAAATACTCAATAAGTTACAATGACTTCTAGGATACTAAAATTCTGACTAAATGTCAACTGTAATGTATTTAATTAAAGGACGATGGCGTCAACAGACTCGTGCCTTGCTGAGCAACGACTAAAATAGAATGACGATCGGGTAAGGACCAAACGGGGTTAAAATGTGTTTAGTCACCGGGAAGAATGTAATTGGGGACAGTGCGTTCTCCAGAGGAACGCTCGGCTCAGTGTTCTCTAAACTGAAGTCGAGTCAACGTCCACCGTAAGGACGACCGCAGACTTGCCTTCCGACGTATACGTATAACAGTCAGCGATATTCCGTGTCACGTGTAAATTCCACTTGAGACTCATTTAAACATAAAATAGTAATGCCCCGTGAAAATCCAAGCTATGCAAGTGAAATTGAAAGTATGAATCTGAACAATTTGCGATCCTTTATTTCAATCTGTTAAAAAAGTATTTGACCGTGATCGTGAATTGTATAAATAGCGGATACGTAGACCGATAGCAATTTTTCGGCTATTTTCTTACGGGTAGTGCAGTGCTCCAAAGACATTGGAGAAAAGCTCTCCAGAATTTTTTTCACGAAAGTTCAACGAATAACAGAGAGAAATGTTACTGGAAATGGATCTTCCGAATCGCGAGACTGCATGCGAAGTTAGTGAATACGTTTCGTTATGTATTATATACGTATACAGAAATGATACTCGATAGAAAATTTTCAAAGAATTATAATAATTCGTATAATTCGAAGTATATACGGAAAGGACTTATTGTATGCGTGTGATTGTATTCGATGCATAAGGTCGAATTGATAAATAATATATCATTCGCGTACGGGAAACTTCTTCCCAGGTCTGAACAGACTAAACCAAGTAAGGAATCGAGAGATTTCGAAAGTCGCGCGTAAGTCGCTCCCGGCCGGAATACGCGCGTCACGAATTTTATAGAAAGGTTCATATAACTCTAATTCAACGCAGGATAAGATTACACGCCATTGTATGGCTGGCATGTTACATTGACGAGTAATGTTTGTATACACTTCGTTTATTACAATCATTTCCATTTTTATAACGTGAAGCACACTTTTTTTTTTCAAAAAGTTTTTCGACGAAAACGATTTTGGATAGTTTAACGAGCCCAAATTTTCATTAAACGTACATGGCTAAAGGAATATGTGCATTACGGAACTGTAGTCGCTCAAGCCATTGCCTGATTGGCATTACATAAAGTCGGTCGTGTCTTGTTCATTTTGCCAACGTAACGAATCGCGGTTTCGCGTGGTTACGGCCATTCACGTTATTATCATAAGAAAGTGAAACAGTCCTGTGAAAACAGAGGATGTTTCGTGGGAACGGTGGCTGCTGGTAAAAATTATAAGCACTGTGATCATTTTTAATTTTGCAAAAGATTTGAAAAAATCGCGGAAATAACTCTAAGCAATACTATTGGCGTTAAAGTGTCCTTGACACAGAGACCAACTTTCGGCATGCTTGGATTCAAGTATTCGAGTCACGCGAAATAATGTTTCCTATGAGAAAATCATACTGTATCATCAAGATCCACTTTCCATTTAAGCATAATCACTTTTACTTGGTAATAAGCGTTATAAGGTGATATATTTTACAAAGAAAAGTTGTGATGTAAAAGTCATCATTACTGCAGGAATGATACCAGCAGAACAAGTTCTTCGTTATATTTATTGTGTATACATGACGCGTAACGTTAAAGTGCAGTAAGTGACGTAACAGGTATTATTTATTGGACGATCGAAAGCATCGTTAATATTGTTCAAATTGAAGCCATGCTTTTTTTGTCGGACTGTATCATCCTAGAGAACTGTTATTTTAGATTCAGCTGAAAAAGAGTGGTATTTTTTTTCATTACAGGCAGATACAGTTTACGCGGATCCTGCCATTATAACCAATGAGGACAATAACAATGAAGTCGCTCATCATATTGGAGAAAATGAGGTTACTATCAGACAAGGAACGACTCTCCAGCAATTTTACGCTGGACAGTCTATCTTTATTACAGGTAGGTAGAAACGTGGTGAACGATAGTATTAAGGATTGATAATTATTTTTACGTTATTAAACTACACTTCTTTGAGGACACTACCAAAAAACTTTATTCAAGTCGCAGTAAAAAAATGTAACCAAAGAATTGTTAAATATGAAACAACTATTTTTGCTTTGTTTTCTTTTATCTTTTTCTTTCTTATCGTCTATCGTCTCTTTAATACACTTCGTAATATCTTATCACATTGGACGAATAGATGTGTATATAAAAATTCTGGCATAGATCTTTATGTTCTTGTTAATGTGGATAAACTTTCATTATTTTTATCGATAGACATCATCGCTCCAATCCAACATTGTGCACAGTTGGAGGGATTATACATATATCTCATTTTCAAAAATCGATTTTTTTACATATTTTTTAATATTCTCTTTTAAATTCCGCTTTCTCATTTGGAATAATATTTTCTTTTTCAAAAAAATTCCGGAATATTAACCTTTTTACGGGAGGACATTCTCCTGCTTTTCCTTCTTCATTAAATTAGATATGATTGTCTGTATTTTATTGATTGTAATTCTTTAATCTATATTCTTTCAGGTGGAACCGGTTTTCTTGGACACATTCTTATCGAAAAATTACTACGAAGCTGTTCGGATCTCTCAACAATTTATTTACTCGTACGACCAAAGAAGGGTAAAGACATTCAAAACCGGCTAGAACAAATATTCACAAACCCGGTAAGTATTTCCTTGATTCTGGAACCATTTCTCCTTTTTCCTTTAATGTCTGCTCATAAAATGGTAACGAAGTGGCACGAAAATTATGTTCGATATATCCTAACATTAATTGACTATTGAATATCCTATGCAACGTGGAAATACAGTATTAGCGGCAATCACGCAAAACAACAGGTGCCATATCATATTACTTCCGCGTGTATAACATAACACGTACTTTCTTACGTCTGCCTACTATTTTCTAATTTCACTGGAAATTTCATTAAAACTAAAAACTTAATTGCGTCAATTCTCACCACCGAGAAGAAAATACACGCATTGGAAAGATTTTACATTTAATAGTCTTTATTCACAAAGCAGAATTTATCATTTTTCTGTGTGCTTCAATATTGTTACGATGCTTCGTAGAACTTGTACAAAGGAAAGTAGGTAATGATTTTCAAGTTTTTACGGAAGAAACAGTTATATACTACAATACATAACTAAGTTATGCCATAGAATAATAACTTAAAACTGTAAGAATCGTACACATTGATATTATATGTGCACAAAACGTTACTAGAAACATGATAAATTAGCTCGAATAAAACAGTAATAGATATGGTTAAACACATAACTACCCTACCCATGTATACGTACCTTCAAGGAGGCGAAGAGTCATGACGTAATGATCACTACTAATAGCGTACAAATTGACAGTTCAATAGAAATTTTGAAGAATACATTTTGTACTCGATCATTGAAGTGAACAACTCGTCAGAAATCAAAGAATTACATATATTTAAAACTTTTAAAGTTCTACGTTTTTTTCATTATACTATTTATATAAAATTATTAGTTTCACTTATTTGTCATCAAGACAATATTAAAAATTTTCAAAATTATAACAAACACAGTCTATCCTATGTAAACTGAATGAACGAAATTGCAAGAAAATAATAAGGAAGGTACGAGGAAAATATTAAGTTGCATTTGATAATAATATAATAAATTCTTATATAATATTGTCATAACATGACGTCATTTTTATATACCAATGTGAAGATCTTCAATCGCCTGAAGGAAGAGGTGCCAAAGTTTCGTCACAAAGTTGTGGCCGTAGCCGGTGACTGCAGCGCTCAAGATCTGGGACTTTCTTCAGCAGACAGAACTCTTCTGATTCGTAACGTAAGTCTGACGTAACGGTTGAATAACTACGTAGAGCCAAGCGAACAGATCAGCTCGTAACTGATATAATATACCCGCTCTTTCACTTGGGATGGATTTCGTTCGCAATGACGGACTTCAATGCCGGAAATTTCAACTCGTAATCAACTAAAATATTCACACTCTGCCTCTATCGCTCCGGAATCCCACCAGGAAATTGTTACATGCTCACTTTAATTATCCTAAGTACCTGAATGCAACGCAAACAACAATAATGATATATTTCTTTAGGTGTCAACTGTCTTCCATGTGGCAGCAACTGTCCGATTTGATGAAAAATTGAAACTTGCAACGGCGATAAATATACGCAGTACTGGTGACATCATCGATTTGTGCAAACACATGCCAAAACTGAAGGTAAAAGAATTTATGAATTTTTAAAAGATATTAACATTATTTTCATGTCCGATTTTATTTTCAAAAAGAAAAGAACGCTACATAACTATTATAATTATTCAAGGTCTACTACCTCTCAGACATACTCAGTGTATGTTGTAGTTTCTTATAGTCATAAATATATAGCAAAAAGGTTAAGACATCCTTGTCCAATACTGTGCAATTTACATACTGAAGTAGGTTGAAGGTACCTAATATGTTTCGGTGACATCTCAATCGAACATTTGGACAGTATACGTGGTTCGTTTAGTAAAGTACAAATTGCATTCGACATAGTTCCAAACTGGTATTTGTTCCTTGACATGGTTCAGCTGTGTATGTCTGCATTACTAATTTAGTATTTCTTTGTTCTCGCATTACATAATATATCACTAGTGAAAACATCTCTTACAATTATTAATTAATACAACAAATTCCAATTAGTAGTACCGAGGTCGAATAACGTCAATCGGGCAAAATATTACGCAACTTTTTTTTTGCAAAAATGATTACACTATCATTAAAAAGGCATATGATTGTCAATATTTATTCATGACATCTTTTTGTTTATATCTGTTTAGCATGAACTTTTTTATCCTTGAATAATGAAATTTACATAGTCAAAAGATTCCTTGTTCGTAGAGAAAAAGACAATAGATTTTGTCGTTTCTTTAAATATTAATCCTCAAGCTAAGTACTATGACTTCTGAGCAAACAGCGCGCAATTTACAGGTAAAAAAGTCAATACTTGTTATCCTTCTACGGTTTTACGAAATTCGAATAAATCATTAAACTCGACACACCGTTGTCATTGAGTTACAATTCAAGGACTTATTGTGCAAAATTTTATCCTGGATAACATATACATATATTTTATTATTATGATAATATCCTTATCGTTTCAGGCTTTCATTCACGTCTCCACTGCATACGCGAACAGTCATTTATGGGAGATTGATGAACGATTTTATAATTACCCAATCAAACACAATGACCTATCGAAAGTGATGGAATGCCTACCGGATAATGTCATAGATGAGATTACACCCAGGTCGGCAATATGTTTGTTCACCTAATTTAAACTATTTCGCATATAAGCATATTAAAGTTAAAATATTAACGCAACGAATAAATTTGACAGAATTATCGGAAGTTGGCCAAACACATACGCATTCACCAAGGCCATCGCCGAAGACCTCGTCAAAGAGAAAAACAAAGGATTGCCAATGGGAATATTCCGACCTGCAATCGGTACGTTGGTAACATTACATCAGTCTTAGGAGTATGCTTTTGTTATTTACCTGGGCAACGTTCAACGAGAAGAGTTAACTGCAATATTTGTCGACACGTCGAGAAGAGAACAAGGAAAAGGACCATTGGTCGACAGAAATTAAAAGAGAAGAATAAAACATGTGTTAAAAAGTGGCACGTAGCATATTCAGTTTCCAGGAATGTGTTTGGCAATCGCTATGTACCTTGTCACCGGGATCGTCGCCATAATATGGCAACTTCTTTTGGTCATTAGCATTTTTTTGCTAACGTTTCTTGGTAAAAGCATTCTCTTTGTATGCGCTGTGATATACACCGTTGCTCATCCGCGAAGACGAGCCGATTCCGAGCCTGGTGTACCCGATACAATGTACCCTGAGGAATATGACTTTGAAGATGATTTCGATGCGATGACCAGAGACTCTCTGGAAACGATTACGAGTATGGACGTCCTGAATTCTGAACCCAAGGAACACGCCGAAGTCGTAGAAAAATCAGACAGTTCAGGATCAAAAAGAAAAAGTAACAGCGAAATAAAGCGTCGCAAGTCTACAAACATAACAGAGGAACATGGATAGGAGAAATAATTTTGGTTCTTAAATATTGAATTATTAATAGTACCTATCATTCCCAAAGTGTCAGCAGCTGTTTCGTATTTTATATATATTTTTCTTGTTGTTGCAGTTGTCTCCACTGCCAATGAGCCTATCGATGGCTGGATTAACAATCTGTATGGGCCGACTGGGGTAGTTGCTGGGGCTGCAACTGGCCTTTTGAGGACTCTCTACTGTGACGCTAATATAAATGCTAATATTGTACCTGTGGATCTTGCTGTGAATGCTCTGATAGTCAGTGCATGGGACGTTGCTACACAGACTAACAAGTATAGTGAATTTATAAAGTTTAATTTGAATAAATTCCATAAGTCGTCTTTGCCATAATTTTGTTATTTTGTTTGCAGGAGAGATGACGACATGTTAATATATAATTATGTGTCTTCGGTAGAGGCACCGTTGACGTGGGGTGATTACTGTGAGACAAATTTAAAATATGGTCATCAGTATCCACTGAGCAATTCGATTTGGTATTTGTCCTTCAGAATGAACAAACATAAAATAATACATTTGTTATATGTCTTGTTTCTTCACTTACTTCCCGCACTTCTTGTTGATACTGTCAGCATATGCTTTGGTCAAAAACCAAGGTACATAATTTGATGAATTTTTTGGAAATGCTGTTACTCGATGAATGGTGATGATAATGAAGATGATTGGTATCATCTGCATTAAGTTATTGTAGATAAAGAATTGAGTTCGTTTCTATTTACAGATTATGGAAGGGGTACCAAAAAATTCACAAGTTCGCCACAGTCATTGAGTATTTCTGCAATCACGAATGGAAATTCACGAATGATAACGTTCAAGCAATGTGGCTTCGATTGGACTCGAAAGATCAGCAGCTCTTCAGATTCAGCATGAAGGGTTTCGACTGGCAAAATTATTTCAGTACATATATGAAAGGCATCAGGCTCTATCTTTTCAATGAGGATCTCAGCACACTGGAAACTAGCCGAGCTAGGTGGAGGAAGTAATGAAAATTTATGATTTACACGATACATTAAATTCAAGCTTCTTCATACTGGTGCAAAATTATCTCTAAAATTTGTTTTTATCAATTTTCAGATTCTACTGGATGCACAAAACCCTAAAGACACTAATATTCTTTTCGAGCATGTGGATCATATGGCGCTTTCTTTCGATAATATTCTTTTAAAACATAGCACACGAGAGAAAATCAAGAATGTACCTTCAGATCCTTGATTGGATCGACTTGGTGCGCAATGTTTTTTTTATCTGTAAATATTAGCCGTTACTTGTCTGGAATTTCATTGTTGTTGGCAAATAAGACATTCACATCTTTTATCATCATTTTTGTAAGTGAATCACAGTAGTGCGAAACACAATTTTATGCTCACATGGACAATCAATGCTGTACCGTGCGCGCATATCATTCATACGTTATATCATGCCTGGTTCAGTAGCTTTGTACTATTTTTCTATCCTTTCATCTTATAATTTGTTGATCCGTGAGGTTTCAATCGGACAATAAATACATACTATGCATTAATCAATGATAATTGTTAGTTAAGACTACCATTTACCTATTCTATATATACACGTGTACATAGAATAATGACGTCAAAATAGGAAAAAAAAATGTAGAAGTCCTTATTTCCTTCATTTCAAACAAATTCGTAAATATAGTGATATTCACTCTCCCAAAACGGGCTGTCCTCCCCACTTCGCGGCGAGGTAGAGGTAAATGAAATTAACGAATTCATACGTACAAGTGTCAGGGTTATTAGTATGTAGAGTGTACTTCGATCCAGTCTGTTATATTATGAAATATTATATTATGAAATTACCACTGCAGAATTGGTAAAATATACATAAAAAATTAAACGCAACAGCCTGTCATTATGCCTCATCAGAAAAGTGACAATTCGTAGCATTTTGTTTTTAAAGAATTACTCAAATTTTTGCATCTTATAAGAGATTTCGCTCAGATGCATTTAAATTCGTAACGTTCTGTAATTAAAAGAACAATATCAGTTTTAAAGCATTTCTCGCTTGTGATGTGATTATTCCACTTACATGTTGATAAATAGAATAGGTGAAAAGCAGCCGTAAGTAAGAATACCATTATAAGGAGAATAATACAATTTATTAATATCGTCTCATGTTTCAAATGTTTGAAGAAATAAATATATAAATTATGTCTCCAATTTGGGCCACTGAATGACTATTAAAGGTTCAGGGACTACTTACGGTAATCGTATTTTTTACAATTATTTTTAATCAGCGATTTGTAAAGTCAAATTACATTACGGAAGCAATAACATACAAATTGAAAACTATATGTGAGAAATGCAGCAAAAAAAATTCGATATAAATGTAATGCACAATACTATTTTGTTTCCAATGAAAAAAATAGAGACTTGAAGCTATTTTACAGTTCATACATATTTATTGTTGAGTATCCTATTCCAAATGTAAACGTTACCATGACTTTTCTTAAAACCACATACTCAAGTTACTCGTACAGAATTTGTAGAGAACCGTAAATAGGTTAGACACATTTTTTTCTTAACATGAGTTATCGTTTCGCAGAATCAACGAATTCATAATGTTTCTGATGTCAATATATGTAACACTTCCTTCTTTTAAAATGAATAATTATAGAAACAACATGACATTGTGAAGAATTTGATAATCATGGACTACTTTACATATCATTATGATACCAAGACAATGGTTTCAATACGACATATCATACACACTTTTTCGCGATTGTAGACTTATTATATAAGGATAAGACTATCATACGTTGATATTCCATAACAATCAATTTTTGGATTCAATGAACGCTCATTATCTAATCTATCTAACTGCTGAGCATTATCAGCATTTTTCAGAAATTTTATATGTAAATGTAGTATGCATGGATGGTATTTAGAATTAAATATATTATATGTTAAATAAACTTAAGGGAATATGTAATTAAGTGACTTACCGTCCCAAAAGATGATCTGAATCTAATTTAATTTTATCTCCGTCAAAAACCAAAATGTATGAATCGTTTTTCAAAGTCATTAAATTCTTCATACAACGAATATGCTTTTTGTTTCAATGATCGCCCTTATACTTTTACAAAAGCAGGTGAACTATAGTAAGATATACGATAATAGAACCTAATGGACTTTTCTACACATATCACAGTATGATAGTTTCGTATCTCAGGTCGTTGATGATGTATACAATTGTGACATTGCTAATATGTAACTGTTACATTCATCTTTCTGGAAGTAGGATGAGTACCATTATGCCAATTAGTATTGGCAGCTGAATATCAGTGATAACACTGTATACTCTGATTTTTTATATGACTATTTTTATTCCGATATACCTTGGATTGACGTAATTCTTTGAAATACATTACATTGATATTCATTTGCTTCCGTCACGAAGTTTAGTGAAACCAAATCTTGTTTCATATTAGCATACGATTAGCTGGTATGCAAATAAATGCCTGAAATGGAAATAAAACGAATAAAACTAATAGTCATGAATGAAATTTAAAACGCGTAAATAATCTAAAGTTAAAAGTTTAATGAGATCAAGTTACTTAAAATAAAAGTTAAAAAGTTCTGAACGTCACATTCATTGGAAAGTTATGAAATATATGTATATCAACTAAGAATATAAAATTAAAATAATTTTATCAACGTAAAATTATTGGATTAGTAAATTTATTTTTCAACATTAAAGGGCCAAATGTTACAAGGGGCTTAATAAAATACTTTACGCCATTATGCATCAAGAAGTTCTTGAAATCCGTTAAATTTGGAACCCGGGATTATGCAATTATAAATGTTGCAACTATACTATTTAGTAACAAAATGTCAAGAGTCGACAGTTTCATACCAAAAATGTATACCTATAGCTTAGTCATAGTGAGCGGATCAGAGAATCGTTTACGTTTTATTTCGAAACGACAATTTAAAAAATTATTATTTTGTACTTCCTCATAGAGGAAGCTGTTTTCATGAAAATTTTTTTTTTCGAGATTTTCATGTTAGAATACTTAACATGGTCTAAAACGTCAAGAAAAGTAGTTTAGAAAAAATGTCTCATGTATGTATGTGTGTGTGTGTGTGTGTGTGCAGGGCTTCGAAAATTCAATTGCCTCTTACTCAGTACCCGTTAGAACGATCGGACTGAAATTTGGCACGCAAGTAAAGTAGATATCCCTCTTTAAATGTTGCGATTTTTAATGAAATATATGCAGCTATTCAGATTTTATGTCATTTAAAATTTTTTGAAAAAAGGGCGTGGTCGCTCTAACTTTCGTAAAGGTTCGACGATTTAGCTAAATAGTTCTTCATAACTGAAGATACGTTCAATGTTGTTTGGTATTGAATTTTGACAAGATCGCTAAAGCGGTTCTGATTTTATGTGGTTTTGAAATTTTCAAAAAATTATCGTTATTGTTTTGGTTTTTTTTACCTCATTTTTAATTTTTTATTCCTCTAAGTACCAAAGTTCAATTGTACATAACTCGAGAAAATAAATCAAAGAACTTCCTCATAGAGGAGGTTTTGTGAACGAAGGAAAAGAATCAAGAAGCAAAGTGTAAGATTCTACTTTGCACCCTTGTTAAATAGTGTAATAGATAAGTGAAAATAAATGCACAGTATCGATTCTCGGTGTAAAGATCTTTGATCCGGGTCAAGATAACATTTAAGCAGACAAAGCGAAACCCGGGATCTAGAATAGTTGAATAATTGTAAACACCTAAAGCATAGTGGTTACTTATTTTTTGTATTAAATTTTTGATATTAAATTACTCTATTTTTAAAATCGTAAAACTTCCTATTTTTCCTTTACATGAAAATATTATATTTCTGCTTCTCCTGTATATTAAACATTTTTCAAAATGAATATTATTTAACGATCTCGCACACCAATTTCTTGTAAACATAATGTAAGGTATAGATCAATCTGCGTATACCTCCATATCTTCGCAAAATGTTTACGCACGTAACGAAATAGAAAATATAGAACATGAATAACATAGAAATGGAAATCGATGACAGTGCAACTTACACGAATGATATACGACACATACTATATCACGCATATCGTAAATATGTATAGTTCTATTTCACGTGATACAAGTAACATTATTCAGTTTAAGTTTGAATATTGGTCAGATTTTCAAACAATGATTTAAATTGCTCGACGAGTACAAAAAAAAAATATATTGTATTTGACTACACATATGTTTTGCAACTATAAACGGTCAGTATCGTGACTTATCAAGTCCCATTACTGAATATTTATTAATGAACGCATAGGAATTCCAAGTGTTCATATAAGTGATTCGATTTACTTTAGCATAGCATTTCTTCGGACATTATCGTTCGAGTTAACAGTGCTCGCGGTCGTTATTTATCTCTCTGAGCGTTATAACGAGAATGAGGAATAGTACTCGAAATTAGAATGTTTCAAAATTCTTACTTCGAAGGAACAAAGATGTGCCATTAATTATTTTAGCAAGCATCACAGTACAAATATTATTTCTTTGCGAATCATCTTTTAAATACATACTGTGAATATTAATTTTTGACTGGTAACTACGTTTACTTTGTGATACGATGTCTTCCATTCCTGAAGCACTTTCCGAAATCCAACAATTCTACAAAGGTGCTAATATCTTCATTACTGGTAAGTGTTGTACATGCATTGTTGTTTATATTGTAAATATTATATTTCTCAAGATTCATCTAAATATATTTCCCTCGACATATTATTGCTAGGTGGGACGGGATTTCTGGGAAAGATTTTAATTGAGAAACTACTTCGAAGTTGTCCAGGAATTGGCAATATCTATGTGCTTGTACGATTCAAACGGGGCAAAAGAATGGAAGAGAGAATGGATAAATTGTTATCCGATAATGTAACTACACATTACGATAAGACGCAAAAAGAATTGTTTAACATTTCAATATATGAATAACTTTATTGTCAAACGTAAATTTAGGTGTTCAGTGTTTTAAAAAAAGAAAATCCAGACTACAAGAAGAAACTTATTGGAATCAACGGCGATGGTGCAAATAGTGGTTTGGGAGTTTCACCGGAAGATCGACTTTTACTTACAAACGAGGTATTTTGTTATTATCAAGTTCACAATTATAATTCATCGAATGCACATGACAGTAATTCCATAATCATATACTTTCATGAAATAGTAACGTCAGAAGCAAATCAACTTTACGATCTTCCACGTTTCCACGAAGAATAGTATATTGTGCACCGATAGCGAAAACGGGCGTTTCTGTGCCGCGTATAAAGTTGAGGTTCCCGTGGCGAAGCCGAGGGGTTCTCAAATTAAACCGAACTGACCTGTCTTCTTTATCACGTGGGAAAGATGGGTTAACCGAAATTGGGACATATTTATTGAGCACAAAGAAAAAAAATCTGTAAATTTCCAACGTAATCACTCTGTTTACGCGTGTATACAATAATGATTGAATACCAATCTGAAAGATTATGTCAAACAGTATATACAAAAATAATTCGTATTTTTCCCTTAATATTATCCTAATGGATTTTCAATCGCAAATAAACTTTTGTCGATAATAAATTAAGTTTTTTATGAAGTGCTACGGATTTACCTGTAAACAAACTCAACGAAGAAAAATAATTTAGGCACATGCGTTATTACGAATTTATCGTTCTTATTTATAAAACCAACATCTTCTAGGTATCCATAATATTTCATGCTGCAGCTACAGTGAGATTCGATGAACCGTTAAATGTAGCCGTAGCCATAAATGTCAATAGTGTTAAGGACATCATCGACCTTAGTAAAGATTGCAAGAAATTAAAGGTGAAGTACGCAACGGTTCAAATATCAATATAATTTTATTAACAGTTTCATTGTAATACCTTAATTGTATAGCCTTAGAAATTATTGTCGTTCTTCAACATTATCTTTTAATAAGAATTATAATAAAATTTCACGCTTTTTCAGGCCTGTGTCTACGTATCCACAGCCTTTAGCAACTGCATACAGAAAAAAATTTGCGAAACAATTTACACGCCTCCATTGACTTATGAAGAGAGTAACATGATCGTAGATATTCTTGAACGACAAGACTTTTCCAAAGATATCGTCGGGGAAATTACACAAAAGTAAATATCAAATCAGACATATCAAATAAATATATAATAAATATCAAATATCAGACATAATACACGTCGCATTGCTTGTGCAAGAAAAAACAAATTGTCCAGAATGATTGATTATTTTATTTAAAATTTCGTAATTATTATATTGACGATTTTGAGATTCATTGTGTCAACGAAATTATTCACGAGATCAATAACTGCTCAATTGTACAATGAAGTATCTGATATTAATATACACGTAAAAACCGTTTAAACGCATAATAAGCTTGCAGTTGAATGTCACAAACGCAAGTTATAATATATTAGTATAATCTGAAGCAGTGTAGTCTATTAAACAAAAACTTTAGATCTTGATTGGAATCGGTCGATAAGGTCAATCAATGATAAATATCGGTCGATTCAAAATACTTAAAAATCGTGAATAATAAATAATGGTTTATTATAAATAGGTTTCGTCTTTATTAACGCGTTAAGAATGCTAATAAACTATCACTTCTCGAATCACGTATCAGAAAAGAAAAGTATTATATGAAGAATAATGTACGTACTACATTGACGTTTAAGAGTACAATATTATATACTTGAAACGCGTGGATAAATGTTAATTTTATTACTACTTTTAATAATAATTTAATATTATCTTATCTGTGACGTTACGTTATAGATGACCTAAGTTTCTTGGATTAATAAGATGCATTATGTTAATTCTAGATTGATCGGGAAGTGGCCAAATACCTATACATTTACAAAAGCAATAGCGGAAGGTGTAATAAACAAGTTCGCCCGGAACCTGCCCATTTCAATAATTCGTCCATCAATTGGTAATATACTTTTTCAATCTTGCAAAAGAAATTTTTATATACAGACATCAACTAACAATGGGGGCCATAGGATCATGATATCTTAGGAACGTCAGTACAATATCGCGATTGATATTATAATCTATTATGGGATTTTAATCAGGAGTCAATAGCGAAACAGATTATATTATTCAAATGATAAAAGTATTTTTTGTGGAAAAAACAATTGAAGCTAAAGGTTAATTATTCCGGTCATAGATAAATCGGTCCGATTTTTATTTCACATTATACACGTGCATAATTGTGATGTCACTTAAGGAAAAATCAATATACTTACCATTTCTTATAATCATTACAATTAGCTACTCGTGCAGCAAAAATGTTCCAGCAGACGTTTATAATACAATCGGGACATCAGACTCCGATTTTGATAGATGGAACATAACCTATTTTCGACATTTTACCGAGTGCAGTCCAACTATGGAAATAATTATTTTGCCCCGTTAAAGATATTCTACTGTACTTGAATTGAGTATATTTAAATTAATCATAACAAAGCTAAATGCTGTATTTCAACAATTTTTGAATATGCTGTTGCGGCCTGACTGTAGTGGATGTTGCAAAGCTCATCAACGTTCTATAAACTTCCCTAGAACTTTTGTGCTGTATGGGTAGTAATAGATTGTAACGGTTAATTGTATTATTCTCCATTCAAGTATAAATGTTAAACTTTTTAAAAATATTTACGATCGATGGATTAATACAGCTTTAAAATCTAAGAGGAATAAGTTAAAATCTTGATTTTGACCATTTTTTGAATTTGGTACTGCGTCATATTTTTCCTCTTTCGAATGAAAGCTATTATTCCCGCAAAATGCGGGAATAAAGTAAATTTGCGGGAAAACCAAATATGCGGGAATAAAATGCTACTTTAGTCCTGCTTTTCAGGGAATAAAGTAGCTATTATAGCTAAGTCGTGAATAAAAGTAATTACATTCCTCTTAGATGCGTATGGATGAATAAGAATACAGTGTTGGTTACAGTACTGACAGTAGTACATTTCGGAACGCACCCCAACATGCGTAGGTTACCAATGGTTACCAATAACACTTCTCATGTGGTATGATAGGTTATATTATGAAACTAAGCACTCGTCAGTTCGAATACGGCATTCCTCATTGGCTATTTGGCTATAATATAAACCCTATGTAAGGAAATGAGGTTGTGACGTCACGACCAATCACAAAGTGTTTTCGCTCCTGCACTTTGTAGCAATATTTTAAACGTCTTGATCGAACGTAAAGTTGTCCAAATATTGTATAAAATATATTAAACATTATAGTGCTGGCAACATGGAAGGAACCACTGCCCGGCTGGACGGACAATTTATTGGGAGTTAATGGAATTGTAGCAGGAGTTGCCGTAGGTGCAATTCACGTAATGCACTTGGATAAAAACAAAAAATGTGATTTGGTTCCTGTGGATATGGTTTGCAACGCTATAATCGCCTGCGCTTGGGAAACTGGAATAACAAAAAGAAGGTGATGTATTCTCATTATAGTAACTATGAATATAACTGATTCAAATTAAAATGTTAGAATTAAATGTCTTGTGTTTATTTTTCAGACCGGAAGAGGATATTCCAGTGTATAATTACGTCACCGGACCTGAAAACCCTATAACGTGGATGGAATTTCAGTCCTTGGCTCATTCAATTGGTTACAAATCGCCAACAAACGCAGCCATTTATTATAATACTGTAATTTATACGAAATATCAATTGCTTTATACTATATTTGAATTTTTTTTTCATCTCATCCCAGCCCTAGTTGTGGATAATATTACTAAACTCATTGGAAAGGAGCCCATGTAAGTAGCTCATTAGCTCTTTTAATTTCTTCGCAAAAAATAAAAGTAACTTCGGGCAATATTTCAGAACGATATGTGGTTTTGAATTATTGAATTGTACATTCTGTTACAGCTTGTATAAGATGCACAAAAAGCTCGCAAATCTTACGAGAGTACTGTCTTTTTTTACCACGCAAGAATGGACCTATGAGAACTTCCAAATGCAAAAATTGTGGAACCGTTTGAGCAACGAGGATAAAAGATTGTTTCCAAGCAGTTTAACTTTATTCAAATGGCATGACCTTGTAAAAACGCATATTTTTGGCATGAAGAAGTACATTATGAATGACAAAGAAGGTAATGAATCAGAAGCAAGGAGACGTCAAATCATGTGAGTATTATTCTATATGTACTACATGCAATTGCAATTGAACTACATAATGCACATATAAATGTATACACTGAGACAAAATTCATTCCAAATAAGTGAATATAAACATTTGATTATAAATTTTACTAAATCAAATAACTTTTTCTAAACAAATAAATATTCTTGCAAAATGAACAATGTCATCCGTAGAATTTTTAACTAATTTATAATCTTATAATTAGAATAAAAGATGCATTGATTAATATAAACGTACATACATTTGTTTTAGACTATATATTATTCATACTGCCGTTCGACTCTTGTTTGTATTTTTCGTCATCTGGCTGATCTGGAAGATATTTCATTGACGAAGATTTTCATACAACATAAAGTAGTCTTATTGGGCAAATGAATAAAAAATATTAAAGAATTGTAATATTTAGGCACGACTGCTTTGAACATGTAGAAGTGTTTATGTATTTGCCGGTTTAAAGAAGCGGTTTGTGCGAGCAAAGAAAATTGTGTAGGCAAAATTCTAAACAGACGGCTAAATTAATCGAGCTAAAATTTGTAGCGGATATAAAAATCTGGATTTAAATAGAATAGTAATATTCGCATGTGTCGAGCACTTCGAGTATAAAAGTATCGCAACGTCAAAGTTAATTTTTTTTTCTACAACGACCAGTGAGTAAGATATGACCGAATGATTCAAGTAGCCGTGTCCTTGAGGCAAACTGGTCTTACAATTAGCTGAAATTTTACGCGCATTATTATTTTTAACGAACATTGCGTCTCTTATTTTACTGATATATTAAAAGTTAAAAAAAAGATTTAGATAATACTTTTGAAACTTGCGTTATGGAAAATAATGCCAGTATGTGCACTAAAAGTATAACTTTTAGAACCATTTGATAGACAGAACTTTATTAAAAACAACTATTATCTCTTTCTGATGTAATCACATTTTCAGTACTCATAAATCTTTAGACTGTAGTTTATTATATTTAGCGTTGTAATATTGAATAATAATTATATGTGAATTACGATTAACAAATTTCATAAGGTACTTTCAAATTCAATTGAATATACAAGATCTGACAGTTATCTATTTTTGTAATTAGATATTATGTAGTTAATGCAATGTAAAATTGTACTACAATATATCACCAACGTTGTTGCAATGGTTATTTCAATTTTAGCTTGTATAAGGTGTACCGAGTTATAAGAAAAAATGTAATACAAATAAAAATTCATATTAACTCCGATAGGATTTGTGTAAAGTATTTTTTTTTGATATCATGCCATTTTGAAGAAACGTAACTGGGAATAGTTACTTAACCCAGGAATATTATATTATGTTAACCCTTATGTGTCATTAACCCATATGTGAATCGTCATTCCTTAGCTCAAAAGCAAGCAGATTGTAAATTAGATTTATTTATTATTTTTTAATGAAAAAAATTCAATTAAACTTAAGCCATCGCCTTATTTACACCCGGGGTACCCACTATATGTATTCATACTTTGTACATAAAAATTATTTTCTATGACGCATGCAGGAAAATTATTATTTTAAATATAAACAAATATAACAATGTTTATAAAATATTATTATTTATGATAATCATTACATTTTACAATATTTACCGAGGGTTCATCACAAACAGGTAGTTGACACTCGGTGCAGCATTCGCGCGTACTGACTCACATTTGCTACTAATCGTATGCTACCAGAACGAAAAGAATGACCTTTTCATTGTTATCGGCTCTTCGAGCAGCTGCTCTCTTCCAACCAATAGAGCTGATATACGCTACCTGTGCCGACCCTAATCAAAAATATCCAAAACTGGAATACAACAGTAAATGGATACCCGGGTATCCCGGGTGTGAAACAACGTCGGTAAAGTTGGGTGTACACATAAGGATTAGCATAAAATTTGTAGAGAAGTTATTCTTAAAATAGCAAAATGTTGCGCGCTAAAACAATAAACTTACGTATGCCATTAATAAAAATTCTAAAAAAATTTATCATAATAGTACCGAACAATTAAAACTTGTAATATACAAGATACACTAAATATTATTTTTGTACGACTTATTTTTAGATTATTTTATGATTTTGGTAAGTAGGAAAAACAGAGGTAATGTAAAAAATTTTATTCCTGCTGCATTTTAGATTTGTATGTACATAATGAACGTATTAAACAAGTTCGCGCATAAAACACTGTGCCATATATTGTTAAAATATCGGAATTATAGAAATAAAGTATTTATGTTATGATTAAAACTAGAATTGGACGGAATATTTCAAAATTACATAAATTTTTAACACCTAGGTTAGCAATTAAAAGTTTACAAGACATGATAATATTATGCAACCTATAACATTCGTTTTTAACGCTGTTCGACAGTAAATTCAAACAGAGATGTAAAAGATGTTTATAGTATGATGTCAAAACTGCGAAAATTTTTAAGTTTCGACTGTTCAGTTATTTAAAAACAGCTACAAATGTTGAATTACATTATATCGTTATATCGTTATACTCACGTAAAAGAATAGTGCTTGCACAATCTTCAATAGTAAAAAAAGAATGTAGTAAAATTTCCAGTTGAGATCGACATTTTTTTAAGATCAACATTCCAAAATGAAGAAGACGCAATAGCGATTCCTATATCGATTTAATATGTCAGTAATTACTTAATTCGTTTTTGATGTTTTAGAAATTAAGATATCTTTGCAACGTATGTCGAGTTTAGCTTGTTTAGTCTAGTCTAAATAGTGCAAGATTCTATATTACCAATATTTTACCAACATAATGAAAAATAGACGAGAAAAACTGTCCAAAAGCCTGCTATGTATCATCACGTTATATCCGCGCACTGCCTCCACGTGTGTAACTAAATGGCTTTAAGCCTTACTTTTATTTAAAGTGTTCGAAAAAAAATTGAACTAAACCTATAAAATTTTGTCAAAATAGTCGTATAGGCCGAAAAATTCAGAGAACACACTCAATGGCCAAATTTCCTATTTTTCCGACAAACCTATGACGATACTCTAATGCGTAGCACGATGATAAACAAATATTGATTATCCAAAAATAATCAGCGGAATGTATGTGCTCGTATTCTATAAGATTCAAAACTAGCTTCAGTCACTCTCTAAATATCATTTAACAATGTGCACATATCTGTCATACACTTTAAAACTATAAACTAGAATTTTATTGGGATTATATCATTCAGACTTGGAGTTGAACAGATTTGCATATTGCATGATGTAGAGACACGCTCAGGCACTTCCAGATTATATATAATAAATAGTAGATATAAAAATTTTGCAGATAAGATCATACAAGATATAACTTCGTCCTTTTTTTTTACATGCACAGATGGACACATTGTTATGTACAACTGATTGCTCTAACAGAATTCATTAACATCGTAGTACGACTACGTAAACTGTCAAACTACATCGATTTGGATTGTAAGAGAAAAGTATTTGTTAAACCCTTAAACTGTTTTTATCCAATATTAACTATCAAATATTGTATAACAATCATATAACAATTACACGGAAAATATTACTGTGATATATCGTTATCCCTTAAAATCTTAGTTTTTCAATGAGGACATATCCTATTGCGAATCTCTTTAGTCGGTTGAAAAACCAATTTAATCGTTCTGCATTTGGACGGAAAGAACGGATTAATATATAATTAATTTTTCTCATAAATATTAATCAAAATATTTTCGTGTGACCCTAGTGAAAAAGCAATAAGACGCAATATCAAATTGCATCGACTGAGATTTAATATCAGGCAACTGGCATTGTTGACACTGTACTATGTGGAGTAGTCGGTCGAGAACCCGCAATAGAATGCGTAGTTGAAGCATTCAAAGATTGCATTGTACCAATCTGTAAATATTAATATTTTAATGAATAAATATAAAATTTTCACCTTAAATCTATAATAAAATTTTCTAGATAGCTTACCCTTAAATGCGCTAAATCTTCCAATCTGGTCAAGTCACTCAATTCGACGTAGAGAGAGTATACAATAAGCCATCCATATACAGAGAAACATATGAATACTATCCACAGTAGACACATCATAATATTGTAAGCAAATATCATATCATTCACAATGCTGAAGAATATAAAGGCAAATAGTCGGAATAACGTGAAGACAGCAAAAGCATACAGCCATGGCACCATCTTTTTTTCATATTCCTTTCTCAAAGCATTAATCAACATCAGTGAAGTAACGAATACGACAATTCCTCCCAACATGGAGAATAAAGCAAAAATTATCAATGCATTGCGAACTGTAAAATAAGGCATAGTGTAATATCAATGTAAAATTGAAGAAAGCCAATTATTGTTGATATATGAGTAATCAATGATTTTACCATGCTGATTGCCCACATAAACAAATTCATAGGATATAACATAATATCCATAATGCACTGAACCAGGAGCAGCTTGCGAAAGACAATAAATGTCGAATATTGCTGTGCTGATGGTGAATATCGCTAGACACTAAATTGAATAAATTTATAAAATATTTCATAAAATGTATAGTTCTACTATATTTTAATTATAGCTTACCAAAGAGAATATTGAAGTCATCAGAGCACCTCTTTGAATATCAAGAACAATTGCATTTGACAGTAATGGCTTTTGATACCATGGAATTTTCACACTGCGTACTGATCTAGATGATCTGAGATTCGCGCTACTTCGTATTGTCATGTGAGAATAAACTGAGGGAGTACCCATGCTGGGTGATTTTTTTCCATAATTCATTTTGAACTTATCTATAGAAAAAAAATCTGTTAGTAATAATACTCATCATGATATAAGAAATATAAGTACAGAGTCAAATCTTCTAAGCTAGTACTATAGTTAATAAAAGTTATTGCATTAATTTTAAAGCATAACATTTACATATAACAATTTATAATTATTTAAATTTATCATTAAGCAAACGAAATTAAGAATATAACAGTATATTGATGAACATAGACATATATTCCTAATCTGGTACATATATGCCAATTACTAAAATAAAGTTAGTAATAGTTTTACATACGCGTGTAATAATAAATAATCATCAAAATTGTACGAATTCTTTATAAAAAAAGTTAATAACTAACAATAATTAAAAAATTAACAAAAATTGAAAGAAAGCGTCATCTGGCACGCCCATCATCTGATTGCTTCAATCAAAACAAACGGTTGTAATGCAGTGTAACTTTTGTTAACAAAAATACGTTAATAATTCATTCAAGCTATCCGATTTACAAAAGAGATTACCAAATAGCTTTCACGAAGACGAAGAATTTGTTACTTGCAATTACTGACAGCACACGCCGTCTTAAAAATGCAACAGACACACCTTGACGAAACACTGTGTAACTACTACTTACTATGAGTTCTACTCATGTATTGTTATGCATAGTACTACCATTTGTGATAAAGCTGTACCATTCCTTCCCTTCCTTCCTTTCCTTATGGCTGTATCCCCAATGGGGGACATGTGCCAGTAACTGATCCTAATAATCAAGGTTGGAAGTTCGACAATAGATGGCGATGTACCTTGCGTGACGGGCCTTATTCAACTCAGCATGAGGGGACCTACAAAGTTTATACACCGAATCCGAACAGTGTTGAGCGAAATCCGTATAAATACTCACTTAAGTTTTCATATGAAAACCCATTGGTAAATGCCGCTGGAAGCTGGGCGCAAATCTCCAACTTGCCGTGACTCAGTGGATAGGGTAGCGGATTCACGACCGAAAGGTTGGAGGTTTGCGCCCAGTTTCCAGCGGCATTCACCAATGGGTTTTCATATGAAAACTTAAGTGAGTATTTATACGGATTTCGCTCAACACTGTTCGGATTCGGTGTATAAACTTTGTAGGTCCCCTGACGCTGAGTTGAATGAGGCCCGTCACGCAAGGTACATCGCCATCTATTGTCGAACTTCCAACCTTGATTATTAGGATCAGTTACTGGCACATGTCCCCCATTGGGGATACAGCCATAAGGAAAGGAAGGAAGGAAGGGGTGACGAAGCAGTTCCACGTTTGTGATTAGTCGAGTCTTTTTAGTGATATGTTACGCGTGAGAACCTGGATTATGAGTTCTATGATACAGCCATAAGGAAAGGAAGGAAGGATATACATATGTATGTCACATTTACTTTAGTGATACAGCAGGGACTGTCCAGTCTGGTCCAGTCCTAAAACAGTAGCTAGGTGGAGATACATTTGGTATAGTTTAGTAATTTTGTATCAAACTTTAATGACAATTGAAATTAAGAACAAAGAAATGAACTTTGCTGAAATGAGTTGGAGCATTACATCCTATATTGAAGCTGGTACGTTTAAAGGTTATATTTTTGCATTTGTACATGTCATTACTTATGGGTCAAATTTACTTTCTTAATGACTTAATTTTATTAAATATATATGTATCTATGTTAAGAGGAAACTATTTGAATTTCATCTGCAATTATTTCTAAGTGTGGCTACTAATTTTTTATATTCCAGCATGGGCAGCCATAGCTTCTGTTGGATGGTATTTAGTTGCAATTGCTGTTGGTTTAGTTTATGCTCACCCATACCTTAAGGAAAAATATAAAAGCTGGAAATTGAAGAAGGATGAACTTGAATATGCTGCCAAGTATCATAAAAGTATGTAATGTATAATATAGTAGGTATACCGGAAAGTTCTGTCTGTTTTTGAACTGACTTGAGATGACATTATTGGACAGAATTTTCTGGTAGAACTTATTAGTTCTTACTTTACTCTCTCTTTTTTGTAATAACTCTAACTTTTAACTCTAACTTTTATTTAATATGTATTTTAAGAAAATATATTTTTATTAGATCCAGATTTACTACAAGAGCGACTAGCTGGAATGGAAGCTGCCCGACAAAGGATGCAAGAAAAATATCTTCGTGAAGCTGCATTGGCTCGGGAACGTGAGGAAATGGTTGGTGAAAGTTGCAGTTTTGTAATAATTTTCTTATTTTGCTTACCTCGTTTGATGTAATTATTTATTATGTTTATTTTTTGTTTTATCTTATACAGCGTAAAGAACAGAAACGGCAAGAATTATTGAAGTTTGCAGAAGGACAAAATTTTGGCAAAAAATTAGGAAGTTCAAATGACGAAGCGTCAACATCAGCAGGGCCGTCAAAATCACGAATACTTAAAGAAGGTAAAAATTTTGTAATATAAATATGGGTTGTCGGTTAAAATTAAATTTTAAAGAGAGTAGTTGTTTCAAAAGTGTTTAATCGTTATCAATACTTTATAGATTATAATCCACTCATGGGTAGTTCTGGTCGAGGATATAAACCACCAAAACGCAGTTGTTGTGGGAAAGGTGGCTGTGGATAATTCCAGAAACACAGCAGAACTGCCATATCCTCAAGATTGACTTTGACATTCTATATTTAATCATTAACATTTTGCTAATGGTCAAAAATGTTTTATTTGCTTATTTAATCGAGAAAAATAATAGTGAATTGTAAAGAAAATATAATTAACGTTATTAATGAGTAATTTAATAATGGATAAAATTTATTTTTTAACAATAAACATACCAACAATTTTTTATAAACGTATTTTTGGAAAAGGGTCAAATGATTCGTCAATGGTACGTTTAGTGTTAATTAAACAAATGTATGTATTATGAATGATGTATGCAATAGAAAAAATACTTTCAATACAACTATGTCACTTACCTACGAAACTGAAACCAGTTCTTCACCTAATGTTTGACGCAGGAGCATATAGTAGGAAGTAGATGCTTTCAGTATCTGTGTATACATCAGCTATATCAATTCATTACTATTGGCTAAGTATTTGTTTAACCAATTAAAATCTTATTACCAATAAGAAAATTTTAAATCCCATTTGATCGAATTGATACGTGAATGTCACCGGTTTTTGTCCCCTAGATATTATTATGGCAACGTCCTTCCTTATATCGGAACTATATTCCACCCAGTTTGCTAAATAAATACTATTCCCGACCTGTTCGCTCTGCAAAGTTTCGAATATTATGGAATCGGTCAGTATAATAATAAAAGATAAATTTACCTGATGGGATAACATCTCGCAAACAAAACTCGCTACGAAAAGTTTTGCCATTACCGCAATTGCATGAATGAGATACGCGTTGTTGGAAAACTATATCAATAGAAATAATCCTTATCAATAAAATCTATACCTATGACACCACATATATTTAAAAATTTGAAAATCATTACTTTTTGTGCATGAAACACTGTAGCGGCACAAAGTAAGAGACAACAAACTACTTCCGTCAGCATAATCATCTTGAAATATTCGTCAATCCTTGTAACAAATCTAAAAAACCAAATGTCTATTACAATTAAACAATTGATTAACTATGTAAAATAATTACCTTAGTAGTTCTTGGTGAAAACGTATGTGTTCATGAAACCTGATCTTGAACGATTTCAAATCATACGTATTTTTTCTATCGTCCCAACGATTTTTACAACGATAGTCGTTCAAAGTATAAGTTAAATCTTGTCGAATAGCTCGAAATTGATAACAGCAGTATATACCCAAAGATATGATTAGAATATCAATTTCAAGATCTGTATATACAACATAAAATGCACCACATATCAAATAACCATAAACTAAATGATATTGCCGGTCATCACTATAATTAGCCGGCATTGTTGTATGATAAGGCAACAATCTTCCGTGCATTTTTAATTTTGGATTACAAAGACTCCAAATAGCTGGAATAACATAAACAATACTGCACACCGTAACGAAGTTTTTAAAAAAGTCAGCAATCTTTTTATCATTCTTGAACGTGGTTCTTGCAAATTCAATATCCTTGCAAATTTTATCATTTGCGGAAACAAATAATGTAGTCTTTATCCAAGATATCAGTACAATATAAGTAACAGGAAATATTCCCACGATATCTGTCAGGCTTTTAGATTGAAACCAAAGAATTAATGAGTCAACTAGACATATAACAAGAAATATATAAAGTATTGAAAAGTATATTAAATGCCACGTTCTCAAAGCACCCTTCTTTTCTAATCTGACAAGACCCAAACATTTTAGTAGTAAAATGTTTATATCGAATATAGCCATTATTGCTCAAAACACGATCAACCACGTGCAAAGGTTTTCCAGTAACTAATGAAAAACATCGCGAGGGTAAAACAGAGTAGACGTAATTAAGTATTACATGTTGAAGTTTCAAAATTGTTTTGTACTCCTAAAGAAAGACCATAATTTAGCCTTACGATGTTGAACTACTTCAATTCTTTATATTTATCTTGAAAAGTCATTAATGCTGGGCTGAGTTAAAATTTACAAAGAAAAAGGAAACTTCGAGGGCGTTCAAATTTTTAACATTACTTTTATTAATCGTTATCAGTATAATATGCAACGATATATGTATATATATACACATATATTAATTATATATATACACATATATACGTGTGTATGCACATATGTACAGATAAATGCGTATAACTACGCATAATAATATATACGTATATACGTGTGCATACGATTACTTGACAATAGGAATTGTTATAAATTATCTACAGTTTGATGTATGTCTGTCGCGCGGGTTTCTTCACGTACTTGATTGTGTTTTTCAGTGTATACGATGTGTGCAAGAAAAATCAATCATTTGTAATAATGTATAATAACTCGTAATTACTTCGCATGGTTTTAGTCGTCACAGCTACGGAGCTTCCCTCTCCTTAAATCATTCCCAGTCTAATGGGCGGCGTGTCGCAGTTTTATATACACGCATTGAATAAGAAATAAATTATTAGCTATATAAAACATCCAAGTTTCATTTTATTTTCCATAATATTTACAAAATGTAAGGGAAAAAAAATCGTGTCAGAATTAAACACTCATCATCAGCCTTTGATTATACTTGCGAGCTAGTTCCAAAAATGATACCGAACGCAGTTTCGCTTCAGGGAGAGAAAGAAAAAAAAATCATTTTCCCACCGTGGTCGGTTTGACAAAAATTTTCACGCAAATATCTGTCGTGGATTCTTAATGATATGGGTTATCTTTACGCGGCCCTAGCTCTCTAGTAGCCAAGCTTCATTTTTAACCATAGGTTTTCAAAAATCCACGAAAACTTCGCGCTACTCCGTGTGTGTTTCGTCGCCGACGTCACGGCTCGTTACTAATCTATACATATATAATCTTGTCGTATTGATGCCCTTCCTAAAGGACAAGGTTCTTTTTGGCAAAAAGTTCACAATCCTTTAACGATAACGTAGTTGGCAGGGATCACGCGAAGTCTTCAGGACCCTTGAAAGTGACGGCAAAGTTTGGCTGAATAAACCTACATATTACGGATTACAGTATTTCGCGTTAAGGTTAGTTCGGTCGGCCATAATCGCTAACCCGTCGTGTGCGAGTTTACGTGTCTACTCCGCAAGGCTCGTTTTCGCAAAATTTAACTCCGCTTGTTAAATTACATCCTTCACTTTTTTATTTTACAAATGTCATCGAACCATCGTACCAACTGTATCGAGATGGCAAATTATAAAAATAATACGTTATGTTTACTCTGTCACGTTGACCCGATGGTTCTACGACCGATTTCGCGGTAGCCATGTTCCTTTTTGGATTACAGATTCTTTCTTGATCTAGTTTAAGGGTCGTAGCTACCCCCCACAGCCTCCGGAACAAGTGCATTCTAGCCCGTTGTTCCTCTTGAGGGCTGTAGACCATTTTATGTTCAATTATTAGCTGATTTTTCGTAAAAGGTCATCGTGTGATTGGTGCGAATCGTGAAAGAGCGGCAGTTGTTTATCGTGCTGCTATTTTTGTGCAATTAATTTTTTCACTGTGTAATAACGAACTTTCATTAGACTGGATAATTGTTTGTTGTGTACCTTTTACGTAAAACCAATGTAACGTCGAATCGGCAGATACTTAAAGTACATGTCCTAGCTAGTCATTACGGTTTAGAGACATTAAACATTCTCGGTTTCTTTTTATTCTCCAAGTAGTCTCAAACCTTTTCAGCTCCCCTAATTCTAAACATGCTGAAAGAAACTTTGTCTAATTCTTACTTCTTGTCTGCTTGGATGGACTTTTACGAACATTTACTCATTACTATTTACTTGGATCATTAGCATAATCGAATATCTTAAATTCCACTGTCAACATTTATAGAGAATATTTCTGTAGATTTTGAATGATACCCGACCAATTGAAACGACTGTAAATAAAATGAAATTCTCGTAGTTTTAATAATACTAGACTTTTGTGTTACATTCGCTGACCTAACTGCGTGTAATATAATGCTGCAATTTTTAACTCGTGATTGGCAGTGTTTCAGGAATAACTAATGAAGACAAGATACAAAAACATATCATTCTATTATATCTGTAGACTTGCCATGTACTAATTACTCGACACGATCTAGACGAGATTTACAATACGTCTACCGGGCAGTTAGTTTTTACCTAATACATTAATTAATGATTACACTGAATTTGAGCGATTACATAGCTTCAAAGTTATCTATCTCTTATCTAACGGGTTTTTTTTTTACTTCTTTCGTTATCCACAAAAGTTTATCATATAATACGAAACCACACTGGATGCAACTGACTAACTTTAAGTCTAAATTAAACTGTATTCACAGAAGATAACCAGTGAGATATAAATTGAGCAAACTCGATTTTGCGCTAATATATATCTCAATGGTGTACATAGTATCATAATAGTCACCCTAATTCCATCGTTAAGTGTAAGAAGAATTACACGTATCGGTGAAAGCACGTTTTCCAATAGGCAAAATATCACAAGCTTAGAGTACAGCTCGTACTTATTTACCATTAATTCGAGAGACTTAAAGAAAAAAACTTAATAGTATACTTAAGTAAAGCAAAAATGTAGTGTATGGAAACGTAACGAAGTTCGGACTTAAATAATGTAACGAAACAATAATTTCTGATATTGTCGCGTACCCTCGTGAGATTTTCTAAAGAATCGTCCGAGGTGACGTGGCTTTAATAATTTGAAAATGTGACTGTACTTTTTTTTATGGATAGGAAGGTACAAGTACCCAGACCTATGGAATCAGGAGCCACGTGTTCTTGTACACTTGTCATTAGCAATATTAAGTGCGTTTAGAAAATCGCTAAACTTAAATGCATCTTACGAAAGGGTATTGTTAACATCGTATAGTGTTTAACGCCGTTATTCACATTCTCACTTATCTGTCAGGACATACTTATACACAGTACTGATTACATAAGATGCCTAAATGTTCCCTTACTATCTAAATCCGTATATATTAATTAATGATGTGTAAATTAAAAACTAATGACTAAACTCGTTAATTAACTTTGTACAATGTATACAAAAACCATCTGATATGATTATAAACCTTACGCTGTCATTGTTACTTTATTGTTTTTATAATATATTATATCATAAGTATTCGTTTTGGAAGAGATATACGTCGATTACTTCGTCCTTAATACAATTACTTTTAGTTTCCCTTACGATCTTAGGAACGTTATATCGAAAATAATATCTGTTATTTCTCGTGGCAATGGAGAATGTACAGGCTTTTGAAAATAAATGCCACCTTTCTGGATCGTTCTTATAATTTTTGTTTCGTTATCAAATTTTTCCGTTTAGGTTAACTGCTGTTTGTAAACGTTAAAATATAATAAATTGCGACAAATATTAGGAGCTTACGTGAAATTAAAAAATTACCTTGAAACGTGTCAAGATATTCTAATCTCAGAAGTAACGTGTGATTATTGGAATCTTATTTATAATGGCTAAAAAAATGGCATTAACGAAGAAAATGTTGAGACAACGAAAAGCCCGAATGTCTCACGTAGGATTTCGTATATGTCCAAGTATTGCTCGAATATTGGCATCACTTTTTATATCTCGTTATATATAATATTCAACATTGGGATATCATTAGGACGCACGCTCATGTTAACGACTGCGAGAAAATCGATAAACGTACGAATTAGATCTGAATCAGTCTAATGAAAGGCCGTCACTCTCAAACAGAAATGCAATTTTGAAATTCTTTGCGTTTCTGTGAAAGTCCTCGTCACCTAGTTAATTTTTAAAAAACTGCAAAAAAAATGAGAGAAACGTGATAGTATCGGACTTTCCAAATTAACACGCAGTTGATACGGAAATATTCAATTCAAGATTTTAAGTTCTTTTGTAAAATGTGAAATTTGTCAAAAAAAATGGCCGTATCTCTAAACGGTATTGTATTCATTAAGGAATACGTCAACTACTTCAGATCAAAACTTAACTCGGATAGTATCTATGTGTGAATAGATCCGACAAGATGGCAAGCCACTGTAATAGACACGAGATGTCTTTACCGCATGTTTACACAAGACAAACTGGCTTTATTATTTTATCTATGTATTTCCCCACGATGAGATGTTTTCAAAGACGTCTTAGATTCGTTGTATCGAAGACTTTCGGATTTCCAGCTTTTCATCGGCGTACATGAGGATTAATTTAGCTCTCGCGATGGTCGCTGAGTCGACTTGATTCTGATGGAGGGTTTGAATTAGTCCCACCTAGGAAAACGCTGTTCAGCTTATTGTATCTCTGACTTCCTGAGCTACTCATCGTATTGGATGCGGATGAGTTATGTTGAGGATAGCCACCAGTCCTTGGAAAACTAGGCACTTTGTCTGCAATTAGAGAAAAACACTTGCTACAGTTTCGATGATATGTAATTATATACCAGTGAAGTTCATACATAATAATTACGGAAACCATTACTCGCAGTGCTCAGAAAATAGTGTGTAAAATTGCAGACGTAGTAGTAGAAAATAGTATAGGGAGTTTAAAGTTAAGTAAAAATGAAGGCGCAATTTTGTACCTTTGCTACGATTGTGCCTATGTCTTTCCTGCGAATTAACGGGGCCACATTGCCTCTGGGGAATGCAAGAATAATTGCTATCGCTGCTGTATGTCGGCGAGGATGCTCTGTTATTCCTTCTTCGGGGACTCCTATTATTCCGGTTTCTCGAACCACCCCTGTTGTGGGCGCAACCAGGAGCAAATTGATTGTTATACTCCATGGTATCTGCATAAAGACAGCTGGATTCGGAACAGGAGCAGCACATATCTGAATGGGTATTGGAGTCGCAGGATTTTCTATCCCATTCGTCATTCTCAGGCTGATATAGATTATCGTTCCGAAACATTTCTTCATTGTGACGATAAACCTCGTCATTCAGACTGGTGTGATCCAAGTGGGAATTTGGATGATTGGCACGATTAAAGCTGTCGTGATTCCTATAATCTTCTGAGTGTCCATTTTGGTGGCCATATATAACAGAACCACTCTCGTATTCATTTTCTTGAGTCTTATAATCGTAATGATTGAATCCTTGAGGGAATGATGGTACCGGTGGTGGATTGGTCTGTGGCGGCAGGGTGGTGTATCTTCCTTGCGGAAGATTTCCATGATTTCCTTCTAGCTGACTCTGCGTACTCCAGGGTGTAGGAGACGACGAAAAGCTATTGCCAACACGTACTGGAGGAGTAGGAGGACTTTGAGAATTGGCCGACGTGGAACCATCCAAATCATTTTGCACGTTTCTTTTGCCCAGATGCGGACTAAACGTTGCGGTAGGCTGTTGCATTCTGGCTGCTAAGGATGTTCCTGGCGGCGGTGGATGTTCCGGGGGTGGAGGTAGCATATCGCACCAGTTTGGCATACCCGCCTGACTTTCATTCGGCGGGATTCTGTATTGCGGTCTTCTCTGAATTTCCATATTTTCATCTGTATAAACGCTACTTGCATTGTCGCTACTTGGAGACATGGTAGACTTGTTATGTTCTTGATTGGAGTCTAAGCTAGAGTAGTCCGGTTTAACACAGGAATCACTGGAATTTGACTTCTGACCACTGGTTTCCATGGAATCAGGACTTCTGTTTCCTACACATAGGGTGGTCGTGGCGTACGGTTCTGGAGGAGCTTGTAATTGTTTTCTAGCATTATAGAATGTGGTCAAGTTCACTTCTGCATACTCTGAACCAGCCATGCTAACTATTCCCGGTGCTAGCATTTGCTGATTGTTTAGCAGTTTCGTTTCGCAATCCTTATCATTAGAACTCTGAAGCGTATTAGTTGGTCTCCATCCACGTTCTAACCACAAGGTATCTTTGTTTAACTGACAGATGTCATTGGCTGTGCCTACTGGCACGTTCAAATGCCCTAGCTGTTTGCTCATAGCTTGCCGTCGTCTGACATATAGAGCACCTAACAGTGCAGCAACCACTGTGAAAACCATGGTAATCATGAGAATCAGAAACCACGTTTCTCTCATGACTGATACTCCTCCATGACTTGGGTCTGTTCGTGGTGGCAGTTGCGTCAATTGGCCCGGGTCCATGTTTAAAAGCGTGGGCATAGAAAATGGTCCCAAACCAGCGCGTGTTAAACCAGCTACACGTGCCGTGTACAGTCCACCAGTAGTTAGACTGTTTATGATAATTGAAGTAGTCGATGCATTTAATGACATTTGTCCAAGAATCTTGTTACTGCTGTTACTCTTGATCTGAATCTTTAAATAAAAATTCAAACAATTAAAACAATTAATTAATATCGAAGTTTACAAAGGTTTAAAAATCAATTTTTTTCTACTCTTAGTACCTTGTATCCCATAAGCTGTCCATTCTGCTCGTGCTTAGGTGGTGGAGCCCATCTAACGAATGCAGATGTCATATTGATCATTCCTACGTGCACATTCTCCGGTGCTCCGGATGGTATATCCTCCAATGTTACTGCTAGTTTAACGTTACTTGGTCTTCCTTCAATGGTTTTGTAAAACGGTACAAGAAAGAATTCGTAACGCGTGTATTTCTTCAGATTCGTGAGGACGTAACTGGTGGCTCCAGCATTTAATACAGTAACCATCTGGTACTCTGGTTTATCGGAAAGCTCTCGGTACCGGATATAAAGGCCCTCCACTAAATCCGCGGCACCAAGTATCTGAAGAAGAACAAGTTTTGATTGATATCTACTAGTTTCACTTTTTTTAAAAAGTTTTTAATTCTTGTGAACACTTAAGCGGAAACAAATAAAAACGAATGTTACGTACATCCCATATGATCTTGACACTGGTACTACTCAATGGTTGAACCTCTTTCAAGTGTAATATTTCGCTATTAAGACGATCCCTTGCACGTATCAATTCGATTTGCGGTACCGAATGTTGATTAACGCTAGTAGTATGTGCACTGTCCGATAGTGGACCAGGTAGTGACAATCCATGACTATTTTCAGCTCTTACCAAGAAAACATAATTCGTATCCGGTTTTAGATCAGTTACCTAGAAAAAGATGAAAGTAATTTAAACTCTGAAGTACTCACAAATACACTAAATAGATATTTAATGTTCGCAATATTGCGCAACTCCAGATCCATTTAATCTTAAATAATTAAATCGCAAACTTACTGTATAAGTATCATCAGTGATACCAGTAGCAGCAATGACCCATCCGGTATTAAGGTTGCTACTAAAGTATTCTATATTATATCCAATAATTTTACTCTGTCCCTCGTGTCCAGGACTCCAAGTAAGTGTGACAGAGTTACTAGTCGTATTGACGATTCTAGGTTTACTCGGATTCTGAGGTAAAGCCGACATGTCAGGAGTACGATGGAAGGAAGTCGTGGAGCTGACAGTTAACGTAGCTGACCACGAGGTGTTACCAGACTCCGAAGACGCGATACAGGTATAAAGTCCAGAGTCACTACTCTGAAGATCATTAATAAATAAGGTTCCGTTGCTAGCCATAGTGATACGAGTACCCAGCTGTATAAGAACCCCATCCTTGTGCCAATGAACTTTAGGCGTAGGCGTCCCCACGGCTCTACAGGGTAGAGAAGCAATACTCTTCAGTGGAATAGTCTGATTGGCTGGTCCTAATTCGATAATCGGCGGAGGCACCTCTTCGACTGATGTAACCTGTTCAGAACAGCGAGAGCATCTGGTGTAGCTATTTATTCTTCCTCACTTTAAGGATAACGGATAGAGGATTATTTACCTGCAGGAAGACGGTTGCGGTACTTGCTCCGGCTTGACTGATGGCGCTGCACACGTAGTGGCCCTCATCCTTCCTGATGGCTTCCTTGATTTGCAGACTTCCGTCCTCGGCGACCGTATAACGACCCTGGTATACATTACCCGGAAACATAAGTTCCTGGGACCCTTCGCGAGTCCAGAAAATTGACGGTTTGGGTGCACCGCGTGCGGCACATGCGAATGATACGTCTGATCCGGTGCTGACCACCTCGTCCTTGGGGAAATGTGTGAAGACAGGGCGAGCTGCGTGATAAAAGTAAGAATGAAAAATATTGGCGAATGGTAGTAAAACACTTGACGACCTGCCATCATGGATAACGCGGTTTTCATTCAAGGTATATCTGACTTACAATGCACCGTCAGCGTTGCGCTGGCTGAAATCGCACCGACGCTGTTTTCAGCATCACAGATGTAAGTGCCTTGGTCCTGGGCCGTTACCCTCTCGATCCGCAAACTCTTGTCATCCAGGATGTGAGCTTTGCCAATTGGCATCTTTCCGTCGTTTCGACGCCAGAGAATTTCCGGTGACGGATCGCCTCCGACGCGACAAGCGAACTCGGCAGTTTGGTCCGTCAGTATGGTTTGGTTTGTTGGAGTCGCCATAAAGTACGGTTTCACTGCAAGAGGAGGTCTGGTTAGATCGGTGGGATCATTTTATTTCCAAGTATACGAGCGTTCATTGACGTTGGCCATGTGCATCTTCTCGTATGGAACGTTATCTCAAAAATTATTATCGTCATCCATTCGCGGAATCGTAGACACATTTACGTGAGGTGAATTATCCGAAAGATGTTTATTCGAAAGTACACGGGAATGATTGACTTATGCTAACAAGACGATGCGATAGATTGATTCTATTAATTTAACAGGACATTGACTCATGGGTTATACGTTTCTTGGTTGTATTGAATTTGTGATATTTGTGAATTATTTATAATCTGTGGCTGCAAACCTGGTCAACATCATCTCCATTAAAATTATTAATAATCTCTTATACTCACCATGAACCATTAACGTTGCCACTGCGGATACCCGTGTGCCAACCATATTTTGTGCTACACATTGGTATCTGCCCTGATCGGTTTGCCTTACGTCAGAGATCATTAGGTTACCCCCATCCACGAGAGTGATCCTGAAAGAAAAAATAATGTTCTCAGTGATATAGTCATAACGAAATGCAAGCTGATGATAGGTTTCGTGAAATCTGTATAAATTACTTTTAACCCAGAAAAATCACGAAAATGAAAGTTTCTAAGGGATATTAATAATTAAAAAGTTAATCAAAGGTAAAATTAATTCAATTCTTCACGAAAGCACTTTTTACAATGGGTATTGGTCATTAGTACGTTCATAGATTACTGTTAGGTAGCGTTCCGTCCTATCCTATGGAATGCCAGAACCTCAGTATATGTCGCAGGGGCAGTTGGGTCGACAACAGCGTAGAATCAATAGCCACCCGATTGTGTCCCCTAATTTATAGTATCAATTAATTCTAGCGTCGGTGGAACGCCGCGTCTTTCCCACGAGCCGTTGTGGCTACGCCAATGCGAGGCGGATTTAATTTCTATTAGTGGTTCTAATTTATTACCCATTCAGCCTCTAAGCGAAGGGGGTGATCGATCAAAACAAAGGAAGAAACTGCCGAGGAAAAGAGAATCGAGCAGCCCGATAAAAGTATATAGGAATCGATTGGCGGTATCCCAAGGAGAGAGAAAGGCGCGGCAGACTAAAAGAGCGAAGAGGAGGGAAAAAGACGCAGAGTCAGATTAAACTTTAATTGCGTTGATCCATTGAGATTCAAGGAAACTGAAGCGAGTATGAGAGCGAGGAAACCCATTGCCAGTCTACCGATGTAGGGATCATTAGTGGAAAGTAAAAAAAAACGTCGGGGGGTTTCGAATTCGCCTGGGTATTCTTAATCTTTTAAACGTTACTATCCCTGGGAGTCATGGTTATGAGAAAGAGAAAACTTTAGTGTCGGACAAAGGATTTGGATGTCCATCTTGGATTTATTCGAAGAAACTTCACTTTACGTGCAAGTCTTGTTCGCTTAGACGTATATCCGGGCGTGAATTTATCGGTCAAAATTGTTTATGTGCCAAGCGTCACGTTAGGTACTTTAGGAACATGTAACTGGTGACGTCTCAACCATCTACACGTGTATACACGGTATACGCCATTGTTCATGGTAAAGGACTGGCATTAGGTATACCATTTGCTGGCTACGACTTACCAACGAGTTAGACGTACTTGGATACCATCCTGACCCAAGTGTACTAAACTTCGGTTTCTATGGCTCTCTGTATCTCTCTAGCTACCCCTGGGGACGTTGGATACAGGTATAGATGCTCACTATCTATCCCTCTTTTAACCTAGGAAATACGTGGAGATAAGTGCTCCACAGCCAATAAATTTCTACTGTCGATACTCGATTTGTAATTATGTTGTTTACACCGAGTCATTGACACCTTGCCTCTGGGTGTTCACTTTTTAACGTATATAGGTTACGTGTTACGTTCGACGTGCTTGGGAGATGGAGAAATTTATCGCGGTAACGGATTACTTTATTTTCACGAGGACTGGTCAGGTACTTTCTGGTGTGGTTAAAACTTTTGCTGGTAAATCGACAAGTTGATATCGCGTTACTACGTCTGGTCTACAGAATGGACGCTTTAGCGTCAGGACCGTCTGGAAAATCAATTAGTAAATTAAATGAACACGCTTTCGCAGCATCAATAGAATCGAGATCGTTTTTAACTGTTGATGATTCCATGCATTTGTATTTCTCGTGATCGTTGATTTTATCCACAACTTTGCTTTACACCGCAAAGAGAGTGTGTGTGTGGGTATGGAGTTAAATAAAAATCAAAAAAAAAAAAAAGGGAAAGTGCGGAGGCAGAGTCACGTCCTCTGATCTTCGTGCCAAGACCCCAATAATGCGTGGAACATTTTCTTCTTACTCTTTCGCTCTTTTTTGTTTTTCTTCTTCTTCTTTCTCGCATCCCCGAGAGAAATGAAGTCGTATAAGTTACACGAGATCACGTAGTTACCGTGGCTCTAGGTCTTAGCTATGGGTTGTGACGTCGGTGGTTTAACGTTAGAAAAATGTACGCGATGCACCCCGCTGTATCTGGACCAGAACAAAGTAAACGGCAACGAAGACGCATTTCGTATTTCTCGCCAGGAGGGAATCTGAATAACGAGTTTGTCTTTTCTTCGGCGAACGGACAAAGATAACGCAACAAGAATAATGTCGGGACATCCTTTAGCGCCATTCTCATGCAAATACACAGTAGATTACGGACTCTTGTGTTTTCGGATTACTCCCCATTGGCTGTGACTTTTCAAATCTTCCTTCCTATTGGGCGTAAGGAAGCATCGGCGCGATGTCTAACGATACGTGTTGGGATTCCTTTACGACACGAAGGAGCCTAATTAATTACACGGAATTACTCAAACGTCGTATTTAGACTTTAGAGAAGCTTCCTCACGGCCATTCCCGTTCCCGCTTCGTATTTTTCAGAGACACAGGAGCGAGAGAACACAGCGTATCGCTCCCATCTCGAGAAAGAGCTGGCAAACGAGAATTTGGAAAAGTCGTTCATCCCGCGTTTAGTATTACAGAAACACGATCAGCTCGTAGTGAAATAGCATGGTGCTCTATCGTGGAGTTTGTTTACATTTTATTCCTTTTTGTTTCGGCTGTTCCTCCACGTATTATCTATCCCGAGCCACGCTCCAAGAAACGTCTGAATTATGTCCGGCAAACAGTGTTTTATCGTCCTTACCGTTGAAGCGATATGGAATCTTCGAACTCCTCCCAGAAATCCTGTAATACTTGGGCGCATCCTTCCCTTTCATATACCTAACCTCAACTGTACCTTATACCACATCCCAAAGGAAAAACTGAGAAGTCCTTAGATGCACGAGATATAGCTCGTTAAAAATTCCCAAGACTTTGTTCCTCATATATGGATACGAAATCCAGGATGTAGAAGAAAGTATAGCCAAGAGCCATTCGCAGGAGGTCTTAACAGTCTAGATGTCAACTTACCGTTTGGTAGCTTCCAAGTCAATAGGATGACCGTTCTTCTTCCATTGCAACGTCGGTTCCGGATGTCCTCGCGGCGGTCCGCACTCCAACAAAGCCGTCTCGCCGGCAGCGACTCTCGTATTCTGCGGCTCCGCCCGGAACTCGTCGCGCAGCACTGAAAAGAGTCAAGATAATAGTGTATAAGTAAAAGAGTAATTCCAGCGCACCATAACAAGAAGATCGAGTCTAATGGATGCGAAGGCGTGCATTCTCATATGGTAGGACTGTGGTCGTACATTAGGGTATTCTTCGGATTCGATTATCAACTTTCCACCATTTAGGGGAATCCGTTATGCGTGGAATATCCTTGAGTGACTTATGGGATGTCACGTAAGAATAGCGGAATGGTATACGAATAGGAACGCGTATGGTAGATCTTTTACCAAGTCCAGGTTCTTTATACTATCTTATGGTCATTCCGTGTGGAGTGTTGTAGGTCGCTTGTAACAATGCGACGACGATGACCCCAGCACGTGGAAAGTGCCAGGGACAATTCGATAGGAAACGTAGGTGCGTATCGAGTATCGGCTCGAACGATTTTGACGTAAATCGATTGAAACACCATTTCTCAGAGCGATCCCATTCAGAGGGCTAAGGGTTGCCGTTCTCGGCTTCGTTTCTCATTCCAACCTTTCCGCAAGGCGGTTGAGGGAGAGAGGCGTATGTACCTATGGAAACATATATATGTACTGAGTATTCTAAGGATATATATACGTATATATATTCGAACTCGCATTCGCCCTTGCCTGGTTCAGGGTGGCGGCCGTTCGCGTTTATCGCCATTCCTGTCACCTTGGCGTATACTATTACCATTTATCACACGGAGTTGGACCATTTAGGAAATGTTCCGGTACGCGAGGTAGACGAGGAAGCCTCCCTTAAGAATTGCAGTACGTCCTTGTCGCGTCGGTGCATTGTATCTCCCCTTTAATCTAGCCTTGGCGCAATGCATCGAAGGGTTGGACCAGAGGATGCTGGATGGGATAGACACACAGGAAGCTGTGAAAGCCAGTCTAGGCTATACAGAATTTCGGGACGGTACTTTAAATCAATGTCTGTTATCGCGGAAGACTGGGTGCTGAATCCTGGTGGTTCTAGCTGAATCTTGGAGTTGTATATCTTCGGGGACAATACGTCCTTTCATTTGGAAATTGAATCTAGAGGTCTCTCACTCTCGTTAATTACGTATTTCCATGTAGTCAGCGAAAAATTACTGTAGTCTGTTAGGATTTTTATTTATTTTTTTTTTTAAATATCCAATCACCTTCAGATTTCATATAGTTAATATGGCTTGCAGTACAGTTAGGTTCCCTCGTGGAGGCAGATGACAGAAGTTATGCGGAATAGACTTTGAAATTTTACTGAACTCGTAATGATACTCGAATGCTTGGACGATGACTCGATTTCGCAGTACTCGTTTAAAATGTCATGAGGCAGGCGGCCGTCGTGTAAATATTTAAATTGTATGGGTTGAGTGAAAGCTCTCATTATTCTAAACGATCGTGCCTCATAAAGAAATTATCTTCGTTAATTAATTGTAAACATCGTGACAGTTATACGAGCTAAATCTTACGAGATTAAGATTTCTTAGAAGCTCCCACTTCGATTCCGAGCTATTCCTGATTACAAGAGTCCATTAAAGATTACGTTTGAACTTTGAACTTTCACTTCCACGAAGGATAAGACGTTTTTAAGAAATTTGCCAATTGAGACATTTTCTTACGAGTCTTCGTAATTGTCCAATGCTTTTATCTCTTTTTATTAATTTCAACGATTTCAATTTGATTTATCCTTTTTCTTTCTCCTATCATATCCTCCTTTTCTCATTTTATCTTCACTATTTGCGAGTATTCGAGAAATATTCTTTCATTTTATTTCCCAATATCTTATGGAGATGGACGTAGGAAGAATGTAGGGGTTTTTAGGGTCGGCTGAGGTAAACCTTCTATCATAATTGTACATTGATATCGTGGAAGAAGGATTGTTTAACACTTCATCGTAAAATCATTATTCTGGGTGGCACACTCCTTGATAACACCGTCGTAAACTGTAACGCTATTTATTCTACCATAAATCGTACTGTAATACAAGCCATAAGCGATACTCGACAACAGGATTAACACTTGAACGGGTTTCGCGTAATTATAAAATACAACAACACAAGGAAGTTATGAGGGGTGATTATACATTTTTACAAGACGTTACTCATGCATCGCGCCAAATTGTTGTTCTGCTATTAATATTTGTTTTAATTAAGACGCTTTTAAATATATTGCACTCCCTCTCTGAATTACCCTTACGTAATATACACAATTGAGGATAAAGCAGGTTTACTCTTACTGAGAAACATGTACATTACAACGAGAAGTTAGCGTGAATTGACCGTCGAGTTAGAGAACAAAAACCCAACTGCCAGCCAATTGCCTGGGTATAGGTATTGTACCTATAGGTATAATATATAAATATATATAGAGTTGTGAAACTTTTTGAAATTGCAATAGAAAAAATTCGTTGATGTTTTAGACTGTTATACTGGCGCACGAGTCGGGACTGAACTCCTGGCAAAAAGGAACCGCTGAAATCTCCATAAAACCGGCAGCACGTTACGGCGTCATAAAGATTCCGACACAAAACCTAATGAGAGTCGTAAATTAATTAAAATTAGGTATGACTGGAGACAGAAGGCGAGAGACGAATGGTATATTGGAGAAAGAAAGAAAAAAGAATCAGTAGAATGGAAGAAAGGGTCGGCTGAGCTCGCGCAATTTTCAAATCACGCGACACAGTCTAATCTCTATGATGAAAAGGTAACACGCCTATTTAGTTTGCCTATCACCGGAAATGGCATGGCGTGCTTCGAAGCTATCTCCTTTTTCATAGAGTTGAGGTTACGCTTTGACACCCAAATGTTGATATTCTCGAGTTTCGCGCCCACGCGAGATAAGGCTATCCGTAGATAGCAAAAAGTGAATACGGTGAGATTAAAGGATGGCGTCTTTTAAAAAAACAACATTTTGCACTGCACGCTTTACACTGTCTTCCTTATATGACGTCTAGTCTATAACGTAACAAGAAAAAGAAATTGAACCTAACCTTATCTTGAAATCTTTTACACTCGATTCAACGAAAACTCTTTGAATCTTCCTTTCCACCACAATAGATTACAGGATCTGTACGATGCATCCTGCATAACTTATAAGTCATGGCAAAAGGATAGGATGCACGCGTATTAAGATTTGACATTCACGGCACGCGTCCATCCAGACGGACGGTCGACACGTGACCGTTTTGTCCCTGGATCCAAGCATCCAGGGAGTTTACTCCCTTTGGTTGGGTAGCCGTGTCGCCCTTGTCGCAAGCACACTGGGTCACGCTGGAGAGTCAATTGTTCGAAGCCATCCGGCTATTGTTGCAACGAGTTGCGAGTGTCTTTTGTGTCAGCCAGACGAGGGAGGAGCGTGAGTAAAATTGTTTGGTACATTCCGTTCCGAGCATTTGCAAAGTTTATGAACCGGAAACGATAATGAGTCTACCATCCTCGCATTCGTTTCCTTAACGGCATTAGGAAGGTAGGGAATTACTTTGACTCGTTTTGGGATGACATGATAATATATAATCTTTGATTTTGACATAAGTCTTTCAACCAGGAGTATCGATGACGTTTATGCGAGTTACGAACAGCCCTTAGGTAACGATGAAAAGCCTATAACCTTCTAAAAGTTTGTAGTGTTGGCATAACAAGGGATTTTAGGGAATTGTTTCACGTGCAAGTTTCTCACGATGGAAATGATCCATTTTCGGGATACGGAATGACTATCCGACGATAACGACGTACAGGGGGTTGTTACGGAGGGTGGATACAGGATAGCTTGAGTTTTATCAATAACCTTGGGAATGAGACAGATGTAGCACTGTCGTTTTAAGACTTGACGTTCGACGGTACATCTGCCTTTAGGAAAAATGACGATTAAGGGATCGGCAGTAGTGAAGGGGATGATTTCGATAATTGAAAAAGAACTGACATTAGAGAAAAGGCCTGGGAAGCTTTCGCTGATAATTATTCTTGTGGTCGTTCTGAAGGGACGATTGTTATTTTCTTAAATTAATAGGGGTCGGTTCAGTAGACAAGTAGAAACTGTTTGAAGCTATTTACATAGCCGTCCTTCGCTACGATAATCTAATCGCTGATCACTCTAGGTATAATTAACAATTAGTCAATTAATCATATGAAAAAATTGTAGAATGATAAAATTAGATTATTGTCAAATAAAATTATAAGTACACGATTATACGCGAGAAAATTATTTAAGTTATAAGGGTGGAGAGAAAAAAATATAAAAACAACCCCCCTCGGCCGTTCGATAATTTTTGTATACTTTAATCAGCTGTGTTTTCGTGGGGGAGGAGGGTTTGTTGGTTTGAAACAGTCGTTAGGTACAGAAGATATTGAGATACGTTAATTTTTCCAGTTTCCACCCTCGCACCAGCCAGCTAATATAGCCAACGAACGACGAGGGTTGGTTGGCAACGTGTAGTTACAGATTCAATGTTTATATTAATGCCAGGGGCGGATATGTGATACGTGTATATGCGATACATCCCCTATACGTAGTGGATGCTGTACGCACTCGTATAGGTAGTGTTTGTGCGCGTAGGGGAATTCGTAATTCACAACATTTGTTCCCCGTTACCATGGAGTAGCTAACATCGGGAAGAATGTCAAATTAGATCTCGTGTGAAAATTGGGGTGAATTTAGGTAAAAGGGGGACTGTGTGGATTTCGCTGTTTATCCCCTAATTGAATCTAGATCAATTTTTCCTTATTGGCTAACGATACGTGCGTCACTGATTGTCACGTGTCCCATCGTTATTGTTGTCTATATTCCATTCAAAATTTTAATCAATATTATAGCCGGCGCCCTGTGTCGGAAGTTCATTACGCGGACAAGACAAACCGGAAATGTTTCCCATGCAATCAAACCTTTTACAGCTTATCGATTTCCGATGATCAGAGGAGATCAATGTCACGCCGGGATATTCTGAATGAGCGACGGTCATCCGCCTTTCCGCAGGGGCTCATTGTGGTTCTATAGGCGGATCGAACTATTCATGATA